CTTGTAAAACGTCCTAATATTAAAGAGGTGTGTCGTTAAGAGAGTATGCACTTTTTCTTACTTTAAGTTGATTTTTTTTAATAGTTTAAAATGTAAAGCTGCAGGTTTAGCACAACAAATGATATCGATAAAAGATACAAATTAATATCACATACCGGTATTTTTTCCATAGTTTCCAATATAGTTTAGAAACTGACTGCTGCAACTTTTACAACTTCTGCAATTTTAAATACCAAAAAATTATCCCCTTAAAGCTTACGGACAACTTTTGAATATAAAATAAAAGATACCCATAACTTTTTCGCAAGGCATATATTTAAAAAGTTTTTTTTTTCATTTATAAAATAGACAACAATTAAGATCGACTAATGAGTAATAAATATTATCATAATAAACACTATTTCAACAGCATTCTTATCTGCAGCAGCACCAACTTTGAAAACAGAAACATGATAAACAAATAAAAGACAAATGATTATTTGGCGTGTATATATTCGCCAATACCTAAATGATAACTCATGTAAACAGCTAGTTCAGTCTGTTGTAATAAGCCATCTGAATTGCGCCATTAGCTTGCCGAAATGTACCGTCAAACGATTACAGTTATTACAGAATCAAGCAGTAAAACTAGTACTGACGTTAAAATCAGCTGACGGTTCTACAGAAGCTCTTAAAACTCTACATTAGCTACCTGTTATTTATAGGACTAAATTCTTAATAGCATGCATGTCTTGTTTTTAAGTGTCTTAACGGCAGTCCCATGTATTTATAAGAAATGCTGAGCATTAGAACTTCATCGTACAACATTTGTTCCATTGACAAATTGGCACTCTCGCCGTCCCAGCTGTAAAACGCAAAACATTTGTCTCTCGAGAGATCTTTTTGCCATTTCACGGCCTATCGTGTCGTGCCTTCCAATATAAGAACAATCAGCGATCGTAATGTTTTTAAGAAACATTTAAGGTCAAGATTTAGAAAATGAGTTTAGACTTTAATCGTGGTGCTAGGTCCATTATGACGTCATAATCAATTTCAACTTTCTTTTTCCCGTACTTTACGGCTCTAATAGATTTATGTAGAAAATAAAGTATTTTCATGGAATTCAATTTGAAATCATGTGAAAAGTAATCCCGATACCTATATTCAATTTAATATTATTTTAAAGAAGAAGCCAAGAACATACAAATTGTCGTTTTCTGAGAGACTGTAGGCAATCTGGATACATTTCCTTTGTCTGATATGGAAAAAACTCCCGTATTCATGACTGGTTTTCTTAATTTTTTCATCGAAAATGACAGTTTAAAATATGATTTTTCGTCTTGTTTATATACAAATTATGCCCCGAAACACCTTATTTGACCAAGCTAAAGTTATAAAGCATCATTAAAGGAATTGATTTCTCAGATTTGAGAAATCTGTAGGCACCTTTCATTTACTAGATCTTGACCTTAAAAGCATTTTATTACAAAAGTGCATTCACTTTTCACGTTTTAATTATAGATTAACTATTTAATTTTGTTTTAGTTACAGTGAAAATAGTTTTTATGTTTATTTTATTTAGCTGTTTAACTTTTGCTTAGGTCATTTTAATTTTAATGTATGTACACTCCATTGATTGCATTTTACCTGTAAAATTTTGCTCTTTAAAAATGTTTTTAATATAATAATAAATAAATAAGAAGAAGAAATGAAAGAAAAATGATGTATCTGACGTATGTATACCTCACTTGTCCAAGCACCTTGGATTTCTCATTTGAAGCGCAGTGACAAGGTCTTTGTTCAATGGAAGATAATCACGGCTGAATAATGTTACTTTCTGAAAGGGAAACTAAAAGTAAAGATTATTTCTCTTTAATTGTGAATTTATAGGACAGAAACAAAGAGGACTGTGATTTCTAGACAAAATAAGACACCTTAAACTAAAAGCAAAATAAAAACAAAGCAAAAAGAGTGTCAGTTAATGACATTTTTTTTACACCTAAGTAAGTGAAAATACAAAACTGAAAACATCAGCCATGTTATAAATTTTATATTAACACTCACCAAGGAGGCTATGGGAACGTACGCATGTGCTCCCCTCTCCCTTTTTTTGTCACCAGATTATAAATGCAAACTATTCGTTTACATCTGCAGATCAATTAAATATAAAATTAGACTTCTTTTGTACAAAAACAATCTTTTTGATCTCTGATAGAATTTCTAGATTTATACCCAGTTAGCTTATAATTACATTTCATAATACACTAAGACACTTAAGACTCTTTACCTTAACACGTAGTAACTTTTCAATTATACATGTACAAGCCTATCAGAGAATAGAAACGGTGTATATTTCAAATCTTTCAACGTTGTACTGCAACCGATGTAAATCAAGTTTTTTGGGGGTGGGGATGAGGTGGGGGGTATTAATGGGAATTATTTGATGATTATGAAATATAGAGATAACGAAAAGTATTTAAGCTCAAAGTCCATTAAAACAATACAGATGGGGAGCAGGGCAAACACAAACCTCCAAAAACATCGGAGGTGGGATCAGGTGCCATGGAGGAGTGAGCATACCCTACCCATCGGTCACACCCACAGTGTGCTCCTGACATGATCGGGAAATAACTTAAAAATCCGTCGACGATTCAGTGTGTAAATAATGGCCTAACAATTTGAATGAAAAACGTCAGTCAGCATAAGACTTATATGTAGTTTTTATTTGCTGACAAGGTCATTGTATCGACCATAGAACTTCCTAAACGATGACTTTAAACGAGACTGTTGATATTCTTGTTTCATCAACTTGTTTGTCAATAACTTACCTCGTTTTAGAAATTGTTCATACGTAGAGCATGCTCTTGCGTATCGAATCAACTGAGAGATATACATTCCATATGCAAGTGTTAAAGGCATATTGCTGCATAAGTAAGGGAAATTGACGATTGAAAAGTTAAATTCATCACGTTTATCATAAAGCTTTGTTGTTAGATTACCATTAACGTCTTTTTCTAGAAAAATATCCAAATATGAAACAGATGTGTCAGACTTTGTGGTATCTTTTATTTCTTTCAAGCTCACTGGGATATATCTTGTCGACATATGAATGGAAATGACTATTGTTAATTGATAATACGTCGTCGATATATCTAAATGTCGAGTTGAAGGCCACAGCAAGAGATATCTTTTCCTCATTTATAAGATTTTGAATAAATTCTGCTTCATATGAATACAAAAATAGGTCTGCTAACAACTGGGCGCAATTGGTACCCATGCATGGGAATTCCAACAGATTGTTGGAAGACCTGGTCACTAAAAACCACTTAGATATTGTCAATCAGAAACTCAAGCATCTTTTTAATATCAACTTCAGAGCACTTGTGTTTACAATCAGAATGTTTTTAAGAAATAATTTTGCAAATGACCAATGGCAAGGTAAATAAATATACGAGTTCCATTTTTATTGAAAAAGCAGTTGTTAATGATGTCAAAAATCCTGGACTTTAATTTATCGTGGGGAACGATATTAATATATTGATATTATTTATTAATTTTTGTGATACGGGTATAGGTCTATAGGCCAATTGCTTCTGATCCGAGGTGGGGCTAATTTAATTTGGCTAGATAGTGAAATTAATTACGTCACATCTTTGAAAAGTTTTTCATTTACTCAGTCACATAGCATCGTTTTTGAAAGGGAGGAGCCAGAACATAATTCACAATCTTCCTGAAAAACATTCAAACAAGCAAAAAAAAAGGGGGGGTTCGGGTGGGTTCCAGATCCCCCTCCCCATCTTGCCACGTGCCTGTAACTCATAGACATCATTCAGTCTTATTGTATTTTGAATAAATACAAAATTTATTCATATTAGTTTTTTTTTTTATTTACTGCCACCAAAAAAATACTGTATGAGTAATATGACACATCTCACAGGCTAATTGTATATTTGCATTGTTAAAAACACTTAGCACTCTAGTCTACCAAAATTGTACAAAGTCATACGACCGCCGGGTCCAGAGTCCAGACCGCAGAATAGGGCTTAAAGGTCGTCACAAGGTCTCTAGAAAGGGCCTAGGATTGTGGTGGAGGGCTGGGACGAGTATCCTGAAGTCAGAAATTTTTGTATGTAAGTAGGTCAGTATCATTTTTGATGGGTTTTGCATTACTCGCATTCCGCAAGTCATCTTTTTTTAATGATAAATAAGGAAATCCAAGCAAAATAAGTTTATACAGGAATAAAAATTATGATGGATTAATTTGTTTCAAAAATAATTTTGGAATTTTTTAAAAGGGGCGTACTGGCACCCCATCTCTCCTTTTCGACAGTCCTGTGATTGGTCGTGTATCAAGTTGACACTACATTAGATGGTCATCTTCAAATATTCTTTTTCTGTACTAATGTTCTTCTGTCAGTTGAACTGTTGCAGGCAAGTAGTATCGGAGGGGGGGGGGGCTGCATACTTTTTTTTTTTTCAAATTTAGCTTAGTTAATGTTGGAAATCTTAATTGAAAGGCTGGTTCTCCCACCCACTTATCCACACATACATACACTTTATTTGTTGTAGTATAGTCAAGTCAGGCGTCAGGGTAATGCGGTAATGTATCAATAAAATTTGAGTGTGAAAGAAGTGTGAATCCCCCCTCCCCACAGAAATAGGAATTTCGAGTTTGGATAATTTCCCTTTTTTCTTTATCTTTTTCTTGTCTTTTTTTTTCAGGTATAAGTTGCCCCCACCCCACCCCTCTTTCCTCACTTTCAAAAACGATACATGTACATGTATTACGTGTCTGAAATGATAAAAAGAACTTGTCAACCATAAACTAGATGAAATCTACATGTACATGTAGCAAAGAAAATCTTTGCGCCGAGAATAAGCTTTAAATGCTTTCTTGCTTTTAAAAAGGCTATTAACCAATAATACTTTCCAGTCACTGCAATCTGTAATATTCTCGGTACTCAAGCTGTTGGCTTTCTATTTCAATCGGGATCGACATTCAGTGGTCGAATTGAAGAAACATGGCAGCGAAAAATGTCACACGCTTCGTATTACCCAGATTTGCATCCTTTTTCCAGCGATTTAATGCCACAACTGTTCCATTGATATTGCGACGGAGAGCTCTCTATAAACCTGAGCACTTTGGAATGTTTTCTACATCTCCCAAACCATTAGCAAATGAAACGTAAGTAGCCCTTTGAAAATTCAGGTATCCTTCAGATATAAATTACATAAGAATGTTATATTGTTTTGCATGGATGACCACTGAATGATCAATTAAAGTTTATTCACTAAAATTTGTTATAAAAAAAACTTCACGACTCTTGATAAAGATTTTTTGTCTTTTGGAAATTTAAACACTATTTTAAGGGTATTTATTTCGAATTTTCTCTAAAACTGCATTTTGGTTTTTATTGAAATTGAACCTTTAATTAAAAAAAGATGTGTTACTACCAGTCTCAATCAATTCCCTTTAACTTTGACTCTAATATTTCTCCAAAAACATAAAGAGTTCATTTTATCTGAGGTCTGCAAGCAGATACTGCCTCAAACAAACCAACCTATTTATGGTCGTTTTTCATGTTCCTTCCAAACATAAAAAGGAAAAATTCGACATTCCATGTTGACATTCAAACCTCTCTTAACTGGTCATAGTATGATAAGTTCTAGGTTAGAATTGTCTGCCCCTTACCCATGACAAATGCTATCAGTTTATGCGAAAGACAATGGACCATCGGACCTGACCAATGTACAGTGCCTCATGTCTGATGTATCAATTTTTTGCACCGGACCGAAATGTCCAATGTCTCAGTGTTCGGTTTTGATTTTTACTATTTTGACAGAGAGTCCTAAAACATTTTTTTTTTGTTTTTTAAATATTGCACAATTCAAAGTATGTAAATGAGGGTGATTAAAGCCACATGGACTGTAAAATTTCCTTGGTTCTGCATTTTCCTATGTTTCACTTCCATACATTAGGTTTATCGCCTAATAAAATTTGGTCCTCTGTGTTCTCAATAACATAGAACCGAATATTCTATTTGACCCCAAAAAACTTACGCACTGACTGCTATCATTAAACTTAGTCTGTAAAAATATCATTTAACTGATGGAACATTCTATAAACTGCCTCTGATAGCCTTAGTTAGTAAGTAATTATGTGGGACAACTGCACTTTACCTGGTTGCACTGATAAAGTGCAGTCTAGTCATTCATGATATCACATTATACCTGTGTTTCCATGGCAGTTCTCAAAATACATGTAATTATCATGATTATTATGCAATTAAATGTAGCATTTCTTTTGCTCCAATAAGTTTGCCCCAAAAATGTGAGTATAATTTTATAGTCCCTATTCAATTTGAACAAAAATTTCATTAAATTTTCAGTTTGCAGCTGATTTTGAATATGTCCAATGTCCATATGAATTGTCACTGAAGATGCTGAAAGTTAAAAGAATATTATGACATACCTCAATTTTCATGTAATTTAGTAGGGTGACAATAAGCTTCATTGATCGGGACGGGGATACAATAGTAGCCAAAACTAAACCTGGTACATCCTTTCTGGATGTCGCCATTGACAGTGACGTGGAGCTGGAAGGTATAGCCATATGTGCTTTTGGGGAATGTCAGCTGAATCATATGGTTTGGTCAAAAATTGATAAAGTTGTTTACAGTTTTATGGTTTTCCCCTCTTGTATTACATGAGAGATTAAGAAAATTGTATATGAAAAGAGACTGTACATTTTGTGTAGGAAAAAACGTAAATGCTTTTGATTTATTGTGGCAGGGGTCTTCTTGAGTGATTTTGAAGTAGATATTGTGAAGAAAAGTATCTTATTTTCCCAGTTTTTGATAGAAAAATACAAGGTTCCATATCATGAATTGGGCAAAATTGACAACGAAATTCAAGATACCTGAGGGTTTGAGATATCAAAGACCAGTTTTGAATAATAATTGACACTTGTAATATAATTGTTATTCTACTGTTCATAAATGTTATGATATGAGTATATTTGTGAGTATTACTACATTGTATGACAAGGATTTTTATTTCAGTGATCGTTCATTCTTTAATATACAATAAAGATTGTATTAAAATATATATCACTTACTCAGTTGATAACAACATATAAATAAGCATAACATTGTCAGTTTTCACTATCATTTAGGGCTGGGATGATATATTGAGATATCGATAATATCAATTCAATGTGAGGATGATACACATATCGATACATAATTATGTTGAAATATCGAAATATCGCAAAAAATTCTGACTTATGTTTTTGTTTGTTTACATAACATTTTGGGTTAAATATGAAATACATAATAATTAATACCACTAAGATATATGATTTTGTTTTACAACAGATATACAACTTCTTTGAATAAATTATTCTTATTTGTAAAGAATTGTTTCTTTCATTTCAATACAAAAAATATTTTATAACCAATTCAACATATCTTGATACATATTATCGTGGCTAAAATATCGTGATACATATCGATATAGAAAAAGTTGTATCGTCCAAGCCCTACTATAGTCAGTGTTTGTTTCATACTCAGATGCGAGGCACACTGTATAAATGATATTAGAGAAAAAGTTCCTTTTAATATTGAACAAATGTATAAACTATAGGATTTACTTTTTGAATTATATTTACACGTGATAAATTTTCCAGGCTTGCTGGGTACCAAAATTTTATGAATTATACATATATTTACTACGTACAATATAGATTATTATTAAAAAAATATTTTTTGAATGGTGTTTTGTATGAGGTCTTATCATTTCATTGTATTTAATACTGCAGAATCTTATAACTATTTGAATAGCTTTTTATTTAGCCAATTCTATTCCAGAGTCACTGTCCACTTTGTAATGCCCGACGGCAGCAAGGTTTCAGCGAACTCCAAAGTGGGCGAAAATCTTCTGGATATCATTGTAGACAATGATATAGATATTGATGGATTTGGTTAGTTGTTCATTACCCCGTTTTAAATTTTATGAGAACTTATTTACAAAGCATAATGACTTCATGGGAAAAAATTACTCCTATTTAATAAATATTTGTTTTATAGGGTTTTTTAAGAACTTTTTTCAGACTTATTCAGACTGAATATACTATAGATGTCATTTAAAGTTACTCTTTTCTTTTTATATATGGTACCTAGTAATATCATTTAGAAGGTTATGTTTGCGTTGTATCATATATTAAAAAAAAAATTCATCATATATGACAAAGATACTGACATATGTCTGCAATGAATGGCATTTTTTCCTTTCATATACAATCTGTTTTGTCTACCATGTGAACTTTCAACTTTCATTAAAAAAATGAAAAATTTAAACATGAAATCATATAACTTTTCTGTCTCAAAAAAAGATAGTGACTTCAGCTGACATTTTCCCAAGCTGTTCATTTTTATGATATTGCTGTGATAAATCTTGAAATCCTCTGTTTGTAAATGACATTTGTATTATTGATTTGTGGCAGGTGCTTGTGAGGGAACCCTGGCCTGCTCCACATGTCATCTCATCTTCTCTAAAGAGGATTATGATCGGATTCCAGACAAACCCACAGACGAGGAATTAGACATGTTGGACCTCGCATATGGCCTTACTGATACGTGGGTATTTAAACAGTTGGAGGCCATAACTGATCCATAAGAAAACTGCTATTTTTTTCTAACCCTAAACTTTCAAAAAGAATAATTTGTCAAGAAGTTTAATTTCAATTTAATTATCGTCCATTCTTTCTCTCTCTCACACAGCTGTAACAAAATGGTTGTTGGATAACCTCAATGTTTATATATTTGATTCATCAGAAACAGTAATGGAACTTGGATTGGTGTTTTGGTCTTTAGGCCTCTTTGGATTAGTTCACATAAGTTATTAAATCTGGCTAAAAGTTTACCTGTAAGAAGAACTGTTATTGGTCCTTTAAGATATGATGACAAGTTCTGATAGGAATTCAACAAAATCATTGCAAAGGTTATGATGAATTTTTCTTTCATTTTTACAGATCTAGATTAGGTTGCCAAGTCATTGTGACAAAAGATATGGATGGACTTGAGGTCAAGGTTCCTGCTGGTGTAGCAGATGCCCGAGATCCATCATGACCATAGCTGTCCTGTAGGATATTAAAAACAAACCATAGAAAAGACAATATGAGTATTTAAACTAGATTCAACATCACCTTATATAATCTTAATAAAGACTTGTACGTGATACTAACTCTCATTGGTGATTTTGTTTATCAATTCTCAGATGACCAAATGTATTTACGTTAAGGCTCAAGTTTTTAATTGCACCTTGTAATGGAATGAATCATATACAACGAATGGTATTTTAAAATAAGAGACAATGACAAAGCTACCTGATATTTTATCTCAAATAAAAAAAAATGTATAATATTTCTCTGATACATGTATATGTCTATCATTAATGTCATATGTGATAATATTGTATGTTTATATTAATTGTATACATGGAAATGTGATTAAAACTAAATTGTAATGCAACTGTATACATGTAAATGTGATTAAAACTACATGTAAATTGTAATGCAACTGTCAAGTCACATGTGTTCTAACTGGCTAATGTGTTTATGTTTCAGGCATGTAAATAAGATCATTTTTGATTGCACATGCCAGCGGTACTGTAAATAAGTATGGTGACAGGGTTTTATACATGTATATGGGAAAATATGTTTTAATTAAATTATTATTTTAAGAATAGGAGGGTCATGGTTAGTAAAATTAAGGTGCAATCATCCTCAGGAAATCCAGGTACAATTTTGTTCAATCATGGCCCCCAGGGAGTAGGGTGGGGCCACAACAGAGGATAAAAAAAAATCCTGAGTATATATAGGGAAAATGTTTGAAAATCTTTCTTTCAAGAAAGGAGGGCAAGGATTACTATTATATAAATATGCAAGCATTCATAGGTAGTGCAGATTTAAGTATGTGTGAATAATGCAAAGAGCCCCCCCCCCCCCCCCCCCCGGGATCACAGTCGGGGATCAGTATCTTAAAAATTAGCAGGACCACTCTAAATTGCATTCTTTTGAAAACATGAAGTTATGTAGATTCAATTTTTTCTTCAAAGAAGAGGTCCTGGGGTTAAAGTAAGGCTAAAATCAGGGAGATGTTTTTATCTAGAGCATGTTTACTTCTTTTGCAGAACAGGAGGATTAGTCATAATGATACCTAATATTCAACGGGATATATTGATTCAAATTACCGGTGGGTTAAACCATGACCCTTTGGGGATAGGTTGGGACCATCAAATGGGGTTAAAAATGTCATGTGACTATTGATATATTTCTTAAAAATATGATGAACAGATAGGCCATGGGGAGTCATGTGAGCGTTGTAGCCCATGGGCCTCTTGTTTTTAATGTGTAGCTTACTCTGAAGCCTAAGATCACCAAACCTTGTCAGTTGATGAATTCTGCGGCCACACATATGTTGACCTAAAAGAAGTTCTGAATTATTGTAATTTATTTGAAATTTCATGGTCATATATATAGAAAAAACTGTCTTAGATATACCGATATTTTAATTTTGCCTTCATTCATAAAGTTTTGTCAGTTTATTTTATAAAGCTTGGAATAGAGGTTTGTGCAACCTAAAAAACAGGTTAAGATAGATACCTGGTATTGTAATTTTCTGCTTTGCCCAGTATAATGGTGTATGATAACCATCTAGCACACATTGAGATCTAGAACTGCTACAGCACCTTGGAACATATAGACACTTCGATTTTTGGTCTAATTCTACAATTATTGACAAGAGCGTTTCTATGCCTCTTGGTTCTTGCTTCAAACCAGGTCAAAACTTCAAGAGAATTTCCATCTTATAAAAAAATTTAAAAAACTATTCTAGGTTATAAACATGGTAATAAAATACATGTACATGTTAATTGATAGAAAAATGACCATCTTTAATAATTCTGTATGTATACTGTGTTTTGAATACCACGCCTCCAAAAGTTTTGACCCAGTTTCAATGAAACGTGGTACAGAAGTAGACTATATATATGAAAATACGTTATTCTCTACATCAGCGCCTAATCTAGATGAATGGTGTCCCCATGGTTACCTTGTACTAAAATATAACAGTGTGTGAAATTCTTTCAAATTACTATACCCCTGCAGTTTTGAATTAATTCCATTAAACTTTTATAAATAGCAATTGTAGAAATACATCAAATACACTATTCTCTGTTTTATTTTTCTATGATCATTTTTACCATGGTTACCAAAATTGGAATAATCCATGAAAATCTTTCCAAATGCTACTACTTATTTTTTTTAATATCGATCCTATTTTAAAACAATTTGATAACAGGATACCGAGTTTATAGTCATGATGATTGTAATTGGACAAGTTGACATAAGATCTGACATGTTGACGTAAATATCGGACAAGATTACATAAACAGCTGACAAGTCGAAATAAGCCGCCATAAATTTTGAGAAAATTTAACCCATGATACAAAATCGCCCTATGTTTACAGTTAGTAAGCTGTAAATAACAAAAGATGCAGGAAGAAGTAGGGAATAAAGGGGTCCAGTAGATCATCATTCTTGTAGTTTATCTTCAATTTGTATTTTTTATTATACGAAAATTTATAAGGCGCTAAACATAATTCTAGAATTACTCTAAAGCGCTGTAAAATATAGATATAATAAACAATGAATAAATTAATTAAACTCACTTATAATATGTTTAAAATTATAAAGTGGCAGTAAATATACATACATGCAATTTATGTTGAAAAATAATAGATGCTGTGAAATTAAGAAAGTGATGTTACAAGTAAGGTTGTCATGGACAACCGTGGCCTCAAATATGAAAATAAGTTGAATCGTGTAGTTGATCAAAAACGTACATTTGTATTCTGGATGATCTCCGACCTATTTTTATTATTCTGGAAAAATGAAAATTTTGAAAACTGAATTCATAATAAATAGATACAGATAAATCACGTTAAACAAACTCTGTAGTTGGAGTCAATATTCAACAGGGTCGATTTTCAACGTTGAAAAATGAATCCAGGTCAATTTTCAACCCGGGTCAATATTCTACGTTAAAGCTATCGCGCAAGAATATAAAGCGTTATGCGTATTACATGCGATACGGTGTCGGCACTATTTCTCTTCTCTACTAATATCTCAATTCCATATATAAGACGTTTGGTCATCGTCACGGGCTGATGCACACTGACCTAAAAGGCCTAGTGTATACATTGATAGGTATGTCAAACCTGTACTGTCTGTGGGGATTTCTATTTCATTCAAGTAATACAAAATGTAACACTAATCGTAAATCAGAAATGAATAAAAATAATAATTAGTAAAAAAAATAAATAAAATCAGGATTGAGTAAATAATGTTTTGACACACACTAATAACTTACACGTTATTACAATCGAACTGCAGTGAGAGACACACATCGAACACTACGAAAGTGGACAATTTGTGGAGACAGTACAAGTTTGATGGATCCAACGGTAAGTAGAAATAAGCATAAAAACGATCAGAATAAAGTATCCAAATTCTTTTACGAAATACATCCAGAACACATTCACGCCCTTCCGACATGCTGACAAGTCACTTGACAATCCAGTTTTGCTAAAAATAGATAACATAATTTCCATTTTCGTGCGCATGCCTCTCAATGGGATCGGTTATTATTGACCATTTTCCTGATGATTGCATTTTATCTTTGAAAAAAAGTAATAATATATAAAAGCAGGATTCACCGCATTGTAAGGTGTGGTTTTAAATGTTACTTATGTAGTTGTAATCGATTTTTACCAAGATCCTGTTAGCTACAGATTTGAAGAAAAATTGAGTAAAAAAAAATATTGGAGGTTATATAAAAATATTTGTAGGCCTCCTTTTTTCCTAACTAATATGAAAAAGGACAAAACACATATGTACACGTATATTGAAGTTGTATTTTTCTTGATCAAAATAAAGCTTTTCTTCATTAAAAAAAAATTAGATAGTACAAACATCAAAAAGTTTCCAACAAATATGTACAACTTGTACTGTTATTACACATGTAAAATATTTCTTCCATATATGTACGAAAATAACGCCATACAAAATCCATAATAACTAATGTTTGACAGAAACCTACAACACAAAACATGTACATACCGTTTTTCTTCATACAAAAAAAAAAAAACAAAAAAACAAAAACAAAAAAAAACACCCAATAATTTAAATGGTAATTATAAATGCATGACCTGATATATACGTGTATTTAAGAGAAATAAGTTTTTACAAAATAAGCTGTTTGATACTCTCTCTCTCTCTCTCTCTCTGTCTCTCTCTCTCTCTCTCTTCCAGGCTTATTGATAATGTATTTTATCTGCTTTCATAGATAAATTGTTGTGCATGCCAAAATAGAGGGCAGTGCAAAAGTTGTGTATGCAGGAGAAGGGGCTGCACAAACTGTAGAAATGCTAACTGCCAATTCAGGGAAGCAGAAGGAAATCCACAACAATCCAGGTTTCACCCATATGCCAACAATAGCAGAAGGAATTCAAGAGGAGGAGATGGTGTCCCTTCTCTTAATCAAATGCTGGAAGATAGAGCTAGACCTGAAAATAACAGAGACCAGGGTCAGGCAGTTAGTTTGCAGGTACACCAAAATTATACAAGAATCAACGGACACAGAACTAAATTCCACACTTTATGCATCTGTGTCTTTATTATTTTAAACATGAAAATTGTTCATTATTGCTGAACGCCATTACCTCCATGCCAGAGGCGGAGTTGCGTGCAAGAGTATCAGTTGCGGCGACACTGCTTCCTGACGTACTGGCCCCATACCTCTTGGAAACAAGTGGATTTTGTTCGGGTAACTTCAGTGTTGCCTCATGGTGTTGTTGTGGGAGGTGTACCGTTTTCTCTGACCCACGGATGAACATCTGCTGTGGTCATCCCCACTGCATCACCACGAGGCCAGAATTTCGCAACCTATGTCTCAGACATGATGTTATTGAGATTGCGAACATTCTGAACTGGAGTTTCCGAACAAATCTTGATCCTAGTTTCAGAGCCAGTACGTTCAGGAACCAGGCATACCGCAATTTTGTACTCTGGCAGCATGGGCGGTTAGGAGCAGGAAGGCGAGTTGTAGTACCATCCTGTGTCTGTCGTCAGATACGACTTCGATTTCCTGAAGTCAATCCTGTGGACTATAAGGGCTATGAGTCTTTATACTCTGATTCAGATTAAAAGAGAAATGTTACTTACCACAAGGTTTTCTTTTTTTTTCTGCTGTTTAAAAGTTCCTTAGATGACGGTGTAGTTTCTCCAGAGAGATTAGTAGCGATTTGATCCAATGTTTTTGCTTGTAAACTTTTCGTATATGCTTCTCTTCGGGCGCCATATGTTTGTCTCAAACAACTTGCAATGAGATCTAAAAAAATTGTACTGAATAATTTAGTTATATCTTTACAGTGATAGATTTTTACCCCCCCCCCCCCAAAAAAAAGGAGGGGGAAGAATAAATACAACCTGTATGTATAAACAAATTCAGAAAGAATACGGCATGTTTATAAGGCAATGCATACTTTATTAATTTCATTACCCCCCCCCCCCCCACCCCCTAGTTTTTAACATAACATATGAAAAAAATATCTTATTTACGTACCAGGAATATAAGTATAACATTTAGCTACTCGTCTATCATAAGCAACCCACTGCTTCGTTTTACGAGAAAATTGTACGACAGGGACACTGGTTCCATCCTTTGCTTGCTGAATCTCTCTGTCCAGATGGTGATTATAGTCGATGACAGCAAGTTGGTTCCTGATGACGTAGGAGTCAAATCCAAATGACACTTGTTTTGGACAGTAGTGCAGGAGAGTGTGGGAATAGAAATTTTCAATTGCCCACGTTTGTCTACAGGTAGTGTAATAATTGAAGTTTCCAGTAAACTCCTTATTTACGACGATTTTTCTATATATAGAAATAAAAAAAAATTCATGATTTCTAATGATCTGTACTGTAATTGTTTGTATAGATAGTAAAAAGAGCGTACGTCTGTTCACTAACTTCAATAAATAATAAATACGTACCGAAATTCTGTGTAAGTAGATGAATTCTTAGAAAGCCACTTTTCCATACTTGTATTTGTGTCTTTAGCATGATTACATCTATAAGTTTACAATTAAATAGATAAAATCGCAATTTTTTTTAAAACAGTTCAAAATAGTTTCATTGGATATGTTTTCATAATGCATGGTTACCTGCCACCAGACCATTCATGCTCGTTTGTAACATGGTGCAGTATTTTAAACCATTTTTTAACCAGTTTTTGGGCATCCCCACCGCACGAACTACAGCAATACCAGAAGTGGTTTACAGTAGGGCGGATCCATGGTAATAGACTGCGATGGGCAGCTTTCTTTGCAGCATCCCCCAACATATATGCAAGCTTCTTAGCTTTATGCCAAATATCCAAACTGTGGCGAATGTGTTTAAACCTATCCGATTCTAAAATGACAATCAAATTTTATTGGAACGTGTATATACTTTTATCTGATTATGAATAGATAATATATACCAGATAATTCCAGTAAAGTATTATAAATTATTACTTAGCAAAGCAATGATCGTTCTGCTGGCATCAGAAACGATTTCCCAAATCACCAATGGATAATGGTATATAACCTTCTCCAGTCCCCTCTCAACCAACAACTTTTCCATTTTTGGACTGTATCTCTGTACTTCCCTGGAGTCTGCAACATCTAAGTGCACAATCAACCGACTTTCGCAGTCCATAAACACTGAAGTTGCTTTGTTAGCGGAAAATCCTGCAAGACAATTCACGGCTTTTACTGCTGTCATGACAGACATATCCTCATGCGCGGATCTAGAGGGGGGGGGGGGTCCGGACCCCCTGGAATTTGCAGAGTTATTAAATTTATATACTAAACCAAGTAAAAAGTGACCTTGGACCCCACTTAGAAAACGCAGACCCCCCTCGAAAACGCGGACCTGTGTCAAGTTGGTACGAAAAGTCAAATGTAAGAAGTCAACCACTAACACCCCCCCACCCCCCACCTCAAGAAATATAGGTTTTTCACGTTTGGGCGGCGAGTTTACATTTTTTTTTTTTTTTTTTTTTTGCTTGTCAACAAATTTCTGGGTTGGATTTTTTTTGACTGGGGTGGAATCCCCCCCCCCCCTGGAAAAAATTCCTGGATCCGCGCATGATCCTAGTAGTACCAGTAGGTGGGTGGGGACTGTTCCCTTCATTTTTCTTTCATTTCTCTATTGTCAAAATTTTTCAGTTTTTTCTCAAATACCCCCCCCTTTCTATTTGAAAAAGCTGTAACATACTTGTATAAAAAAATCACTATTTTTTTAAATAACAGATTACTGTTTATTCAGTATATCTAAAACCTGACATTCATTTAGCTATTAGAGTAAATATCTCCTGTACCTGGTGAGTCATATCGGACGTCAACTGCTAGGCTCAATGGCTTGCTTGCTAATTTTTTATGCACATTAGTCAGATGTTTTTCAAAAAAACTGTTTATTGCCTCCTGCAAAGAGAGTAATATCTAGTTTGTCTACTTTGAATTTCCTTTTTAATTGCAAATATTATTGATTGAAAATTTAAAAAAAAAATTACCTTATACAGAAGTTGATGATGGTAAAATGCACGGGAACACCCTGTTACTAAGTTTATAAACTTCGCTCCGGTGGCAAACTTACTCCAAGACGCGCCAGATAACAGTACCATCAATTGTATTAGCAGCGCCACCAGACTCTTCCCACCATAAAAAGGGGTCGAAATCCATTTGTTCTTGTGGGAATTCTATTTTTCAAAAATGTATAAAATCAACTTTCATCCAAAATTATTACAAAATCATTGAGATGATCAGATAAGTGTAAGTTTATACCCCACCCCTTTTCCTGTCTTGTATATTCGTGTAATAAAAGAATTTCTTCAATTTACTTTCCTCCACCTAATGCTATTTTTATGAACCCTTCTGTTCTACTTTTGTTTATCCTTTGTAAAATAGACCAGGATTGTTTTTTTAAAGTGTACATGTATTTTTTTTTATAATCATCTTATACATTTTAAATTCTTTTATAATATGTACGGATCTCAAATTGGTCAATGCAAAACGTAGTTATGTCTAATAATCAATTTACTTTTTAAAAAATTCATTCTATTGCATTTTATTTTCATTTTTTTTTTCTTTTTTTACAGAATAAGGTTAGTCAGTGAACTATTTCGTTTCTAATTGATGTCAGACACCTCTCGTATATAAATGTTTTGATCAATGGAAATATCACACAAAGATGATTGGAAACCTGGATTTGTTTTTTTCTTTTTTGTATACATACAACGCAGAGGTACTGGTATTTTATACCAGCAGCAATCTTCTCCCCTTCTTGTATGGTAGAATTATCAATGCGCTCTCCACACTCTGAACACGTTGATCTTTCTATAAGGTAGAGAATTTCCCTTTCGCCGACGATAAACCTCCTGTCCTTTACAAGATGGATTTCCTCGTCTTGCTCGTTTCTCCTTCAAACATAAATGAGTAATGTAGCGTATATAAATATAGATAAAGATTTTATAAGCGCTTTTGATTATGTGGCGCAGAGAGAGAGAGAGAGGGGGCTCATACTCGTGCCATATAGCTTCATCTGCGTCGTTTTCTCCCTCTGTATCTACATCTTCTGGATCCATGGTCTCGTTTGCATCATCGTCACCAAATATTTCTCGTAGTAATTTTTCCACTGTACTTTCACATTCCTACGTATACATGCATATTTTTATTGAGAATAATAGAGTTATTAACGATGAAAGAATATAATTTGAGAGATATTGAACCTTTATTTCCTTAAAAAATGACTACATGCATACATATGAATATTTTTATTTCACACAAATTCTTTATAAGGCATAAAGTGCATGGATTGTTCCAAAAAGTATTTAATCCATTTTCCCGCTTCATATAATAATGATAGTACAGAAGCTACTTTTTTTGTAGAAATTGATTTTTTAAAAAAATCATAGTACATGAAAAGGGCGAAGAAATGATTATAATATAGATGAATTCATACACTGTAATCAATCAGATGCAGGATGATTTTTGTTTGTTTGTTTCTTTTGTTTTTTTTTCTACACACAATGACTACAAAGTTATATCATTTTACATCTTTTCAAAGTGGTTCAGGGTTGGTGGCCTTCTTTTTTTTTTTTTAAATGAAATTGAAACTCTGACAGAGATCCTTTTTCAGAGGGCAGACCATAAAAAAAATAATAAAAATAAAAAAATAAAAATTATCACCTCTGTATCTGAAGTCTCTTCCTCAGATTCCATCATGTTCACAGAAACCTTTATAAATAAAAGTGATTGAAATTCTACACAAATTCAGGTGTCCAAGCTTATGCTTTATTTCGACATCTGATTTTTGTACGTTTAAATTGTACGCTTTTATATATATATATATATATATATATATATATATATATAAGTGAAATTTCCTCAAATATACCGGCTTACATTTTGCCTATTAACCCCATTGAAAAATGAAAGAAAGGCAAGAATTCATCTGAAAACATGCACCCTCACATTCATGTAATATATATAAATCTGCCCCCCCCCCCCCCCCCCCCGGGAGTTCTGCAGAATATCATACAGACTAGTTAAAATGTGTAGAACATAAAAGACAGAGACCATTTTCTCTTTGTTTTAAATACTTCTTGCAAAACCTTTAAATAATTAGCAGGAGGATGTATTTGAATTATTGAATATATTCATTGAATAAAAAAAATAATAACCGATCCTTTTGAGAGGCATGCGCACGAAAATGGAAATAATTATGTTATCTATTTTTAGCAAAACTGGATTGTCAAGTGACTTGTCAACATGTCGGAAGGGCGTGAATGTGCTCTGGATGTATTTCGTAAAAGAATTTGGATACTTTATTCTAATCGTTTTTATGCTTATTTCTACTTACCGTTGGATCCACCAAACTTGTACTGTCTCCACAAATTGTCCACTTTCGTAGTGTTCGATGTGTGTCTCTCACTGCAGTTCGATTGTAATAACGTGTAAGTTATTAGTGTGTGTCAAAACATTATTTACTCAATCCTGATTTTATTTATTTTTTTACTAATTATTATTTTTACTCATTTCTGATTTACGATTAGTGTTACATTTTGTATTACTTGAATGAAATAGAAATCCCCATAGACAGTACAGGTTTGACATACCTATCAATGTATACACTAGGCCTTTTAGGTCAGTGTGCATCAGCCCGTGACGATGACCAAACGTCTTATATATGGAATTGAGATATTAGTAGAGAAGAGAAATAGTGCCGACACCGTATCGCATGTAATACGCATAACGCTTTATATTCTTGCGCGATAGCTTTAACACCGGTTCAAGTTTCTGGCAAAGTCTATTCTATATATTAAATGTACTAAACTTTATGCATGATACTTTTAGGAATGCTTTCTAGTTAAGATTTATATTTTTCTGATTACTTAATTATAAATCTTACAATGGTAAGCTTATGTAACTAATTATCTTATTGTCACATTAAAATCTACACGTTCCTAATCGAACACGCAAGCAATTTATATTTACCTGTGGGGAGCCTCCATTTTTACCGGGTTTATGTTACCCTGTTTTATACCTCAAATCACCGGACCTTTAAAATATTTGTAAGCCCGTGCTTGAGTTTGGACACGGCAGTCCTGGGAGAAGGACGTTTTCAAAACTTCTCAAGATCTGTTTGATTTATCTTATACACATGGCAGACCACTGAGGGTTTTACTTGTTTAGAATTTAGTTGTATGGTCCTGCTTCTCTGAGGTAAGCCTTATTTGTGTTTGTTTTTAATATTTTATAAAGTTGTAAACATCTCAAAACACCCAGATACGGAATTTCTAAAATATGCAACTTTAAGCTATTCTATTTGATATTTTTAAGTTCTGTTATTTATAGTTACTCGAAAATGTTTGAGTCTTAATTGTACGGTGGATTGTTTGTGTCTTTATTTGTCGGTTCTACGTTCTGTAATAACTATTGTATAGTAAAGCATTTATTGCGTTGTACATATTGTACTCACGGAGTAAGTTGTATGTCTATATTATTCTGTGTATGATATTTTAACAGGTCTCATTCCTGTATAGTAGTGTAGAGATGGCGGCCGGTACCAGTCACATCTCATAGTCTTGAACGCAAGACGGACGTGTAACCTCCTCGGCACTGGAGAGGGGGAAGTGTAAACCTTTCTCGGCACTGGAGAGGGGTGTCTGAGCCTCATTAGCGGCAAGAGACTGTAGTGTAGCCTAAACACCGTGTGGAACAAAACCATAGACGTAGTAGACATTCTAGGGACACGGACGACCACACACCAAACCAGTTTATTATGTTGTATAATATTATTATGCCCCGCCATGAATATGGCTGGGGCATATAGTGTTTGTCATGTCCGTCTTCCGTCCTTCCGTCCTTCTGTCCTTCCGTCCTTCCGTCTGTCCTTCCATCACACTTTGCGTTTAGCTCTGTTCAAAGCTCAGTTTCAAAGATACCATTCAAGATATTTTTATCAAACTTCATATGCTGATAGATATTGATGAGAGCTATGCAACTGCATCAACATTTTTTGACCTTGACCTTTCCTTTGACCTTGACCTCACTTTTCTTAAATTAGTGTTTAGCTCAGTTTTAAAGATACCATTCAAGGTAGTGTAATCAAACTTCATATGTTGATGCATACTGATGTAAGCTATTCAACTGCAACAACATTTTTGACCTTGACCTTTCTTTTGACCTTGACCTCACTTTTCTTAAATTAGTGTTTAGCTCAGTTTTAAAGATACCATTCAAGATAATGTAATCAAACTTCATTTGTTGATACATACTGATGTAAGCTATTCAACTGCATCAACGTTTTTTGACCTTGACCTTTCTTTTGACCTTGACCTCACTTTTCTTAAATTAGTGTTTAGCTCAGTTTTAAAGATACCATTCAAGATAATGTAATCAAACTTCATTTGTTGATACATACTGATGTAAGCTATTCAACTGCATCAACGTTTTTTGACCTTGACCTTTCTTTTGACCTTGACCTCACTTTTCTTAAATTAGTGTTTAGCTCAGTTTTAATGAAAGCATTCAAGATATTTTTAACAAACTTCATATGCTGATACATAATGATGAGAGCTATTCAACTGCATCAATATTTTTTACCTTGACCTTTCCTTTGACCTTGACCTCACTTTTCTGAAATAAGTTTTAGCTCAGTTTTAAAGATACCATTCAAGATAGTGTTATCAAACTTCATATGCTGATACATACTGATGAGAGCTATTCAACTGCATCAACATTTTTTGACCTTGTGTGGCAAATCACAATCACACGGAAATCTTCTTTATCATTTATTATGGCGATTAAAGGCAAATAACAAATCCACAGGGGTTAACAATCACAATACCACATTGGCTAAGATATTCAGAATGTTTTCTGATATATACTTAATCTTTGTTTCAATCTAATCTCAATCTTTTTCTCAATCTGAACTATGATCACAAAAATTGTCACTTATATACTATGAGGGAAACATCTAGAAATAGAAAGTTCTGTAAAATTCTAGGTCATCATATTCTCACATATTCTAGAGAATTCTTGATTATTCATTCAAGTAATATGTAGAACATTCTAGATTTCACATAATTAAATCAATTCATTAAATTTCTATAAATGTTCTTGAAATTGCGACTGTTCGCAACACTCCCAAGGCCAAGGAAAGTCTGTCATGAATTTAATTGTTCTTTAATCAGTTTTGTGGCTTTTTCAGCAGCCTGTCTCTTTGCTCTAGGCAACGGAGGAATATCACTGACTGTTGGTTTTTCCTTATTTGCATCACTGTCACCATGATCTGAGTTATCGTTACATTCTATAGGATAGAGTAAATTTAAAGGTCGGTTTAATGTCCTTTTGTTGGGTAACATTACTTTTCCCGATCTGAACTGACCATCTTGACTTACTGTCAAATCGCAAATTTTTCCGATCTTCCAACTTCCTCTAGGTAGATCTTCTTTGATAAGAACAACATCACCAATTTTTACTGGTCTATTGTGTTGAATTCGTTTTCCTTTTAATTTATAAGATGTTCTTTCTCTTAGACTTAGAAGATATTCATCTCTCCATGTCTTCCAGAATGTATCTAAAAGTCGTTGACCTTTCTTCCAAATTGCCAACAAAGTGTTCACAGAGCTTGCATGGGGTACATAGTCTGGATCCATGGGATCAAAATTTTCACTATCTTGAAGTCCTATTTTGGGGTTCAAAGTGAGGAAATGTGCTGGAGTTAAGGTGATGTTTGAATTAATATCATCTCCAATGTAGACTAAGGGTCTAGTATTCACAACGGCTTCAGCTTCTGCAAGCATAGTTCTCATCTGCTCATTTGTTAAACAGAGTTTTCCCATAGTTTTTCTTAAGCATCGTTTGACAACACCAACCAGACGTTCATAAAATCCTCCCATCCATGGTGCCAGTTCCACAATAAATTGCCACTGAATCTCTTCATTTGCAACATAACTTTGGACATCTTTATCAGAAGTGACTTTTTCCCAACCTTTTTCCAACACCAGGCTTGCAAGTTTGAATTGAGCACCGTTATCAGAGATGATTTGTTTTGGCTTGCCAAAACGTGCAATAAATCTTCTAAGTCCTAGTAAAAACTGTTCTGTGGACATGTCCTGCATGAGTTCAAGATGTATAGCCCTTACTACCAAGCAGGTAAATAGACACACCCATACCTTTTTTACTGCCAGTTTCTGTTTTAATGAAGATTGGTCCAAAGTAATCCACTCCGGTGTATGTAAATGGTGCTGATTCACTTACACGTTTCTTTGGTAGTGGAGGCATTAGCGGCATCTTGTAAGGACCACCCTCAAACCGCTTACAGACTGTGCATTTCTGTATTATTCTTCTTACTTCTGATCTTCCCTGTGGAATCCAGTATTCTTGACGAACCAATGATAACGTTTGGGAAACTCCGACATGAAATGATTTTTTATGGATGTAATCAATAATTAGCCCTGTCACATGGTTCTTTCTTGGAAGAAGTATGGGAGTTCTTGCTCCTTCTGACAGCTGAGCATCTTCGAGTCTTCCAATACATCTGATAATTCCTTCCTGATCTAATACCAGTCCTAGTTGACTAACTAAATTGTTTCTCCTATTTTCTTTGAGCGCGATTTTGATATCACTATAATTCTGAGTTTGAATATTCTTTATCACAAGAATTCTGGCATTCTGTAGTTCTGAGGAAGTTAGATGGTTCGCATGCATCTGAATTTTCTTCGATCTTTTGATAAACCTTAGAATCCATGCTAAAACTCGAATAAGACGTAAAAATGATGAAAATCTGTGGTAGTCAATAATGCTTGGATATCCAGTTGAGTCGGAATCTGAATTGTTTTTACTTCCGTTAGGACTCTCCCCAGCCATCAGTTTAGCTTCATAAAGTATCTTTGGAGTCTTGCATTCTGATTCTATGGCATTTTGAACTTCTTTACAGGTTTGTTGACTGTTCCATGAAGGCCAGTCATCTCTCTTTTTAATCAACCATTCTGGACCATTCCACCATTGTTCCAATTCTTGAAGAGTTGTAACTGTTGTTCCTCTGCTTGCAATATCAGCTGGATTATCTTTTGTAGATACATATTGAAAATTGATATCTTTGTTGTTTCTGATTTCTTTTACTCTGTTTTCCACAAAAGTAGTTAGAGGTTTCTTCATTCTAATCCAATGCAATACACACTGGGAATCAGTCCAAAGGATCTTTTCTGTGATAGTTAACTTAAGTTGCTGTTCAACAAAGTGTACACATCTGACTCCAATGACAACAGCTAACAGTTCCAATCTAGGTAGTGTTATTTTCTTAAGTGGCACTAATCGAGTTTTTGAAAACAGCAGGTTGACTGAAGTTCTTTCATTGTTGCTCTGGTGTAAATAAACCGAACAGGCGTACGCTTTCGTTGATGCATCACAAAAGCACATTAAATTGTATGTCACCGTACCAGAAAGTCCAATAAAACGAGGAATATGAGAAATGGGAATATTATCCAGATCTGAGGATATATTTTCCCATTGTTGTATGTCTTCTTTGGTCAGTTCTTCATCCCACTCTTTCTTTTGGTTCCATAATGTTTGTAGAAACAACTTTGTTCTCAAAGTAACTGGGGTGAAGAATCCAAGTGGATCAAAAACAGAAGCAATTCTTTGAAGGACTTTCCTCTTTGTGATAGGTGGAATCTGAGTTTCATCCTTTGGACTGTTTATAAATATGGAGTCCTCAGAAAGTTTCCAAGATAAACCAAGAATTTTTATGGTTTCTCTGTTAGCTTGATCAGCTGGAGGAATACACTTACTAAATTCTTTGGAGTTAGATGCCCATTCTCGTAAATTCATTGACATGACACTGAAGATTTCTTTAGCATCTGTGTATAGTTTCCTAGCCTCTGAGACGGACTCTACACCAGTGATAACATTATCTACATAGATATTACCTTTTATGTTTTCAGCTGTTGCAGTGTTGTAGTTTCCAAGATGGTAATCTAAAGTTGCAGCCAACAGAAAAGGGCTTGATATAACTCCAAATGGAACTCTCGTAAATCTATACACTTGAATATTGTTCTCTGTTGTTGGAGTGTCAATATTCTTTAACCAAAAGAATCTTGTCACATCTCTGTCTTTTCCTTGTAATTCAATCTGCAGAAATGCCTTTTCTATGTCAGCAATAATTGCAATCTTTTTCATTCTAAATCTCAACAACAGTCCACACAAATCATTTAGCATCACTGGTCCTCTGTAAAGACATTCATTAAGGCTGTTATACTCTGGTTTTAACTTTGCTGATGCATCATAAACGATCCGCATTTTTGTGGTAGGTTTTGTTGGATCAATAACAGCATGATGGGGTATGTAGTGTTTGACACTATTCTTTACTTCACTGTTTTTTGTCACTTTCTCAATGATGCCTTGCTTGCACTGCTCCTGAATTATTTCATCATATTTGTGAAGTAGCTTTGGGTTCTTTTTAAGTTTTTGAATTAAAGATCTCAACCTTCCAAAAGCAAGTTCTCTGTTCTCTGGGAGTTCAGGTTGCTCATCTTTCCATGGCCAAGTGACTTGGTATCTGCCATTGACTAGTTTTATTGTATCAGTAAAGTTTTTCAAAGCCTTGTCATCATCTGATGAGTGAGGCTGGTCTTTGATTCCAATCGTTTCCAAGTTCCAATACTCATCCAATGATGGCTTCAAGGGCAAACATTGATCGACGGAGGAATGTAGGCAATATTCTGTTGTTAAGTTATTTCCATTTACAATCAGCATTTCATGTAAATGATCTCTGGACGCCTCAAAATTTTCTTGTGTTCTTCCAGTGAGAATCCATCCTACCTTTGATGATAGTAAGTAAAGTCCAGGGTTAACTTCAATTTTCTCTGATGATACTAAATCAAGATAATAGTCATTTCCAATAAGGATGTCTATGGTTGAATTTTCTGTAGTTTTTGGTAGAGTATCAGCAAATTGTAAATGTTTCCATTGGTGCTGCATCTTTTCAGTGATGTTAGGTGGCAACGGTCTTCTATGTATTGATCCAGTTATTTGAGGCACAACATTTGCGTCAATTCTCATGTAGTGCCCATCCTTTAGTTTAATTCTTAAAGATACATTTGGAGTTTTTACCATCTTCGGTTTCGTTGATCCAAAGGTGATGAGTGATATTTCTTCTGTTCTTTTCCTCTGCAAATTCAACCTTGAAGCTAATTCCTCAGTAACATATGTTCTTTGAGACCCAGAGTCCATCAGAATTCTAATAGTTTCAACTCTCCTTCCATTCAGATCTGATGCATCAATTCTTGCAGTTTGCATTAGCACCATACTACCTGAGGACAATAGACTGTTTTCTGGTATATTGTTAACTGGTTCAGAATCAAGAATCTCTGCTTCAACAAAGTGTGAGGTTTCTCTCAAAAGCTGTATCTTCTTATTGCAGAGACTTCGGTGATGTTTCTTTGTCTGATGGCAATGGACACATGGTTTGTCTACTTTGCAGTCTATGCTCAGATGGCCTGGTTTAAGACAAATGTAACATCTTCCTTTGATCTTCTGTTTTCTTTCATCAATTGTCCTGAATTCTTTGCATTCATCACTCCAATGATTTCGTTCACAGAAGATACAAATGGGATGTTTTCTTTCATATTTATTTCTTCTTTGTGATTCTTGAAATGATGTTGTTAATGCTTCTGCAGATGTATGTTTTCTTTCATTTACATATGACATTCCAGGTAATGAAGTTTTTCTTGCATGTTGTTTCTCATGAGAGTCTAGATTGTCCATATCTGTAGACTCTCTGGCTACTATGTAATTATCAAGAAATATTCTCAGCTTTTGCACAGTCCACTTTTCTTTCTTTCCTTTCTGTATTTCTAATTGTAATCTGGCTTCCTTTGGTAACTTTGTTATTATCATGGAAACAAAGACATCTTGATTTACATCCTGTTCCAAGGCTTCTAGACTACGCATATGGTTTTCTAGTTCATCCAGTAATCTACGGAGACTGGAAGTGTTATTGAGTGCAGGCTTAATGTTGATGAGGTCCATGTAATGTTTGTTTATTACAGACTGCACATCTCCGAATCGTTCCTTCAATATTGAGAGAGCTACATCATAATTTTCATGGGAGAGCATAAGGCCGGAAATAGCAGATTGTGCCGTTCCTTCCATTTTACTTTTCAAGTAGTTGAACTTCTCAATGTTGGAAAGCCTCGAGTTCTTGTGCACTGAAGCTTCAAAGGAGTCCCAGAATTCTTTCCATTTTAATTTATCTCCATTAAATGAAGGTAGTTCAAACTTTGGAAGTTTAACTACTGGAGTTTCTTTCTCTTTGTAAATCTTCTCTTTCCTGTGCAATTCCTGAATTTGGAGTTCTTTGAAATGCAAAAGTTGTTCCTGCATTCGTGTCTGCAGATCTATCATGTGGTCTATTCTTGGGTCATTTGATGCTTCCGTCTTCAAATATGGAATGTCCATTTGCTCCAGTCTTTTTTCTTGTAGTAGAAGTTCTTCAGAGTGCTCTGTAACTTCAGAGAGCAATTCAAACAGCATCTCACTATCTTCAGTAAATTTTTCAATTTCAGACTCGTTGTCGACTTTGCCCTCTAAGGCAATGGAAAGTTCTTTCATCGTTTCCTCGAGTTTTGCACCAAAGTCCTTTAACCGCCTCAAGGAAGATTGAACCTGCCTTAACTTGGTTGTCAAATCCTCTTCTTCAGCTTCTGATGAAAGAAATGCCTTACTTTTAACCATTTCTTTGATAAGTAAATTCTTGTACCTTGTACAAAGTCCTTTCAAGTATGAGGTTGACATCTTCTTCTTTTCCGTGATAATTTCTTAATTTCAGGTTCCAACTCCCGGGTTCCGGCACCAAACAATGTGGCAAATCACAATCACACGGAAATCTTCTTTATCATTTATTATGGCGATTAAAGGCAAATAACAAATCCACAGGGGTTAACAATCACAATACCACATTGGCTAAGATATTCAGAATGTTTTCTGATATATACTTAATCTTTGTTTCAATCTAATCTCAATCTTTTTCTCAATCTGAACTATGATCACAAAAATTGTCACTTATATACTATGAGGGAAACATCTAGAAATAGAAAGTTCTGTAAAATTCTAGGTCATCATATTCTCACATATTCTAGAGAATTCTTGATTATTCATTCAAGTAATATGTAGAACATTCTAGATTTCACATAATTAAATCAATTCATTAAATTTCTATAAATGTTCTTGAAATTGCGACTGTTCGCAACACCTTGACCTTTCCTTTGACCTTGACCTCACTTTTCTTAAATCAGTGTCAAACTTCATATGCTGATACATACTGATGAGAACTATTCAACTGCATCAATATTTTTTGACCTTGACCTTTCTTTTGACCTTGACCTCACTTTTCTTAAATTAGTGTTTAGCTCAGTTTTAAAGAAACCATTCACAATATTTTTATCAAACTTCATATGCTAATACATACTGATGTAACCTTTTCAACTGCATCAACATTTTTTGACCTTGACCTTTCCTTTGACCTTGACCTCACTTTTCTTAAATTAGTGTCAAACGTCATATGCTGATACATACTGATGTAAGCTATTCAACTGCATCAATATTTTTTCACCTAGACCTTTCCTTTGACCTTGACCTCACTTTTCTCAATTTGTGTTAAAATGTTGCATTACTAATATACCCTCGGCGGGGCATTCATGTCCTATGGACATATTTCTGGTTTTCTAGCATATTTCTAGTTTTGTTAATTAAAATGTATAGTTAAAATGTAGAAAAGATTTTCTGTTATTTATTTATTATGGGGAGTTTGGATCACTATTCTCTACGCAAGGTCATTATTTGACACTTATTGAATATTTATGAATCTGAAATGAGAATTTGCCTCATAGACTGCATTCATGGAGGCTAGTTTTTGAAATCTCTTTATTGAACATTTATATGAATTATACTATGGTGAGAACAAAATCATGTGAAGTTACTGATCTATTACAAAACTCTTACAATTTTAATCGAAAATTAAAGTTTTTGTTCTGGTAAATGATGGTCAATCTGGACTGTATCTCAAACGCATTAGATGCTTTATTTTTTAATTGCCTACATGTACATCTACAATAAGTTCTGAATGTCTGTGTCAATAGAAGATTCAGTGATAAATGTTATCTAGATTTGTCACTCTGTGTACGTTATCTCCTTGAGGACTTATTTAACTAGGGTGAAATCTTTCACTAAGAAGATTACTATAGTACTTTGTTTTTGTGAGCTCAATATCCCACTCTTCATGACTCTTAATATTTCGTAGCGAACATTACTTGTGATTACGTATAATTGACCAGACTTAGAAAAAGCGCCCCCTACGGGCCTGTTGACATGTTTTCATAACACAGAATTTTGTAAAAAGATCATTCTTCAGGCGGCGTTTAATATTTTCTGATAGATTATTCCTGTAATTCAATTGTTTGTAAAAGTATATAGGAATGGATTTAAAAAAAAAAAAACAAAACAAAAAACAAAAAAACTCGTATCCATAATGTACTGCGCCTCATGCAAGGCTGTATTTATTGCATTGTATAATGAACATCCTATGTGCATGTATTTCCCTTAAATATACCAGTAGTTTTCAGGTTTTATTCTAATAATCTATGTGTAGCTGCAACAGTTATTTGAATGGTCGAAATTAGAAATCATGATCGTGTCACAAATGTTCCACTGTATATAACTGGGCCGTAGAACGCGGGGGAGATGGGCGCCCCCACCCCATTTTTTCTGAGTATTGTACTTTGCTGTAGGAAATTTTCCTTTATTTTCTCTCTCTCTCTCCCCCCCCCCCCCCCGTTCTTTATTGTTTTAAGGTCGAGCACTGGCAAGTTCCAGGATTTGAACAGTAAATGAAGTTTTTTTTTTTTTTTTTTGGCTTGTCAGACTTTTTAAGAAGTTGCCCCCCCCCCCTCCACTTTGGAAACCGTTGCTATGGGCCTGTATAGATAGTTCTAAAGTTCATTTTAATACTTCATGCATACATGACAAAGTCCCTCATCGCAGATTTCGTTTCACCCTCAATATTCAAACACACTATTCATAAGTAAGCTACTTCAGTGTCTTTGGCGGCCATGTCAGGAGATATTGTTATAAGTAAAGCACAGATACAACGAACACGATGATAATGAATTAAAGCTTACAGTGAAGTGATTTTCATTCCCTGCATTTACAAAATCAAGTCATATAGACACATACTGGATTTAGCCTATAAGGATTGAAATTTTTTACGAATTCAAAACTTTTCGTCCCTGGTCGCTGTAAGTGTATTTTACTGTAAATTAAATTAATTGACATATTTTGTTATCGAAAAACACGCCAATACAGGTATTGAATAACTATGATTTTATTTAATGTGCTATACATTTTCATCACATCTGTTGTGCATACAAGGCTGACGCGTCCTTCTAGATTCTAAGTACTAATTATATATAATGTACACATTTTAACCCATTTCTAGATGCAGGTTACAAACAAAAAACAAATAAGATACGTACATCATCTATCAGAAATCTTATATATCTTATATAGAAAGCGTTATCAGATTGCTGCATTATGTCCCCAATAGTGACCCCCGGGTTTGCACAACAATAAACTTATGATAACACCTCCTTTCCATACGAACCAGTTTTTAACGTGCAATACTAGAGAGGTCCACTCGCAATTTCACAACTGACAAGCTACACTAGTGCTCCTGTTATTCACAGATTCTGTGACCATGGCAAAACAAGGTGAGATTTTGCAGCAGGAATTATCTGCATTCTTTGTTACCTAGTTTCTTTGAGTGCCGTCTCATTAGGGGGTGTTTGTTTAGATGTTTTTGTGATAACGTGAAAAGCGGTCATTACTCCATTGTTTGTTTACAGTTTTTACGTTGTATTTTTTTAAAAGGTAATGAAGATTCTTCTCTCTCCCTCTCTCCGAGGTGAATTTATTTTGCTTAATATTTTAAGGCACCTATATAATGAAAATCAGAAAATGTACGCATGCATTGTCGAGATATCTACGAACATGGACTTTTCTTTTCCATCCACTAACTTCGATTACCAATATGCTGGTATTTCATTCATCAGAAAACTTAAATGCAATGCATTCATTACCTTATGTCTATAAACAACAAGTACAAAATCATTTGGGCACGTTTATAAAACCCAGTAAATGTAAATATCAAAAGATTTGTTATATTTTGTATTACAGAAGCTTCTGTTGAATATATCGTGCGGTCGATAGAAATCATATGCTGCTTAGAGTACGGAAGCCCAATATTGCAAACCCAGTTATCAGAAAAGATTTTTTAAAAATTAACCCAAATCCATTCTTACTTTTAAAAAAATTAAAGTAAACGGTGTTGAATGAATTATTAATATTTTCGAAATGATTTCGAAAAATCTGTAAACTGACCTTTATAACTTTTCGTATAGAGCATGTGATGAGTAGTGTCCTCTACAAATATTTAGAATTTTTCAATTTAAATTTGTATATGACAAAATTGTCATATCCAAATTTAAATTGAACAATTAAATTCTAAATTTTTGTAGAGGACAGTAGTATGTACCAGAGATTCTGTACGTAAGTAAGCTAGGGTACAGTCTAAAAAAATCTATTTCTTTTTTTACTATTTCTATTTTATTTTACCCGTTGCTATTTCAAATCCAGATTCAATGTCACATGACAATGATTTAAAATCATTCATTGGAAGACATTTCATTCTTTCTCTGTTATTCATTTATTGATGTATAAATATTCATGTCTAATATCATTCACCCCCCCCCCTCCCGATTCTACTTTATTCTTATTTATGTACTCAACCTATTTATCTGCATGGTATTTTATCTCTTCTCTGAAATGATGAACTATATCTTATACTATGAAAAGCAGGGTACCTGTTATCAGGACCGAGGAAACAAACCTGGATGCAAATTGTAAACACGATCAACAGCATAGAAAATATAGTCAATGGGACCTTTAAATCCACCCTCGAAATAACTCATGTTATCTCTACAGACCGACTCAAGTGGTTTAACACTATATAAAGATATACTTTGAACTTCAACCCATGTAATAAATCAATATGAACTTCGACTCAGACCTGTTATAATTTGATACTTTGTATTAAGAAAATTTTCGATAAAGAATATATATGTACATGTATAAGAATGTTTCCAACAATGGCGTCTTTTGGGGAACTTAAGGCTGAAGCTTATAAAAAATCGTATTCCGGAGAGAAACAATAAAACGAAAGTTACAGAGTACTCACAATTTCAAACGAATCCATTGTTTTATCGCCAAAAAATATTGATAATTGCAAAACTATTTATGTCTTGTTCTGATCTAAGAACCCCCCCCCCCCCAAAAAAAAGAGAAAAAAGAAAAGAAAGAAAAAAAAAAGGAAAAACGCAAGTTTTTGTCAAATCAAGATTAATTTGTACAGAAATTTTAACGAGAGGGAATAAAATAACATGCCTGATACAGAAAAAAAGTAAGTTTTGATTTACAACAAAGATTATTTGAGCAAATTTTGAGTTGAGAGTACCCTGCGCAAAGAACAATGATTAAGCAATCCACAACATTATTATTCTTTCTGTTGCACGTTACACATTGTAAAACATATCCACTCAAAAACAAAACATTGTATGAACATTGTTTGTATTTTATATTTTGGAAGCCAACAAAACAGGATTATACAGCGTGGTTACTAATGCATTGCACTTTTAAACATATTGGTTCATTTTTTCCAGTAATAAATACTTTTTTTGTGGATTATTGTAAATCAAAGTGGGATAACACTTGTTTCGATTAAAGATTTAACAGATACAGCATTGTGTTGCTCCAATGTAGGCCATTTACATTATTTCTTTAACTGAATGCTTTACATTATGTCATTAACTAAATGCCCTATGAAAATGTCTGGAAAAAAACTGGATCTTTCGCAACATTTCAATGTACTTTTAACTGAAAAAAGAAAAAAAAATATAATATTGAATGTAGGATAATAAAGAAACTCTAAAGCAAAAGTAACATTACTTACCAAATTTTACACTATTGAAATAAATGTATAGAACAATTTATGTATTCCATTTATTTGACGATGGTCGTTAGTTTTACCAGAGATGCATTGCGATCCGTAATTCATTGATAATCCATGCATTCTGGCTCCGTAATACATGAAATGTAGAGATAAGGAACGGTATTCAAGCCCAAAGTCCATTTAAACAATAGAAATCGGGAGCAGAGCAAAGACGGACCTCCAAAAACATCAGAGATGGGATCAGGTGCCATGGAGGAGTGAGAATCCCCTGTCGAACTGTCACACCCGCCGTGTGCTCCTTGTCATCATCGTGAAAAACAGAAAAATCCATAGACAATTCTGTGTGTAATTAATGGCCAAACAATTGTGTTGATAAAGCAACAGTGACGTCCGGTATATGGCATATGAAAAAAGCATCTGCATTTAATTAATACTAAATATACATATATAATAAATCTTCACATCGCATTCAGTTACTGACATTGTGTTTCTATTCTACATACTGGTACATGAAAATGTAATGTAACAATCTCGTTGAAATTGTTTTATTCATATTGTACGTAAAGATTTTTTATTGTCTTTCTTGTAAGGATTGGTAGAACGTTTAAAGAATGGTGAAAAAATCCTAATAGCGGAAGGATATATGTGGGAGTTGGAGAGAAGAGGATATCTGACCGCTGGAGGATTTATTCCAGAAGTAGTTCTTGACAACCCTGAAATAGTGCGTGCCCTTCACCAAGAATTCGTCCACGCTGGCACTGATGTTATAGAAGCATTTACGGTAAGTACGTAATGTAAATATTACTAATAAAACTGTGCAGAGAGTCATTTATAGTATTTCCCCTCGTTGATCATTACCGTTCCTCTTGCGCAACATCTTTTCCAGATTTTATCTATCTAAAGTTTCATTTGTTATTTTCAATTTATCGGAAAGGATATCGAAATAGTGAAAGCTTTGTTAGAGGTTCTCCCCCCCCCCCCCCCCAAATCATATTGCATTTGTAATTAAATCTTTTACAAGTCAGTCAAAACAAAATGCCATCAACAAATTTGCAGGGTGTTTCATATAAAGTACTTTGTTTTAATATTTTGTAGTACTATGGACATCGTGAAAAACTGCGTCTGATTGGTCGAGAAGATGACCTCGAGAAGTTAAACAGAGAGGCACTGCAGATAGCAAAGGAAGTAGCGTCAGACAATGGTAAACTACTGGCTGGAGGTATCTGTAACACTGGGGTGTACAATCCAGAGGACGAGGCCACATTTGCCACTGTCACCTCAATGTTCAAAGTAAGATTCCATTGGTAGGTTATGTTTAAAGTAAGATTTCATTGGTAGGTTATGTTCAAAGTAAGAATCCATTGGTAGTGTAGGTTATGTTCAAAGTAAGAATCCATTGGTAGGTTAGGTTCAAAGTAAAATATCATTGGTAGTTTCTGTTCAAAGTACATGTAAGATTTCATTAATAGGTAATATTCAAAGTAAGATTCCATTGGTAAGTTATGTTCAAAGTAAGATTCCATTGGTAGGTTATGTTCAAAGTAAAATATCATCGGTAGGTTATGTTCAAAGTATGTGAAATCTTCGAGTTTCATTTTTATTAAAGAAGCCTTTGTCTACGATATCAAAAGTCTATACTCTAGATATCCTAGTCTATACTTTATCGCGGGGAAAAATGTACAATGAGATGTTGAAAAATCATACATGTTTTGATTTTGGCAATACATGTATTTTATAATTTTCAAATTTTCTAAGAGTTTTTCTAAGTTTTTTTTAGAATCAATTTTTTTAAACATCACTTTTTAAATACTGGTATGTTGTTGCATAGTACTGCCAGAGTTTCTCCTTCACTATCGCCATTATTATCGCGAGGAGTAAAGAAAAAGGCTTGATAAATAATTAAAACAAATGTTAAATGAGAATTTATTTTGTCCAGGAGCAAATAGAGTGGGCAGTAGAGTATGGTGTAGACTTTATAATAGGTGAAACCTTCAATGATTTGGGGGAAGCCATGCTTGCTTTAAAGGCCATTCAGAACTATGGGAAAGGTGAGGGTTTTACCATGTAATATTGATCTTAACAAAGTATTGGTTAGATAATTCATTTACATTATATAATCAGGAATAAAAACTGAATGCAAGTTATGAACGAAGTCTAAATGTTTCCTATAATGCACCTTTACTTCCTTTGAAGAATCTTTATGTACATGTAAAAAGTCTAGTAGGAAAGGGTTAATGATTATATATTTTTTTGTTTTATAAGTATCTTTCCAAACATTCCACGGTTCACTTCAAGATATAACTGATATTATATGTAGGAGTTCCTGCGGTTATTACACTGACTGCGTACTTCCCCGATACCACGACAGATGACGTTCCTATTCCGGAGGCGTGCCGCCGTCTGGAGGAAGCGGGGGCCGCGGTGGTGGGTCTGAACTGTGGGAGGGGCCCTAGCACCATGATACCACTCGTCAAGGAGATCAAAAAAGTTTGCAAGGTAATAGGAAATAAATTCATAGCTGTAAAGAGTTTCCTTGCATTCTGAAGTTCAATTAGTGAATATAAATGACTTGAAAACAGAAATTAAATAGTTTCATAGCTGTAAATAGTTTTTTACGTTCTGAAGTTCAATTATTGAATATAAACCATTATGGATGCCTTCCTCTGTAAAGGAGATTGCTGTTTATTTTACAAAGTGATAGTGACATGGGTTACTTGGATATATTTCATTTCATGTCAAGATTCACTAACCAAATGTCAAATGACATATCATAAATGCGATAAACAGTTTCATCTCAGATAGTGAGGAACAAAGCCAGTACACGTGAAACAAACCGTCTAATGCAATTCTAGTCACCAGTCACTCAGGTGACCTATTGCTATCTGGGGGGTTTTCGCCGTCATGTATAGTCTGTCGTACGTTAATATTTGATGATTTTCAGCTTCTTCTCTGGAACCACTACAGTTATATCAAATAATTTTGATATGTTGCTTAAATCGAATAAAAGAATAATACTGGGTTGTTGATGAATATAACCAGACTAATCATTATGTTCCCTAATCGTCCTATTCCTCTGTTTTAACAACATATCTTCATCTAAATGTATTTTGTTTTATTGTATAATTATCAAATTGCCATTCCATAGATCCTTTACAGGATTGTATTATACACAGGTGACCGTTAAGGCCCTCGGGCCTCTTGTCTTTCCAGGGACCTGTAGCTATGTTACCTGTGACTTTCCGCTGTAGAGATAACTGTCGCACATTCCAGTCCCTCAAAGATCCAGAAACTGGTATATTTATCCTCATAATGTGTTCGTATATAAGTTAAATGAGCTTAGCCAGCTTCAATAATGGTTAAATATTATTTTGAGAGAGAGGGAGGGAGAGACAGACAGAAAGAGAGAGTCCGATTGCTTTGGTGTGATATTATGTAAGTTTGTCTTTCGCGGAAGTAAATTTATCGTTACATTTCGCACGTGTGAGTCACTGATATACAAATGTGGCGTTCAGACAGGTTCAATCGCCAGTGGCCAGATAGCTCAGTTGGTAGAGCACCTGACTGATAATTCAGGGGGCCTGAGTTCGAATCCCGGTCTGGTCCGTCACATTTTTCTCCTCTCCTGTTACATTTGGTGCCTGCCATGCCCTGGAAGTGACAGTTGAAAGACCTGCCAGGGAAGACCCTGGGTTGGTGTCTTCGGGGGCCGAAGACCTTAAGAGAGGGAGGAATGTGGCGGTCAGACAGGTTTGATCGCCGATGGTGAGATACTCAGTTGGTAGAGCAACTGACTGGAGATTCAGGGGGCCCGGGTTCGAATCCCGGTCTGGTCCGTCGCATTTTTCTCCTCTCCTGTTACATTTGGTGCCGAGCCATGCCCTGGAAGTGAAAGGTGAAAGATCTGCAAAGGAAGAGCTTGGGTTGGTGTCTTCGGGGGCCGAAAAACCTTTAAGGAGGGAGGATTGTGGCGGTCAGACAGGTTCGATCTCCGGTGGCCAGATAGCTCAGTTGGTAGAACACCTGACTGGAGATTCAGAGGCCCGGGTTCGAATCCCGGTCTGGTTCGTAGCATTTATCTCCTCTCCTGTTACACAAACATATAAAGTTCAAAAGGTGATATACAGAATCTCAATCCCAGATTTCCTACTCCCAAATGCTGGTTTTTGACAACTGTCAAATTTTTAAAATTATTCTTTCTGATTATATGTAAACAGTTCATATCAACAGACTTTTCGTCTGCGGAGACTGTTAGTTTGAAAATATAACCGATTTCAAACCAATGTATGCCAACTTGCAAAATGAATTGTCAAGCTATTGGCATTCTGTTCTCCTATAAAATGTGACATCAGTTGGATCTTAAATGTTTTACAGAACAGACAAAACAAATCACTTCAAGAAATATTGATGGAATGTTAAAATGTTAAAATACTAGTAAATTAAAAATGTCAGTAGTATATACTTGTTTATGATTCTATTCCAGGAAAACCATTATATCCATTTGAACTTGAGGCAGCCAGATGCAGTAGATCAGACATAAGGTCCTGGGCGGAGGAGGCCAAAGAAGCTGGGGTGGAGTACGTAGGTCTCTGTTGTGGGAACGCCTCGTTTTACTTCCGGGAACTCGCAGAGGCTTATGGGAGAAAACCACCAACTTCTAAATATGCCCCTAATTTGAATCTTAGCCATATCTTCGGTAAGCCAAGTAAGGATGATAGGTTCAAACGTTCCACGAAAATCAGGGAATTCATGATTGGTAAGGAGAACGCTTGAGGTGGGAAATTGCAAAGAATGTGCTGCGGATTTATCTTTCTTTGTTTCCGTTCAGATTGATACATGGATTGGAAGTGATGTTATTTACCTCTATAATATAGTTTGGTAAGCTTTGTGGTGACAACGAAATATGAGACACTATAATCATAGAGCAATTAGAATGACATTTGTCTTATAAAGATATATTCTAGTCTTATGAGAATAAAAAATAAAATTACGATATTTTTTGTTTTATAACATTACACAATATATTATGGATGTCCGAAAGAGAGAGTCTACGACATTTTTAGCTCACCTCAACGAAGTTACGGGAGCTTATGTAATACCCTCGGCGTCGACGTCCCAGGTTAAGGTTTTTGGAGCAGTTTTTTTTTCAAGTACTTCTATGGCCTATATTAGTCAGAGATGCATGGAGGATGCTTCTAGTGTGTTTCATTGTACCAGTCAAGGTTTTAGATGCTGTAATTTCAGCTAAAGAATGACCAGGTTTTAGATGCTGCAATTTCAGCTAAAGAATGACCAGGTTAATGTTTTTGGAGCAGGTTAAAGTTTTTGGAGCAGGTCTCATTTCCAAGTAACTATAAGCCCTATATTGACCAAACTTGCATGGATGATACATCTAAGGATGCACACTACTGAACTTGCTTCGGATGCTGGATCTGACCACCATTTTCCGGATGAGTGACTAAGGGTTTTGGAGCAGATCTCATTTCCAAGTAACTATTAGCCCTATATTGACCAAACTTGCATGGATGATACATCTAAGGATGCACACTACTGAACTTGCTTCGGATGCTGGATCTGACCTCCATTTTCCGGATGAGTGACTAGGTTAAGGTTTTTGGAGCAGATGTCATTTCCAAGTATCTATAAACCCTATATTGACCAAACTTGCATGGATGATACATCTAAGGATGTACACTACTGGACTTGCTTCGGATGCTGGATCTGACCTATATTTTCTGGATGAGTAACCAGGTTTAAGTTTTTGGAGCAGATCTCATTTCCAATTAACTATAAGCCAATTTGACTAAACTTGCATGGATGATACATCTAAGGATGCACACTACTTGACTTGCTTCGGATGCTGGATCTGACCTTTATTTTCTGGATGAGTGACCAGGTTAAAGTTTTTGGAGCAGATCTCATTTCCAAGTAACTATAAACCCTATTTTGACCAAACTTGCATGGATGATACATCTAAGGATTCACACTACTGGACTTGCTTCTGATGCTGGATCTGACCTACATTTTCTGGATGAGTAACCAGATTAAAGTTTTTGGAGCAGATCTCATTTCCAAGTAACTTTAAGGCCTATCTGAACCAAACTTGCATGGATGATGCATCAAGGGACGAACAATCTCAAAACTTGCTTCGGATGCTGGATTTGACTTACATTTTCTGGATGAGTGACTAGTTTTAAGTTTTCAGATAAGTCTATTCCCAAGTAACTGCAAGCCCTATCAGACCAAAATTGCATAAATGTTGCATCTAGGGATGCACACTCCTAGATTATTAGTTTAGTGTGGGACTTTGCCTTACTTAAAGACAACATTCGTTGAGGTGAGCTCTGTAATCTCTGATTACCTATGTTTCCCATTACCGCTATATTTTTCAACATTTCCACACAGTGAATTTTGTATTTGTTTTTTCTTTGTTGCTTGTTTTTTATTTATTTATTTATTTTTATTTATTTTTTATATTTTGTTCTTTGTTTTTTTTTTCGGGGGGGGGGGGGGGGGGGGGGGGTCTGTAACATGTTGGAGAAACCAAAGCGAGCATTTTATAGGCTATTGTGAAGTCACAATGGTGATAATATGCTTCTGGAATTGATAAAGTTACTTATGTTACGCTGTGTTATATTTCTCAGTGATTCGTGCAGTAATAACATACAGATAGTTATAAGAATTTAAATAGTGTAATGGGAGAAAAAGGTTCCATTGAAATATGGAGATAACGAACAGTATCCAAGCTCAATGTCCATTAAAACAATACAAATCGGAAGCAGAGGAAACACGAATCTCCAAAAACATCAGAGGTGGGATCAGGTGCCATGGAGGAGTGAGCACCCCCTCCCCACCGGTCACAACCACCGTGTGCTCATTGTCATGATCGAGAAATAACGGAAAATCCGTCGACAATTCAGTGGGTAAATAATAGCCTAACAATTAGTTTGAAAAACGTCAGTCAGCATATAATTTAATGATAGATTGTAATTGCTGACAAGGTCATTGTATCGACCACAGAACTTACAAAATGATGACCTTAAACGAGACTGTTGATATTCTTGTTTCATCAACTTGCATGTTTGTCAATTACTTACCTCGTTTTTAGAAATTGTTTGCTCTTGCGTATCGAATCAGCTGAGAGACCTACAACCCATATGCAGGTGATAAGGGTATATTGCTGCATAAGGAAGGGAAGTTAACGATTGAAAAGTTAAAGTCCTCACATTTATCATAAAGTTTTGTTGTTAGATTACTATTAAAGTCTTTTTCTAGTAAAATATCTAAATATGAAACAGATGTGTCAGCCACTGTGGTATCTCTTATTCCAAGTTCACTGGGATATATCGTGTCGACATATGAATGGAAATAACTGTTGTTAATTGATAATACCTCGTCGATATAACTAAATATCGAGTTGAAGGCCACAGCAAGAGATTTCTTTTTCTCATGTATAAGATTTTGAATAAATTCTGCTTCTTATGAATGCAAAAATAGGTCTGGTAACATTAGGACGCAATTGGTACCCATGGTAATTCCAACAGATTGTTGGAAGACTTGGTCTTCAAAGAACACATAGATATTGTCAGATACTCAAGCATCTTTTTAATATAACTTCAGAGTAGTTGTGTGTAAATAGGAATGTTTTTAACAAAATAATTTTGCAAATGACCAATGACAAGGCAAGTAAATTTACGAGTTCCATTTTTATTGAAAAAAGCAACTGTCAATGATATCAAAAAAGCCTGAACTTTAATTTATTGTGGGGAATGGTTGTATACAGAATTAGTTTCGATGTTATTGATTTTGTTATTTTTTTGTTATTTCAATTTTTAAAGAAATTCCTTGGAATTTTTAAGTATCCACATCTGATTTACACCACTTCTCGAATATATTGTTGCATAGAACTCCTGAAGTTTCTCCTTCACTGCTGTTAATATTTAAGAGAGGAGTAAAGAAAGAAGCTTGGTAGAACATTACTGGAACCCGCTATGTATCTTTGTTTGAAAGGATTTTATGAAGTTTCGGAATCCAATATAAATATGGTAATTCAAATTCATTTTGGTTGTTGGGAATATGAAAGATATTCAAAACTGACATATGATTTTGAAGAATTTCCTCCTTAAAAAGGGAGCAATGGGTAGAAGTGAGTGTGCTCGTTAATTACAGGTTTTTCTCCAAGTTGCAAAATTGTCAACAGACACTCTGCAAGCCCCGAGTCTATTAAAAAGATAAAGGAACTCTTGTTGGAGAAAAACCAGTACACGAAGTCACACAACTTATGGAACATATATAGTCCTAGGGCTTCGTTACTGCTAGCCCCGAGTCTATTGACAGTAAAAAAGATAAAGGAGCTCTTGTTGGAGAAAAACCAGTACACTAAGTCACACATCTTATGGAACAAATATAGGCCTAGGGCTTCGTTACTGACGCAAGTGTTCATGGAAAGAAATACGTTCACTAAGTGTATTGAAACATTTGGATAACATAACTTTTAGAGACTGTAATTTGGTCAAGACTGTCATTTAGCCAAGGAATATTATTGTTTCCTCTTAATAACAGCCAAGAGAGGTTGCTGGAAATCAATAACCATAAAGCAAAAATACATTCGCAAACTGATTTAAAAGAAACACTTCATTCACTGTATTTTTATTATTGACATAAAAACATGCATTTTGGTAAAAAGCAAAACAGAAATATAGACCAACAACATTCATAAGAATATAGACATTAGAGACAAAAATAAAAAGAAAAATTGGGAATTCAATGAACATTTTTGATAATAAATAACTTAAAAAGAAAATGTTAAATATTAACAGGCATTCCAACTGGAGATATTGTAGCCAATTGTGATCTACGTCGCTGTGCAGTTGCTACATGGCACATCTATTGTTTCAACACTAGCTCCGGAACAAATCGGAGTTCCACCGAAGTTACTTTCTTTATGTTGACATTCCCGAGTGCGCTTTTTATAACAATCCCGGAATGGTCCCACCCAGTTTACTGTGCATGCTGACCAAGAAGACCAATTTTTAAATTCACCTTCCACTGAAATACATTGTAGTTACATTTGCAAAATGTAAAATAGATGTTCAACATGATATCATTTTTATGATAAGAAAAGTTTTGATACTTGCAGTTAAAATGATTTAAATTATACATATTTTGAACCTATTTTTACACTTGAAGAATGAAAAAAAATGTTACTTATCAGGTATTATATCGTAGGATTGACCACTTAGAAATGTATAAAAAAAAACTGTTGCAAAACTTAGAAAGAAAACAACGTAAATGTTTATCTTTTCTTCAACAAGTGCATTAATGGTCATAAAGCCTTAAAATAAAGATGTTCACAAAATAAACATAAACTCCACATCTTCAACCACAAACTTCGTTAACGACCCAAAGCAGAAAGTATAAATTAAAAATTAAATCTTTAAAAAGATGGCATGTATTTGCTCTGTTGAATAGATAAAATATTCATTAAAAATGATAAAGGAAGGTAACTAAAACGTTATACCCACCATCATTATCATTCACTTCAACTGCGACGTGTTTATAGTAGCGTTGTACAGGCTCACAGGTTGAGAGTCTTTTAATGACTAGAATGTATTTGGTAGGAACCTCCACTTTTCTATCATCCCTAGGAAAGATCTGCAAGGTCTTATTACCTCCCTCATTTTCATTAAATACTACTTTCAAAGGATCCAACTGCCATCGTTTGTTAAAATCTGAAATTATATATATATATTTAGAGAGAGAGAGAGAGGTATCTTGTATTTTTCCTTGGGTGGGGGAGGGAGAATCCTTTAGATTATATATAGAGATAGGTAGAGGTATATAGCTTTTAAGGGAGCTCCTACTTTTAAGGCAGGATTGTGGAGAGGTGGGCGACTGACTAAGGGTAAAAGCCACTAAATAACACCTGTTCCAAAAAACTCACTTTTAACCATTTCTATTAACCTCTATTTAGATAATCTTTTGATACTTTAGAATAATCATTGATGTTTATTATGATGCCAACAATTGAATTTCTTAAAATTACAGAAAGGGTTCATGACTGAGATAATCTGAAAGTACCTTTATATATTTTAAATTGTCTTACTCTGATCTAGAACGTCTGTAAATGTGTATTCGGTTTGAGGCATATTTGGAGGATGAACTACTGTGACTTGAAGAGGATCCAACGAACCCTCTATAATCTTGACTGGTGTCCCTGAAACAAAAATGACTTTTGTTAGCAATAACAGATATAATTTCAGAATCGTCGCTGGGATCTTAAAAGAGCATTTTCAGATGTGTTTGACATAAAGTACTATGTTTGATAAATACAGAGGCGGGTAAAATTATGGGTGAAAAAAAAATACGAAATTATGGAAAATATAGGGGAACCGTAAGTGGATTTTCCTTTTGGTTCATCATATAATTTTTTTTTTTTTATAGAAAGTCGTCGATATTTTTCTCGTTTTTTGTTAAGATAAAATTTAAACTGAAAATTGAAAAGTTTATGTTGATTATAATTTGTACTATTCAAGGTTTCTCAATTATCAATTTTATTTTCTATCAATTGTAATACGTTTCATTTGTTATAAAATAAGTAATCGTATGACAAAGGAACTTATGATATCTACACAAGACAAACGTTATGATATGTAGCTTTGATTTTTTTTTTTACGAGTATAGATAGGGGAAAATATTAGGCACATATATTTATTTTTTTTTTACTTCTTATCCAAAGATCTGATTAATCTGATAATTACAATACAGTATTTAAAACCTCAAATCTTATGAGGAAAGGGAAAATTAATTAACATATTGCTTTTGCTACTACTTCAGATATACATAGAATCAAATCAATATGTAAGGATGAAAAGAACACTGTTTACAGAAAATGTTATGATATCAGTAGAATTTCAAAAGGGTTTAATGCGTCACAGTGTTCTTTCAATAATAATGAGATGTCAGGTTTGTGATCAAAAGAGATAACTGAAGAATGAATATTCATTAATTATTAATGGAGATGCTTGTGTAATGCATAAAATATGGAGATAAAGAACAGTAACCAAACTCAAAAGTCCATTAAAACAATATAAATCGGGAGAAGAGTAAACACTTGACATTTAAAAACATCAGAGGTGGGGTGAGGTGCCATGGAGGAGTGAGCATCCCTTGTAGACCGGTCACACCTGCTTGTGCTCAATGTCACGATCGGGCAAACGGAAAAATCTGTAGACAATTCAGTGTTCAAATAATGGCCTAAAACCAGCAAAAAAAGATCAGTCAGCATACGACTTAATGATAGATTGTATTTGCTGGCAAGGTCATCGTATCGACCATAGATCCTGCGAAATGATGACTTTAAACGAGACTGCTGATATCCTTGTTTCATCCATTTGTTTGCCAATAGCTTGCATCGTTTTAGAAATTGTTTGTACGTAGAACATGCTTTTGCGTATCGAATCAACTGGGAGACATAAACCCTATTTCCAGGTGATAAGGGTACATTGCTACATAAGTAAGGGAAACTGAGGATAGAAAAGTTGAAGTCACCACATTTATCATGAAGTTTTGTTATTCGGTTACCATTAACATCTTATACTAGAAAAGTATCCAAATATGAATCAGATGTGCCAGACTTTGTGGTATCTTTTATTTCAAGTTCACTGGGATACAGCGAGTCGACATATGAACGGAAATAACTATTGTTAATTGATAATACGTCGTCGATATATTTGAGGGCCACAGCGAGCGTCTTCTTCTCATGTATAAGTTTCTGAATAAGTTCTGCTTCATTTGAATACAAAAAAGACTTGCTAATAACGGGACGCAATTGAAACCCATGGAAATTTCAACAAATTTTTGGAAGACCTAATCTCCAAAAAATATATAGATATTTATTTTCAATCAGAAACTCAAGCATCTTTTAATATCTACATCAGAGTATTTGTGTGTAAATCAGAATGTTTTTTTAACAAAATATTTTTGCAAATGACCAATGACAAGGTAAGTAAATTTATGAGTACCATTTTTAATTGAAAAAATAACCCAGCTGACTATGATGTCAAAAAGCCTGGATTTTAATTTATCGCGGGGAATGGTTGTATAAAATGCTGAAAATTCGTACGTTTTGATGTTATTGATTTTGGTAAAACTTTGTGATTACCACATCTGATTTACACCACTTTTCGAATATATTGTTGCACAGTACTCCTGAAGTAACTCCTCCAGTGCTGTTAATATTTTAGTGATGAGTAAAGAAAGGGGCTTGATAAAACATTTACTGGAACCTGCTATGTATCGATGCATGATTCGAAATTATAATGAGGTTTGTTTTTCCTTCAAGAGAATCTTTTTATACATACATTAATATCTACAGATTTTGAATATATATATATATATATATATATATATATATATATATATATATATATATATATATATATATATATATATATATATATATATATATATATATATCCAAAATTGAAATAAAGTCTCAGTAATCGGATTACAATATTAAACAAATATAAAAAGAAAACACAAGAATTCTCCGTAAAGCTTTAGCGCTTTCATTAAAAATCTTCAGAAGCTTTTCATTACAAAAATGTATACAACGGTAACATAGTAACAATGATTATGGCGTTAAACTAAGCGGAACGTTTAATGTCTATATTGTGACGTCATAGATAAAATACTGCAATGATGATGAAAAAGTTCGGGAAAATCATAGGTAGTTTATAAGAGACTATTAAGTTTTGGCTTTAGAATACAAATAAAATGTTTTTCTTTTTCCCGTCTCTGGATATCACTGGCACATCTGAGTTTATAAAAAGGGAAAATGTTAAATCGTTTTTTTCCACAAGTTTCCAGGTGTGCACTTAACTGGATTTGGAAGGACGGAGAAACTATACCCTTTGTTCACACGTACAATCCGAGAAATAAAAACATCAATTCAATTGTTTATGAATTAAATAGCTTACTTAGAGAGGATGAACAAACGAAAACTACATACAAAAACTGTCGTTTTATCAGCAGTAAACGTCAGCCTAAAAACCTTAAGAGAATACTTTGTTCCTCCCAATTCGCTGACCATAATTATACAGTGTCAAAGTGTACGGACCCTCGCTGCGGCACATGTGACTACATTACAGAAGGGACGAGTTATAGTTTTAACGGGCGTGAATTTAAAGTTAATGCCAACATGTCATGTGATACGAAAGATGTCATATACGCCATCATATGTCCTGGATGCAAAGAATATTATATTGGTGAAACTGGCAACAGTCTCCGTGCCCGTGTACGTGTACATAAGCAACACATCAGTACACCTGAATATAGACAAATCCAGTTAAGTGCACACCTGGAAACTTGTGGAAAAAAACGATTTAACATTTTCCCTTTTTATAAACTCAGATGTGCCAGTGATATCCAGAGACGGGAAAAAGAAAAACATTTTATTTGTATTCTAAAGCCAAAACTTAATAGTCTCTTATAAACTACCTATGATTTTCCCGAACTTTTTCATCATCATTGCAGTATTTTATCTATGACGTCACAATATAGACATTAAACGTTCCGCTTAGTTTAACGTCATAATCATTGTTACTATGTTACCGTTGTATACATTTTTGTAATGAAAAGCTTCTGAAGATTTTTAATGAAAGCGCTAAAGCTTTACGGAGAATTCTTGTGTTTTCTTTTTATATTTGTTTAATATATATATATATATATATATATATATATATATATATATATATATATATATATATATATATATATATATAAAATAGGGAATCAAATTCTTTATAGCAGACATAGTTAATTCAGGGTCTATTTGAAAAAAAAAATCATGAAAATAAGGTTTTAAGTGTCTTCATTTACTAATTATGAATGAATGAAGTCTAACAATTCAAAAATTCGAAACAGAAGGTATCCTGTTGAAAATTTCCTATCTTTTTCGGAGACAATCATTAAGCCTAGATTTTCAGTGGGAAAAACCTTTTCAAGAAATGTTATTAATTGCAATTGCATTAAGATGTCTAAAGGATTTAAGCACAAAATAACCATTCTAAATCAATAAGAATATCTTTCCCTGAAACAGCGCCTTAAGTAATCAAGACTATATTTTTAGTTGTATAAAACGTTAATATTTTTCAACGTAATGCGCTTGTGAATAAGCAAGTGATGTAAACTCGTATTCATGATGCTATTTTAGGGTAAGCTCAAAAAATTATATATAAACATATTAAAGAAGAAAAAAACAAAGGCATAAACTATTCAGTATTTAAATATCATCCCATTTCAATTAAAACATGATGTGCTGCAGCAATACAAAGTTCTAAGTGATATCCTTGTTTGCTAAATCGGTCCAAAGTGAAGAATTTGCTTCATTTACGTACAATATCCATACATATCCTATAACGGATCTAAAATTTGTTTCCTTGACAAAAACGATTTTTAGATGAAATTTTTTTTAATAGGTCTTTACGTTTCTTCAATCTTTTGGATCGAAGAAGACTGTTACTTCAATCAATAAATATAAACATAAACTTACTGTCATTGTCGACAAAAGTGAATCGGAGAGATTTCAGAGATTTAACGGCATTCGTTTTGTCGTAAACATCCACCCGTATGACGAATAATGGATCCACCACATCGTTATCTTCGGCTTTCAAAGAAAAGCCTTTCGGGATACGAGTTAATGTCACAGGAAAAGCTGCACCTGCTGCTTCATGAAATATGAAATAAATACTGTGTTTAACACTTTTATCACGTAAATGATAAATATTTATGCTTACCAATTCTGTTTCTTTTTCAAGCCTATATATGTAATTGTATAAAATCCACAAAATGATTATTTCAATTCAGGTCTGATATTCACTTCACTTTTGTGATAAAGCTTCACGAACCTCTACATTTAGACGGGCACTCACGTGACAAGCGATAGTCGAACTCCTTTGTCTCGTCGACAGTTACATTAATAGATCTACCTCCCTCCACAACAAAATCAGAGAGGTACTCAAAAGCTAGGAAAAGAAATTGATTCATTAAATGTCTATCATTTATTATAGAGTTGAACAAGTATAGCAGGCTAGCCTTTAAATATAACTATTATTACGTTTTTAAAAATATTTCATTTTGCATTCTATTTCTGGATAATAAGACAATTTTACAACTGAAATGATAAATAAAAACATCTTTGGTTTATAAATGAATAATTATATGTATTTAAAAATCCAAGCATGTTAATTACTTATTTTTGCTATAAATTTCAACTTCATAATTACTCACACAAGGATTGCACCTGAGTTCCTACAGGTAAAAAAATACAATTAATTTTTTTTGGTACAACATTTATGTGATTTATCTACCATGCTTTAAGATATAATTGTTCTAAAAAGACATAAGATCTCTGATTGCTTTCTTGCGAGTGAGCCAAACCGTTCTCCAAAGTGGTACTAAACACATATATGTCAGTTCTCTTTGTTTAACACATGCAAACGTAATGGTTTCGTCTATTCTTGTCAATTCTTGTAAAAATGAAATAAAACCACATCTGTACTTACCAGCAAACAAAAAAGTCGAAATCATAAATAAAGAAAACATCATCTCCTTCTTGGATCGCCAACTGAATACAAGCAAATTTAGTTAAGATATAAAAGAACCAAGTGATAATCTTTAAGCAACGAGCACTTGGACGAATTAATATATACATCACACATATTATCATGGAGCATATTTAAAAAAATAATACAATATTATTGAGTCGATCATTAGTAAATAAATTTTATGATTGAAGAAAGTTTGTAAAAATCACCTTGTAGAACTAGCTGGATTGTTTCATTCTGTAGAATCATGATTTTGATTTCATTTAAAGTGCAGTTGATTGAGATCAGACACACAGACAGATTACATGTTTGTACTTTTGCTGTAAACCACATATGGAATTCCTTACTTAGCTCATTTTCTAAACATATTTGATGTATAATTTGACAAAAAATAAATGTCAAATCAAGTGAAATATTTCAGAATTAAGCTACTCTTACTTTGCACTAACGAAGGGTTTCAAGTTCATTAAAACATTATTACCTGTTTTTGGCTTTAGTCTTCAGTTCTCATATACCTTCATGTTTCAAGTCTTTAAGAATTACGCCAACTGCATCGCACAGTTTCAAGAAAGTTGGCATTTTACTTTTCGCCAATATAGGGACGTTTTGAATTTTGAGAGATAACAATAATTATACTGTAAAGATATTATAAAACCTTCCTTTAATTTATAAAAATACATTGATATTTCCGCTGCTTTTTTCTGCATAATATGTTAACGAACAGATTAATATTTTTCAGAAATCAAAACAGGCTATATTGATGGTTGACTAGGTATTTTTTAATTTCATTTTGACGTATTTTTTTTAATTATTATTTTTAGTTAGAGGAAGTGCATTTTTAAATCCATTCTACACAATTGGAATTAACATGAATACATTTCCTACTAGTACTTTTTTTTCAATTTAAGAGAAGTTAGATTTTTCATGTTAACATTTGGCATATACATTGTACTATGGAATCATTTTATTTAGTTGGGATCAATGTTCCTTGAGTAACCAAAATATTTCTGGGTTTTTGGGACATATGAGGGTTTTCTTGTAAAATCGTGGACAAATGTTTATTTATCAAGTGTAGTTAAGTACATCTTAATATTTTTGATAAATTACAGCAAAAATAAGGATTTTATTATTTTTGAATGTGTTCAGGGTATGGTGTGGCGCACGACCAAAAATCAGGAAAAATCATGGTTTCGGTTCAGTTATATGGAGATTAAGTAATGACGCTTTAAAAAATATCACTACCACTCTAGTGGAATTGGTATTTATTTAAGCTGAAGATTTTTGATGGCGTCCCCGGATAGAACAAAACATACAGATAATCAGCTACAGGCAATAATGAAAGACGCTACCACAGAAGACCGTCATTAAAAGATTACCTATTTAGTTTGATGAAATGAAATGTATGGAGATAACGAACAGTATCCAAGCGGGATCAGGTGCCATGGAGGAGTGAGCATCCCCTGCCGACCGCTCGTATCCGCCGTGTGCTCTTTGTCACCGAGAAATAACGGAAAAATCCGTCGACAATTCAGTGTGTAAATAATGGCCTAACAATTATTAAAAAAAAAAATAACGTCAGTCAGCATTTGACTTAATGATAAATTGTATTTGTTGACAAGGTCATTATATGGACCATAGAACTTACGAAATGATGACTTTAAATGAGACTGGTGATATTCTTGTTTCATCAACTTGTTTGTCAATAACCTACCTCGTTTTCGAAATTGTTCATACGTAGAGCATGCTCTTGCGTATCGAATCAACTGAGAGATATAAACCCCGTATGCAGGTGATGAAGGTATATTGCAGCATAAGTAAGGGAAGTTGACGATTAAAAAGTTAAACTCATCACGTTTATCATAAAGCTTGGTTGTTAGATTACCATTAACGTCTTTTTCTTGTAAAATATCCAAATATGAAACAGATGTGTCAGACTCTGTGGTATGAAAGTGAGAGTACTAAATTAAGTCTTCAGAAGGTCCCATGCGTGTGCGAGATTGGTCCTTCGACTGTTTATGGAGGGATAAAGGGTAACTTAAGTGTGTGCATCAGTGATATCCCCCGAAATTTAAGTCGGCGTAAATCCAGTTTTTTTTTTTCCAAAGCAAAGATGCAACGTGACGTTGCTTAAGACACTGACTTAATCAACCGTTCGCCGTAAGGCAATACCACACATAACAAAAAATCTAGTATTTTAAGCATATAACTCTAAAAAATTTGCTATGTATATTGACGAAAAATGTACTAAAGAGAAAGGATAATTTTAGAAACCGGTGTTAATTATTTTTTTACTCCTAGACAACTTGTCCACGTTTTTACCGGACAACGTACCTCGTAATTTCGTGGGTAACTCGAAAGAACAGATTGAAGGAATCCATTCATTTATTACTAAAAAGTTATTATTGTAAGGATGTTAAAGGTGACCTACGAATTCCTCAAACATAAAGACCCCAGTAAACAATGTTGATTCCACAAAATTTATTGTTCATGTTTCAATCAAACTTTTCCTTATAAAGAAAAAAATGTTAAATAAGAAACGGTGTTTAACATTTAAACATGTTTCCAAAAGGTTGCTCAGAAGGTATGGTCCCTACATTGAATATCACGCATGAAAGTCGGGTATGGAGTTACTACTGCACAACTGCTCATGAATATAAAGTTATAAATAAATAATTTCACTATATTATTATTTTAGCCTGTTAAAGATGTTTCAACTTAAACATTTTTACTTCTCAATGTTAGTAATAATTAAAATCGTACATTTGTTGGTTTAGAGATGAAAAAATATACCACTGTGAATTGTTTCAATTAGATGATTCGGTTCTGGTAATCTTTGTAATCATCATGAAACAAATGAAGAGTGAAAATAGAACTAAATTTAAATCTGATTCTATGAAGATTCAACTTTTGTGTAGAAAATTAAGAATGTGTGTTTATTTTTAATCATTTCCAAAAAGAAGTTCAGTTTTAAGACTTACCTTTGCAGCGAAAAATGCATGTATATTCGATTTTATTTTCGTCAAATATTTATATCCCCAAAAGCCAATAATCAAATGGTTCATTTACTTATTGAAACCTGATGCAAGATTTGATCAGATAGATAATTAAACGTTTCGACACTTTTTTTGTTATCGAACATATTACAAATGTCCTGTGAGTAATAAAATGGTCAATATTACACTATTCTGAAAACCTGAAATGTACTTTTAACAGAAAAAGTTTCAATTATTGTATATTTGAGTATATAAATTTGCTGTCTTTTTCACTTTTATTAAGAAAATGTGTTACCATAATCAATTCAAATTACATAAGATTTTTTTCATCTTTTTATATTGAGTCTTAGAAATCGAGAGAGAGAAAGAGAGAGAGGGAGGTGGGTTGATATTTCTGTTGAGTTCGTTCACGAATTAAAAATAAGCAACTTCAAATTGCGTGCGGTTTATTTTAAAAGTTGCTAAATGTTAGGAAATTGAGAAAATTGAGAAATGATTTCCACATGGTAAATTACTTATGTTAACATAAACTAGCATAGAAAGATTTAAGTTTTAAATAAAAAAAAAAATTGTATCTCACAACTTTAACAAATCCAATCATATTGAAAGGTTTTTGCTGTATGATTTAGGAAAAGTAGGAAAAGTGCTTCAAAAATATTACGCTGCAGGAAATTTCTTTTACTTTTGTCTGTTTATTTTTTTTATTATTTTTTTTTTTCTGATTTAGCCTTGTCAGAAAAAGAGGTCTTTTCTTTTACTTTACTCTTCAAAAGCTAGAGTAAGAATATATTTTTAATTTAATTACTGATATTTCTCTTTAAAAACTGATTGACACGTATTTAGAACACTAAAGTGATCTGAACTGGCCTATCACATATCAAAAAGATCTAGACAATCCTTCCTTTCAAAACTGTTTAAGGATCTTCCTACTCAATTTCATTTTTTCTAGTAGTGATTTGGTGTCATCTGACTTTATTTCCGGTTTATCACGTGACCAACACCCGGATGTTTCTGTGCCTTTGAAGTCCAAGTTTAATAAAATTTTACTGGTTAGTTACTGTAGGGGAGAGAACGTAACAGGGACACTTTCATTTACATATACTTTTTATTTATTGTTTCAGTAACTTGTCAACAAGAAGAGAGTGAGAGGACTATGACGAGTCGAACTAGTTTTCGAACACTGATTGTTGACGGTGCAAAAAAGTCTTTAGGTGGATTTTGCATAATAGTTTAATTTAGAGTACAAGATTATGTAAACTTACCATTTATAAATAGCAGGGTTCCATTATGTTCCTGTTGTGGGAGGCTTTATAAGGCAGGCTTATGTCATTTTTAACAAGTGCATTAAGGAGCAAAACCATTATATTTGTCATTGAATGCTTGTTTTGTGGAAACAATGTACGAGTTAGGCTGAAAATGAATGATGAATACGTATTATCTTGTAGTTTACGAAAAATTAGGTTACTGGTCACAAATGCTGTCAGAACTCTTCTGCAAACAATGGAACACGCATTTTAATATTAATAAAATATGCCAGTGGTCAAAACTGCACTATCTTAAATTAACCAATAAATTATATATTCCGGATTCATTTTGTTTGGGTCAATGTTCGTGAGGCAACCAATATTCATCGGGACTTGATTTCGTGGGTAACTTGTTCAAAGAGAAGATTCAATCAGTCAATACATTGACAAACAATTTGCCCCACAAAGTATATATGAACAAACCAACCACGAACAATGATCTTTCCATAGCAATGGGTATTTTTCTATTGATTATATTACAGTTATGGTAGGCATGTTAGGAAACTCATGGTTTCGAGTTGAAAATGAATTTCTACTTGAATATGGTTCCCATTATATTGTTAAGGATACTTAATGTTTCTCTTGAGTTTTCTATCAGATGTGATTTTATCAACATGATTAAAATTGTGATGATGTATTTGTTGGCTACATTTTTTATGTCTGCTCAAAATATGTTCATATATTTCTGTCAATGTTTAAATTATCATCTGCTTAGGCAAATATAAAAAGCTTACTCTATAACATTCTTAATTTGTCAAGTTTCAATGACATGTTTCAGCATGGGGAAAGATGTAAAATTTACTAATCAATATTCATCTCTTTGCAATTCATTTTAAAAATATCACATTGATTTTGTCATGAAATTTGACAGACGATTACAACAGTGATTGCAAGGTTCTTCCTTCCTCTTTATACAGAAGTTCGTCGCAAACCACGAGATTCATATCCACTTACTCCTTACAAACAGTACTAGCTAAAATAATATGATTTGCTCCGATAGTCCAATGAGTCAAATATTAAGTGCAACGTAACAATGGATTAATGTTTACACTACTAGTAGTGATATATGAATCTTTTCTGTCCATCTATATGCTTTGAAATCATGAGAAAATGACATTGTAAATACTACAAATGAGAGAGAGAGAGAGAATAATTAAATATCAAATTATTTTTTTTCGTCCCTCATCATTGATTGAAGTTTAGTGACGAGGTATATACATTGGACAGGATACAGTTTTTGATGGAAAAAGATATACATCATTGTATGAACCGTTCTACCCACTCGTAAGATTTATGTTTTGATAAATTGACATAAAGATAATATTGTGAAATTTAAATCTATTTCTGGTTTATCAGAAGTGACCAACATTTCTGTACTATTGAAAATCAGTATGAAAAAGTTAATAGGCACTTTCTACAGTGCCACGTGTTGTCAAGTGTACTAAAGTGAAAAAAAGAATTTTATATTAACAAAAGAGTTTTCTCAAATTTGGTTTGAAACATCATTCTTTACCTTTCAGAAATCTACCATTTATTTAGAGGCCCTTTTATCTACAGTGATATATAAAACATCAGCTAACAGTAGGCAATTTAAAAAAAAAACCTTCTTTTGACTGAACATCTTGCAAAATAAATGTGTTAACAATTTTAGAACCTGCCGAAACATTCAAGCTTACAATCTCTATCCATGATAGAAGCCCCTGCGGTTCATGCTGCAAAACGTAAGTCAATGTATTGAATACGCTGTACAGAAATACAAGAAGTAAAACAATGGTTTATTTTTTATTTTTATTTATTAATTTGAACAGTATGCGCTTAAAGTTTTGGGGAAATGAATCCATATCTACTGAAAATGCAGTTTTGATGATAGACCAGTATGACAATTCTTGTTGGATTCAAAATTCTTATACATTTTAATTCTGTTTGAATACCGTCTCCACTTCTTGCAGGATTAAGGTAGTACAAAAAAACACACATGAAATCTGTTTTATCTCATTTCTTGTAAGAACACTAGAAAAAAAATATATCACTTTAATGTCAATAATTAACGATCTTTGTAAGAAAATAATAAGTTGCGACATGTTTTTCGCCATATTTTCCAAAAAAATAGAGAATCTTATATACTGGACATTCGAGAGCCTTTATTTTAGAATGTGTTTATGCCATCTACATGCAATATGACAGTCTGTTATTAAATGTAAAGTAAATTTTGATCCATTTTTAGTGGAGACCTCATATTTGGACATATTTATAAGGAGTCTCCATTCTTTCTAAACAATAAAGGTCAACGTCATATTTAGAGGTCAAAGGTCAAATATTGTGACATTTTCTACTGATTCTTTCAATTTTTTTTGCATTGAATATTTTTTTAAATCGCCAAAATATCTGAAACTGCCGGTTCAATGTTCCTCATTTTGACACATTTTAATCTAGGTTCTATTTTAATAATTCTGTTGATTTTTTTCGTAAAAACTGAATCATACATTTTGACTTAAGGGGATGAAGGACACATGGTCACATGACTTTGTTAAACTACGTCATAGTCTCCAATTATATAAGTGCAAAACGTGTAAAGCATCAGTTCTTGTATAAATTTTTGACATTTTTTTTTCTTTAATTACCATCTTATATTAAAAAAAATAAAAAGTTTAACATTCTTGTAAACATTAACAAATTATGAAAAAAGATTGATCCACTCCTCTGTTTCTTTAAACTGCGCGTCAAACAAGTCGGTGACGTCATACACGATCTGCTAGTACAGCAAGATCATACTCGGTGAATACAAGGGCGGTATTATGTAAAAACAACAGGTCATAATCAGTATATGATGAAATATTTTGAGAAACTGGGAACACAAAAATTATTTTTGCATGGCTGATGACTGAAATCTTATGTAGGTATGTCTTATTTGGCTTATTTAGCTTACGTGTGACGTCATAGTTGGTTTTTCCCGTACTCGAGAAATGTAAACATGACAAGTGTTTGTCCTGCTTATGTCGTCTTTAACGATGTCCTGTGCAATATTAAAGTCAGCTTCACCATTCGAAATTTTTACAGTTAATCAATAATTTGAAGGACTTGCATTTCAACGTAAATTTAAAAATATTGAATGATAGGATTTTTTGTAAATTACGTTTTTGTTGTTTAAGTTGTCTTAAAAAGTTCGTAATTTTCCCTATCCAGATGCAGTGTTATAGAAGAAACTTGCCTTTTCCAATTTTAAACCCAATTTATACTCTGAAATATTTTAAAAGATACATGTTCACTTAATATTTTTTATATATGCTTTAAAAATCCAATTATGGACAGAGTAATGAGCCCGGAAACATGGAGAATTAAAACTCCACTAAGATACTGTAGGGCATCATATTTGTCAATCAATATCTCTAAAATAAGGTCAGAAACCTAAAGATATAACTGCTTTAAGATTTGTGGAACTTAATTAGAAATATGCAAAATATGAAAAAAATTGAATGACAAGTATTTTTTCAGCTAAAGGTTCTTCTTCCCCTTAAGAGAACTTAAAGTGTAGCATACTTACATGTGAATTTTCAATTCTGGGCTATGTATCTTTATTTTTTTTTTTATCACATTTTACTCAAATATACTAGTATCAATATAATTTTACTGAAATTAAGTTACATAAAGGTAGTATTTACAAAAAGCATATCTCAAATTTGCAATAGATCAATCGGTAATTTAAAAAAAAAATGCATATTCTAAAGTGCAATGTCTGATTTCACAATCTTTTTAAAAGGGACTGATAGACCATATTTCAAACTAAGTTGGCAAAAATTGTCCGGTTGGATTTCTTTCAAATTACATAAAAAGAGAGATTTCGTATCCTGGAACAAAATTTCAAAGTTTCAAAAAAATTGAATTTTAGGAAAAATTTTGTCCTATCTATTGTGTTCTACCTTTAGAAGCATTGAAAATGAAAATGAAAATATCTTTTTAAATCAGATTCTACATAATAGACCAACAATTGAAAGTTGTTTTTCTTTTTCAAATATATCACAGTATTCTCAATAATAATTAAAGAAAACACAACCAAATAAACTTATACTAGAATTGAATAAGATCTAAGATTTCATAGAAACACACAATTTTATCTTTATTATATGTGTATTTAATTAAGGTATTTAAATCCAGAGTCAGATTTAAAAAATAATGTACGGCAACTACAGTAGAATAGTCAAGGGTCTTAATATTTTGTAATTAATTCTAATTAGTGAAGAAACAGGTGTGAAATTTAAAATTAGACATTCATAATATCCTCGTAAAATGTATATTACACATGTATGTCACAAAATTATCAAATTAATTAACAATGTTTGTGGTAATAGGTTCAGGGTTTATTCAATGTTTCAATTAATTTAAACAAATTTTAATTGCATTAATCTTTGGTGTCGGGACAAGGAAATGAAAATGTGCATGAATCTAGATTTCATTTTATGTCTTTTTCTTTCTTTCCTTTTTTATTATTTGTATTTTACTATTCAATAAAGGACTAACTACCAGGAAAAATTACCTAATTCTCTATTTTGTCAATAAAAGAGAAAAAAAAAACTATAATATATAAACATATAAAATGCATTACAATTGCCTTTTACTTATTATACAGTTAATCTCCATTTTCTGTGTCAGTAAACAGTGGTTTACTCATATGGCAAATTTTAAGAAAGGTGACAACATTTATCAAAATTCAAAACGATAATCGACCCAGTCACCAAGACTCGTGCACTAACATGCATTTGTCTGCATTTCTAGAAACTGCCTTATCAAACATATAGGCTACCAATGTTCTCTGTGAAATGTACAGGGGCACCCACTGATGAATCGTTTTGACAACCTGATTCATTAAATATGTCAGAAATTAGTTAATTATGTTTATAGTACATGTGACATCTAATGTCTAGGACTGTGCTTTTCACTTAATTGTATGACATGAAAATAATCCATGTAATTGGAATTCAATTAAAACCAAGTGTACTTTTAAGATATTTATGTCATAAATCATTACAACTACACTGTAACTTCAAAAGTAAATATTTACAAATTCTTAAGTACCATGCTTGGTTTGATATTACTTGTCTTGATAAATAATTTCAGAAATAATTGCCCGATTTTTTTCGACAAAAGAATTACAGAAAATGATAGAACCGTTAAAGAAAAAATACGAATGTTTTTACAACGACAAAATGATAGATAGATTATTGTATAATTTTCATTAGGGCAAAAAGTGCACGTCAATAATTAAATTATTTTTTACTAAACAAAATTTCTCGATGAAGCAAAAAGAAATATTGTATCTCATCTCGGTGGATAAAACAAATGCTGACCTTAAAGAAGGGTGTATCCATTTCCAAAAGTTAAAACTTGTAATTACATTGTAATTATCATTTCTAAGAGGATTCGAAATTAAAAAAAATAGATAAAAATACAAGTTACATGTATGTTTTGGCTCTATCCCTTTTTATTGAGAAACAGCCATAGTCAATTCCAATCAAGCGTTCCGTGGTGATGGATAGTGCACAATTTTCCATTGTGCCATTTTGTAAATTTTGAATTTATCGGGTGGCAGTGCAAATTGAAAATTTTGTATTACTGCCACCCTGTAAAAAAAAAAATTGCAATATGACCAAGAACAACTAGAAACATGTAATAACTGTTTTAGATTATATATATATATATATATATATATATATATATATATATATATATATATATATATATATATATATATATATATATATATATATATATATATATATATACGAGGGTCCTAAACAAAGCGTTTATGCGCAAACTAAGCTGAAGCTCTCAGCAAATGTTTATTTGTCCTATTTGAGTATTTTTTAATTTTTTAATGAAATATAGAGAAAAGGAAGTTATTAAACTTGAATATGCTCGGGGTATGGTCCTATGGTACCTATGAAATAACTAAGGGTTGAGGTAAAAATTATCATATTTTAAAGTCCCTATTTATTATTAATAATATTATTAATGGAAAATGTATTAATTAGTGTAAATTTTAGAACGCAGTATTGATTATTTTTCACTCTAGACAACGTGTCCACCATTTTACCGGACAGCCCTCGTATATATATATATATATAGAGAGAGAGAGAGAGAGAGAGAGAGAGAGAGAGAGAGAGGTTAGCATTTTACGCAATAAAATCGTCTAACTTTGTAAATGTTTAATGTTCCCAAATACGTCCAGCAAGTATTAAAGCAAATCAACTTATGTGGATGTCCCTACTCAAATACTTGACTGTAAAGCATATCTTTCAATCAAATGGAATTTAATTTGGATAATTATTTCAAATACAAGCATGTATGCTCTTTATAGTATATATTGATTCCGTTTAAATGAAAACGAAAATTTATTATACGGAATGAAATACTGGGTAAGTTGTATATACACGTTTCTAATATGGGCTAAAACTGAGAACAGAATTCATGCTTTCAATTTGGAGATTACTGAACCATATAGTCCGTGCCATACATATAAAGACGCGTTTTCTTGGCCATGACATTAATTTTGTCTGAATTGGACGTCTGGATATACGATTTTGACATGTCCATGGAGTACTTGCTGGCGGGGGGTCGTCTTCCCAGCGTCTCGGCCAGATCCCTCATGTAGGCTGCAGTATTTCCACAACACAATCCAAGGTATTGAACACCTATTTCCTGGGCTTCTTTTGCAAATTCTATAACATCCTTGGCCCCACACCTTGCGCTTTCCAGATTCCTTGGATACAAATAATCACCTGTAAAAAAGGCAAAACTTGTATATCCATAGATAACAGAAAAAATCATAGGAAAAAGAAAGCAAGACAGATGAAGTTGATGGATGAAACTGTTTTTAAAGGCTTTTACCTGATTCTTTATCCTTGATAGAATAAAATGTTCGACAATCATCCCGACATTGAAATGGTACAGGTAAGGCAGCGATTGGACCCTAAAATTTCCATTAATAATTAATTTAAATGCAAAAGGGATTGATCTTACACGGAGGTACTACCGGGCTTTCTGGTAAAGCTTTTATAGAAATTTTCTAAAATGTAGACAAATTAAGAAGCAAAGGACAGTCTCCATTATTTACTTATGTATGGCTATTTGTTGTTAGACTTTATTTTCTAATAAAAAGAAATCAGAAAAAATTGCTCATTTTTTCTTTATAACAATATCAAATAAAAACGAGAAAAAATGAAATAATTCTTGAGGGTGAAGGCCTTTTCTTTGGACTGAAATTTGATAGACCAAGAGAAGCATACTATCAATTCCGAACTCCTCCAGATAAATTATTACATTATATAGAATTTAAATCACATTCTAAGTGTAGTTTGTAATAAGTATTAATAAAACAATGAAATAGCATTATGTACATTATAAAGAGTCATATCTGCATTAAATTTACATTATAAAACTTTTTATCTACAAAAAAAATCCTTCACAACCTCTTTCTATTTCTTTGCAATTGTTGTGGGAGACAAGAGTAGTTTTAATATATCCTGTGTGAATATATTTGTTTTCAGGATGAAAAAGATAAGTCATAATTTTTATATCTACATGTATATTTTTAATGCACATTCACTGAAAAAAAAATCACAATTTCTTCCAAATGGCAATATCAGGGTATTACTCATAAAATAAATCAGTCTGATTAAAATCAGATCTTTGTTACGCTCCGAAACTATGATGGTCGCCAATCTTTGAACAAAATCTTGGAGCGTAACAAAGGTATGATTTTAGTCAGATTGAAACAAAAAATCTGCTCCGTTTTAACTCTTATCTAATTCTACACAAAGGTATACGGTTGTCTTAGAAAAACACGTACATTTTCAATCTTTGTTTCACTAATAATACAAAGAAAAAAATTGGCATACAACATAAGCTAAACCTTTTTGAATTTCGCAGAGAAATTTTAATTTAATTTGTCTCTAAATAACATTTTTCTCTAAATTGAAAAAAATCTTTAAAAATAGTAGCCGGTGCTGCAACACTGACGACATCAAAATGTAGCTCGTGGCGTTTGTAATTTTGTTCAGGAATTGTGTGTCTTTAAAAGTTCTTTTTGAAGCACAAATAGGACATTGCATTTGTTTTTCGGTTAGTTATCAAATTACCTCCCTCAAAAATTCTAGAGTCATCAAAAGTTCGCGGAATTAATTATTTCAATTGACAATTTCCCAACTCCGATCAGAATTCCAACTTCACGTATGACGTCTAGCTCATGGCGTTTCAGTTTGTCTTCATTTTAGTTGGTCTATCAAACGCCTCTTCAAATGGATAACCTGTGCAGCCATCCTTGAACCTAACTTGCCAGGTACATGTATAAACCAGTGTCCGAGATACGTGTTTGTGTTGTTCCATCCTTGCCATCTCTTTTCCCGTCTGGACAGGAGTCATACTGTACTGAATGACAATTTCGTAATATCGCCCGACGTCACCATTTTTTGTGAGAATATCAGAAACAGAAAGCGTTTGTGCATATAATGTCATATATCTCTTATTTTTGATGTCAAATTAATGAATTTTCACACATTAAAGCTAAAGATCATAGAGTTTTATGGGTGTAAATTTTATCACTTTATACCCATGTATTTCCTTATGATCTGGTAATAAAAGAAACCTCGCTGATAATGTCATTTTTAAAAAGTTAAAAAAGAGGTTTGCCGAACCGACGATATTTAATGTCCTTTAAATGCTGTTTCCAAATGTATATGACATAACAAACTTTTTATATATTTGTCAAAATGATATGAACATTTCATTTTCCCAACGATGTGCCAAAAAAAGAATAATTTAGTTTGGTTGTTTATGAGTATATATTTTCTGGGACAACTCTTAATTCTACATTCGTATAATTAGACTTGCTGTCTGAATCCATTTCTCATGATACAAAAATATGAAGAAAATTTGGAAATGAGTGCCTGTTGAATCTTACTGTAAAAATAAATTCAATATCTAGTCATGTTGTGTATGTCAACAATTAGAAAACTATCTATCAATTTTTCTGTGATTTTGTCTTTTGATTTAGCATTGTTTTTGGCGATTTAACAAAAATTATTCATTTATTAAAACATAAGTCGGTTGGTTGATTGATTGTTTGGTTTACATCCCTTTAAGAATTTTTTTCATTCATGCTGGAATGCCACCAGTTGCCGACGGAAGGCTGCAGATCTTGGCAGTTACGGGCATTGAGCAATGAAGGATCTTTTCCGTACCAGCATCTACTTTGACACTAACCTCGGTATCCGAAGGACCAGTCTCTACGTTACGCATCGGGATTCGAAGCCGCGACGTAAGGTTAAACTCCCTATACTTACGGACTCTAGAACACTGCACCACGCGGGCGATCAAACACACATGATATCTTAATAATCATTTTCATTTGCTATCTAAATTCATAAGTAAAAGATGATAACCTTGCATGTTTTTCTGATTTCTTTGAGCAGTGGAATCATCGTCTTGGGACCCCGAGCACAATTAAGACCGACAACTGCTGCCCCAGCCTCCTCCAATCGACGACAAGCTTCTGGTATCGGAACGCCATCTACCGTTTCGTCGGGACAATATGAAGCAAATGTAATGACGGCTGGGACTCCTTGAAAATTTCGGTTCATAAATATTTTCAATTGTATACTACGATGACCGACAGCGGCCGCCACTTTTGATTCTGAATATTGTCATTTTGTACAGCTTTTTTGTCAATTTTCGTTGACAAATTACAACTAAACTGGTAATGTTATATGTCCATATACAGTTTTTACACTGACAATTTACACTGGAGAAAATCATTAAAATTCTTTCTTGTGATATGAAATGAAGATACATAAAACAGGTTACTTGAAGGTGATAAGCTTAAGGTTCTAGCAGAACAGCAAGGTCGGGGTGATTACAGATTAGTATTGTCTTCTAGATATACTTTCTCGAGAGACTGTAGTAATTAATTCATAAAATTCCATGTTAGTGTACCTGCTGGTCACATCATAGGTAACCAGGATGAAATTTTCCAGGTCTATCAGAAATTTGATTTTGTTCATAATCGGACGTGTCTTTGATGTATGAATTTTGTTTTTTAAACAATGCGCATGAGGAAATGATCACATTAGTTACATGTCCCTATATTTTCATTCCCGTGCCACATTGAAAAATAATTGGCCGACCAGGTGGAAGTCTTGAGAGGTTGCGTTGGACTTTAAAAGTGTTTCAAGCATTTAGTTATTAATTTTATGTATTTAGAGAGCAAATACAGACTCCCACATTTAAGGTTGTCATTTTATTCTTGCTTAAAAACGGGTATATTTCCGTATCTAAAGTTTTGTTTTTGATACATTCCATAAACTTTTGATTGGATGCTCACATGTAAAGCTACTAAATCCTATTTTTCTACCTCTACATAATAGGTAGAATCGAGTTGTCTCATACAATCTGATGATCGAGATATATCCATTATATTCATGTATATCCATTACAACAAACGTATTACTTTTATTCGCCTTTTTAATTACAATCCCAAGAATATCGTTTAAATGATACAGCAAGGTGACAGAATGACGATTTACGTCTAGTCTAGGATTAACTGGGTTACGATATCTCAGACTAATTGAGGGTGAAAATCATTAAAATGCTCCTTATCTCTTTCAAGCCACCTGTTTTATGTATCTTAATTTCATATCACACGAAAGAATTTTAATGTTTTTCGCTGGTGTAAATTGTCAGTGTAAAAAGTGTACATGTACATATAGCATTCCCAGTTTAGTTGTAATATGTCAACGAAAATTGACAAAAACGCTGTACAAAATGACAATATTCTTAATCAGAAAGTGGCGGCCGCTATCGGCCATCGTAGTATACAATAGGAGTCAACTTCAAAACTGAATTTTAAATAATTTTCTCGCAGAAGGGGAAAAAATTATACAAAATATTTTTTAAAACTTTTGTAGCTAATTATCCATTTAATAATACCTCTTTTTCATCAAGTGGACAAAATTACAGCTCAAACAAAGATCACTGCAATATAATCAGGTAAAAAAAACTGAACCATTAGGAAATGAATTTTTTTTTTTCAAATTGACAGATGAGATCGATCTTTACCTTTTCCGTACTTTTGAATGCATTCTAATGCTAACAAGGCTTCACTAACAATGTCAAATGTCTCTCCAGTGATATAGTCTACTCCCGCCTCGACAGCCCACTCTACCATTTCCTAGAAACGATGACAGCGCATTAAACATTTAGGACAGTTTACTGCACTTTTGATAGAATAAAGAAGGTTGCATAATCATTGAGAGGAGTCTACTTGGTTTATATTGTGCCAGTCATTTTTCTTGGTCACATAATATTGTGCAAACATTCAATTCTTCAAGGACAATTTTCATGGATTGCTTAATATCCAATTTTCTTGGACAAACATCTCATTTTGATAGGAAAAGCTTGAATATTAGTATTCGTAGAGGTTTAAGTTGAAGAGGAAATGGAAACCCACGAAATTCCATATAATGTAGTTTATGCTATTATATACTGCAAACCAACTTTTATTCGCGTGTGAGAAATATCCGCGAATTTCGCGACCTACCTTAACTTGTGAATATTATTCGCCTCGAACTATTTATTTTGCTTTATATTTGTAAAGAATGTTTCCTCAGTCGCAAAAAATGATCGTTGCGGATTGATTTCTAACTGAAAAATCGCGAATAAAAGATGACGCAAATAATAGTTGGTTACCAGTATCACTGAGAATGCAAGAAACCTTAAACATTTGCCGACACTTCTCTACAGCAACAGGATCATTTTCGTCATAGACCCTTGTGTGACATATCCCCCCTGCCAACAGAGCACCTGTTTCTTCTGCCACTTCTTTAGCAATTCGAAGAGCCTGACGATTCAACTTCTCTACATAGTCTTCTTTATTAATTGACTTCAGTCTCTCTCGATGAGCACAGTACTAGATAAAAGAGATATCTTTTTATTAATTAAAATGAAATAAAGTATCTTAAACATTAAGAGGAGTTGAATATTTATATCTCTAGAAGACAGATTTTGTAATTTTTCTGATAAGAAAAATTGGTATTTATTCATTGAAAAATGAATTAAAGTTTTATTGTGCCCTTCCGATCTTTTAATGATGGATCTAAAAAAAATTGAAGTACCCATATTTTTTATTTAAACATATGAGATGAATGATCCACAATTATTATATAGAAAGATATCATACATATATGATTGATTATATACATATACGACTGATGGTCCCATTTATAGCATAAAAACATTTATTATAAACGCACAGTAAATGCTAAAACTACGTCACTCCCAGCATGAACAAATTCATGATGCATTGCTTTTACAAGATCGGGATGTTCCATTACTACTTCCGGAGCATTGTGTCCACGGTTCAGATAGCCACGTCTGTCAAATTCCCACATATATCCCTCCGCTACTAAGATTGTTTCCCCCGCTGTCAAACGCTGCAGAAACCCTAGATGAAATATATGGAGATAACGAACAGTATTCAAGCTCAAAAGGCCATTATACAATTCAAAATAGAAGCAGAGCAAACACGGACCTCCAAACATCAGAGGTGGGATCAGGTGCCATGGAGGAGTGAGCATCCCCTGCCGACCGGTTACATCCGCCGTGTGCTCCTTGTCATGATCGGGAAATAACGGAAAAATCCGTCGACAATTCAGTGTGTAAATAATGGCCTAACAATTAGTATGAAAAACGTCAGTCAGCATTTGACTCAATGATAAACTGTATTTGCTGACAAGGTCATTGTATCGACCATAGAACTTACGAAATGATGACTTTAAACGAGACAGCTGATATTCTTGTTTCATCAACTTATTTGTCAATAATTTACCTCGTTTTAGAAATTGTACAAACGTAGAGCATGCTCTTGCGTATCGAATCAACTGAGAGATATATACCCCGTATGCAGGTGATGAAGGTATATTGCTGCATAAGTAAGGGAAGTTGACGATTGAAAAGTTAAAGTCATCACGTTTATCATAAAGCTTGGTTGTTAGATTACCATTAACGTCTTTTTCAAGTAAAATATCCAAATATGAAACAGATGTGTCAGACTCTGTGGTATCTTTTATCTCAAGTTCACCAGGATATATCGTATCGACATAAGAATGAAAATAGCCATTGTTGATTGACAGTACGTCGTCGATCTATCTAAATGTCGAGTTGAACGCCACAGCAAGTGTTTTCTTCTTTTCACGTACAAGATTTTGGACAAATTCTGCTTCATATGAATAACGGGGCGCAATCGGTACCCATCGGAATTCCAATAGATTGTTGGAAGACCTGGTCTCCAAAAACCACATAGATATTGTCAATCAGAAACTCAAGCATCTTTTTAATGTCAACTTCAGAGTACTTATGTGTACAATCAGAATGTTTTTTAACAAAATAATTTTGCAAATGACCAATGACAAGGTAAGTATATTTACGAGTTCCATTTTTATTGAAAAAGCAGCTGTCAATGATATCAAAAAGCCTGGACTTTAATTTATCGTGGGGAATGGTTGTGTATAAAGTTGAAAAGTCGTAAGTTTTTAAGCTGTTGATTTTGGTAAAATCTTGTGATTTCAAATTTTCCAAAAGTTCCTTGGAATTTTTAAGTATCCACATCTGATTTACACCACTTCTCGAATATATTGTTGCACAGTACTCTTGAAGTTTCTCCTTCACCACTGTTAATATCTTAGTGAGGAGTAAACATAGAGGCTTGGTTGAACATTTACTGGAACCCGCTATGTATCTTTGTTTGTAAGGATTTTTATGAAGTTTCGAAATCCAATATAAATATGGTAATTCGAATCCATTTTGGTTGTTTGGAATATTAAAAATATTCAGAACTGATATGATTTTGAAGAATTTCTTCCTTAGAAAGGGAACTATGAGTATAAGTTGGATTACCACTTGCAGAATTAAATCCAAGTTCCTCTAAAATACATTTAATATAATGAGCCTTACAAACAAAGACAATGTTGTTACCTGCTTTGTCAGCAGGGACCAGTACGTACTGATCATGTAATCTATCTAATTCTTTTTTCACTTCTTGATTATTGAATACAGAAGGATAGATGGTTTTCACATTGCCTCTCAATTTTTTAATGCGCGATTTTAACATACATCTGATACATTTAATCCATTCTGACAAAGTGTCAAGGTCTTCTTTTTCATGTCTGGCCCATCGCCTGGCGTAGTCCTCTACAGAATCCATGATATTTATGAAATTCTTACGCCAGTTGAAGGATCTGGGTTCCCTAAATTTAGGACCTTTTAAAATTAGTGATCTAAGGTCCTCATTATTAACTATATTTACGTCACCAGTAATTAGAAAAGAATTACATTATTAATTTTGTTCTTACAAATGTGGGGTCCCTTATGTACTTTTAAGCAATATAATGTACATATGAAAAATTATCCTGTTGTTTACTTCATAAACTGAAGATAAATAAGTAGGCTTAGCATATTTGAAAATTAGCAATGTAACTAATATTTATTGTGAAATTTTTCTAAATCTGAATTGCAATAGGAAATTTAAACATCTGTACATGTATGAAGAAGCCCTTGTGCCCTTTCTACTAGAAACGCTAGCTACTAGCGAGCAGTATAAGTTCTCTATATACTGTCTGCAAGCACTTCCCCCGCTGAGGGAAGCTTCGTCCCAAAGCATAATATGAGTCCTATCTGGAGCCTCTTTAGTAAAGGTCACCTTTGCATCCACGGATATTAAGTCCTTAAATTGTCATAAAGTCTGAGCCCGAGAGTTTTCTGAAGCACGTCTCAGAACACCAAGGTTACTACTCCGCCGCCAATGTCGTAACATAAAATGGTTACCCATATGGATTCAGGGACCATACAGGCTCAACGAATCTTAACTTGCCTAATAAAACAGAGGGACCGCATCACTAGACAAGCTAGCTTCCTAGCAAAGCAGTATAAATTCCATATAGGAAAAAAATGAGAGTAAAGCATGTCAACATGCAAGATAATTATGTTGACATGCAAGCTATCAATCTTTTTAGAAAATGTGATCTTAAATTGGATAAAGAGCCATAGCTGCCTCCCCGACGACATGGCCGACTCAAGAATTTAAAAGGAAATCACCTGCTTCTATTTATAGATATACCTTTTCAATTCAAGATCAAACTATGTAATATGGTTTGAGGACGAGTATTATATTTTCATAGTTGCAAGTATGTCAAATGACATTCATTTAATTTGTTCAATACTCTAATTCTGAGACAAAAGATTTAGAAAATCAATAAAAATAAAACAAGTAGCTATGAATTTACAAACTTTAAAGCTATATATGGCGTATCTGAGCTAAAAAAAATAAAATAAAATAAAAATACGAGATTGAGTGAAGATAAACCTGAATATGTTTTTTACTTTCAAATAAAAATTCTCATCGATTTTGAACTTGAATAACCTAATGTTTCCATAGTTAAATTGATTTTAAACTTTGTCTGTTAATTAAATGCGGAGTCGTTAAATAAATCGGATATTGTATTAAATTTCTAATACCTGTGAAACGTGATTGATTTTAGTTGTGTAATTTACAGGAAAGTCCTATCTTTATATAAAGTAATAAAACAAATAGAAAGATCTTTTTAATTTTAGCTAAATACGCCATATATGACTTTAATAAAATAGTTTAGGACTGTCTTTTCCCGAGATACTTTCAAAGTGTAATGTGTATATTATAACTTCCTGAAATTATGCATATTATAAAACGTAAAAAAGAAAAACGTAGAAAAGATATACAAAGAAAAAAATTTAAAAAGCATAAATGGAAAAATGTGGGGCTCGAACTCGCAATCACCATATTTACATTCCAGCAATCATACCACTGCGCCAACGAAGTCAATGATGTCAAATGGATAAATTTAAGACAGATTGCTAAATCTTACGATTATTTGAGAAGAAAATTTGAATATATATTTTCATCATTTTCAATATGAAGACCACCTTTAACCAAAATTATCTAAATGTAATGAAGTGCAGTCATATCCAAATAAAATTATTCAAAAGTTGTTTTTCTGGTTAAGGGTGGTCTTTGGCAACAGTTTGTCATCTTTAGGTGGATACCTCAATATTTACTATACACTCCATACAAACTGGATAAATTTTATATTTATCATATGAAGGAACTATCAATATTGAAATATCATTATTGTGTGGTTTGGTTTTACGTATGTATAAACTACTATTGTATGACAAAATTTTGGATAAACAATGAATTTAAGAAATCACTAGTAGAGTAGGCGAAAATACCCATCAAATGCGCTATGGCTCTTTATTTACTAACGCCAGTATCTATAACATCATACATAAAAGATGCAACATAGTTATTTTAATATACATCTTATCTATGTCAACATGCGAGATAATTACGTCGATATGCGACATATTTATGTCGACATCTGAGTTAATTAAGTCGACAGGCAAAATACATATGGTGACATGCGACATTTTAGTCAACATGCAACATGATTATGCTAACATGCGACTTATTTATGTCAACATGCGAGATAATTAGGCCGATATGCGACTATTATGTCAACATGCAAGAAATTATGTGGACATACGACTTATTTACATCAACATGAAAGATAGATACGACTTATTTTTGTCAACTAGCGAGATAATTATGTCGACGGGTGCATGACTTTACCTCGCATGTTGATATGAATTAATCGCACGTCAACATAACTATCTCGCATGTTGATATCATTAATTCACATGTCAACATAATTATTTGGTATGGTGACATAAATAAGGCATGTTGACATAAGTCACATGTATACATAATTGTATCACATCATGTTGACATAAATAAGTCGTATGTCATAAATACGTTGCATTTTGGACGTATGATGTCAAGTTACGGCGTAAGTAGATTTACCCATATAACAATCAGATTCTTTAAAAAAGATTGATAACTTGCATGTCAAGATAATTTATATGAAGAGGAATAATTGTAAATTATGTGAATTGAATATGGATGAAAAGAAATATGGAGAAAACGAACAGTATTCAAACTAAGAGTCTATCCAAACAATACAAATCGAGAGCAGAGCAATTATGAAAATGTCACCAGGCACATTGTTCATTCTTCGAAGCCAGTAATTGTTGTTAAAAAATATCTTAACAAGCACGCACTCTATTCTATGTTGTAGATGTTACATGTAGCTAGTTGTCTGTGAATGTGGAAATACTTTTCTTGTATTTAACTTATTTAGGATTAATTCGGATACAACTAACATACAGGTGGAGGTGAGTTGCATATATCAATAAAGTAATTATTTTTACCTTGACACATTTTAATTCGATCTTGCAACTAAGAGTAAAATTTGGGCACAACTTATCATAATTTGCAGATACGGTATCTATCCAGCAGTTCTTTTTTCTGTTTACATAAATAAGATATAATAATTATATATTAAAAAATAAAAAATGAATGTTTGCAACCTATTTAAAAACTTGTGTGACTGCATAAAAAGATTTATATTAGTATCATTTGTTTACACAATGCATGGCAAAAAAAATAGGCAACATACCTTTTTTGTCCATGGCCAGTCTTCTTGCAACCCTGACGCTGACCTAGATATGAGCTGGAGTGTTATCTATAAATGCGCACATACTCCTCATGACCAGCTACCTATAACGGATCCCCACGGACATATTTTGGTGTCTAAGAGTTAATATATTCCAACAGAGGATGTAGTGATAATGCTGTGATTTAAAATTGTTCCGATATGATGTAAATTATAAATATATGAGTTCAATATCAGGGACACTACTAACAGTTATTAAAAATGCATTCATATGAATTCAATAGAGAAGTTTAATTTACGTTTACATGTTTTTTAATACACATCCACATCTTGTCTTATTTTACCAAAATATCAGAATCGATGATTGTCATACAAATGCATAAGATTAGCAATAAATATACAAAATTTAAAATATATGAACAAATTCTATACATTTCTATATAGCTTAACACTTTAAATTGAATAAACAAAAGAATGCTGTTTTTTTTTTTTTTAATTTTTGATAGTTGAGCATAACACAAATACCCTGCTGAACTCCAGAGCTGGAAATGTTATTCAGTGGAGTAATTTGACTGGGTAGATTAATCCACCTTTCAAACAGAATTAAAAACGTTGTCAAGACTCTACGTTTTGTTTGATTTCTTGCTGTTTTCTTTGTAAAGTTTTCCCCGTTTAATCAGAGTAAGGTAGATCTATGGAGGAAAAAATTGTCAGCTTAATTTTCATGAAATCGTATAATTTCACAATATGAGGAGGGAAGTTTAATTGAAACTCCTTTAATTTTTACTTTAATGATTTGAACTTAATATTAAGCATTACCATTGCGATTTGAACAGAAAATAAATTTTATCATAAATGAAATCTTTTTTGACTTTGAAGAATCCGTGCATTTAATCTTACATGAGTTTAGCCTAATAATGTTACGTATGAAATACAAATATCTGATAATTTAAGAAAAGCCTTTACTTGGGAAAAAAAAAACCTTATTTAAATTTTCTACACAATAACATGAGAAAGAAGATTTTTTCAATAAAACTGAAAAAAAAATGATAATGCATACCTTATTTTCCCTTCTTTTGTCTTATTGTGAAATCATTAATTTTCGTTGGGGTTTAATTTTCGCTGTTTTCGTTCTATGAAGAGACTAATGAATTTATGTACTCCACGAAATGTTAAAATTTCAAATGTATAACGACTCAACATGTTGTCAACCACGAAATCCAATCCTCATGACTTTTTTCCTCAAATCCATTTTACCCCATTTGACTCCATATTTGGAACTTTGACAATTTGACATCACGCACGAAGATATGTGATTTTACAGTATATTCCGTCTTAAAACATTAATATCATTTTGATTACCCTTGCCTAGAAGTGACTCTTCAGCAACTTAAGTCTTATACTTTGTCAGTTTTAAAGAGAAAGGATGCGACTGTGTCAATTAGGAAATTTCAGATTATCTGATATTTATTAGAAAACTTCATATAATATTTCTCTTTGAAACATAGACTTTGGATGAAATTTTGTGACAAACCCTTTAACATCTGGCATTCATTTCTTTTTATTGCCCAGTCTTAACATCTTATTCTACTAATCTCCACTGATAGATTTAACACCTGAATGATTCTTTAAAAAAATTAAATATATACATCCAATAGCTTGAACTTTGATTTCTATGAGTTTGTTAAGTCACTCTATAGTAAATGATATGTTTGACAATAGCTTCCTACCTCAAGTATATACCTGCATTATAGTTCTCAGCATGATGTCATTGATAACTTACTTCGGTGATTTATTCAATACCACGTCCATTTCTTCTGACATAACAGCTCTGTAAACAACATGTACCACCATTATAGTCAGTCCTATTAGGTTTCCTGAATAGAGAAAAATGTTTTCATAACTGTGTAACATCATAAAATAATTTATAAATGTGAGCATATCAGAATAGATCTTTAACACAAAGATTTTAGCCTGATATGAGCTGCATAAGCAGCAAGAGAACAAGAGAAAATATGTATATAAAAGGAAAAAGTATCAAGACAGAAAGACGGACATGATGATTCCTAATGGTTATACAACTTTGAAATGTAAATGCAGCTTACAAGAGGTTTGTAATGAAGAAAAGGGAGAAAGTCATGACTTTGAATTACCTGTTCACTTATGAGCTTGAATGCTGTTCATATTTCCATATTTCATGAACAATATGTTATGGTTCCAACAGACAAGGTTTGTAACAATACCGTCTTCATTTGTAAGGTTTATCATTACAACTGTATTTTACATGAACTTTGTTTTAAAACTATAATCTGGAAATCCAACTTGTACTAATAGTTTCTAATGATAAAATTCTTCAAAATCACATTTCACATTCCAGTCAACCAAGGTGAGTTAAATCTTTCCTACCTATACTGTATTTCTCACCTTCATAAAAATCATTACAAACAAAGATACATTGCCGGGTCCATCAAATGTTCTACCAAGCACCTATCTTTACTCCTCACAAAAATACTAAATGTTGTAAAGCAGAAATTTCAGACGTACTGTGTTACAGCATATTTGAAAAGTTGTATAAATCAAATGTAGATTCTCAAAAAACTCGAAAGAACTTTAAAGTCACATTTATTTCTCAAAAGTCAGAAATATCAAAAGTATTACTTTTCTACATTTTATTTTACCATTCGTCACGATAAATTAAAAATTAAGCTCTTTGATATCATAGACAACTGCTTCTTCAATAAACATCAAACTCGAAAATTTTCATATTTTCTTACTGGTCATCTATAAAAATACTTTGTTAAAAATCATCGTGATTCTACACAAAGTACTCTGAAGTTGATATGAAAAGGTTGCTGGAGTTCCTCATTGACAATATCTATGATGTCTTTGGGGACCAGGTCTTCCAACAATTTTAATGGCCACTAATATGAACCTTTATTAACCTATCTGTTTTTTATATTCCTATGAAACAGAATCTATTTAAAAACTGAAAACATGAAAATACGAAAGCATTACTGTGACCTTCAACTCGACATTCACATATTAATATATCGACGACGTTTTTTAATTAACAATTGTTACTTCCATTCATATGCCGAATGACACATGTATATCCCAGTGAACTCGAAATAAAAGACACCACAGAGTCTGCCACAGCCACATTTGTTTCATATTTGAATAATTTCCGTCGTGACTATAGACGATAGACCAAGAGTCAACTAAGAACTTACTAGTAACTGTATGACAAACGAGATGACTTCAGCTTTTCCATCGTCAAATTTCCTCTATCACCTACACATTGTGTTTATGTCTCCCAACTGAATCGAAACTTACAGCATGGTCTGCGTTCGATCAATTTTAAACCAAGGCAGTCTTCTGACAAATAAGTTAATGGTACAAGGATTTCAAGAATCTCGTTTAAAGTCAGCATTTCGTAAATTCTATGGTCGCTCTTATGACTTTGTTAGCAAATTTTACCCGTCACTGGGTTGTATTTTGACTGATGTATTTCACATTATTGTTAGGCCTTTGTTTTTATACTAAATTTGACTACGGATTGTTCCTGTCTACCGGCTCACGGCGGGTGTGACCAATCGACAACGGATGCTTACTCTTCCTAAGTACCTGATTCTACTTCTGGAATTAACAGTGGTCAATGTTTTATGCCCTGTTCCCAGACTTGAACGTTTCAGTTTTTATGAGATTGATCACTGTTCGGTACTTCAACCGGGGATGCTTGCTGCCCAGTACTGAACGAAAACAGAAACTTTTATTAGAAAAAAGATCGGTTGTAGAAATGAAAACTTTATAAAAACTAAGCGCTGTGTTTTTACTCGTCTACATTGAACAAAATATGCATGTCGTTCCAGTACAGTTAAAGTGAAACATCGTGAGCTATAAATAACTGCAGAATTTCCAATTGTTTAAATTTAGAAGAATGGATTTCCAAACTGAAAAAATGGCTAGCATCCTAACGCAGTGTTACGTACATGTAGATCTAGATTTCGATGGCACTCTACATGCTCTAGGATTTTGGAGAATTATGATTCAGTCTGGCCTTCTATTTTTTGTTGAGAAATTTCATTCTTAATCAGTGACTAGCACACGGGACTTATAAGTAACGGTGAGTTGTCGTTCTTTGCAAACAAAGACCAATCTAATATATTTTTTGCTTGCAACCAGTACCCTAGGTAAGTTATAAGAAAAAGAGACTTGCTACAGCTGTATTATGATAGTATAATAGTATAATATAGTAAACTAGTTATCTATAGAACAAAAACAGTTCTTTATCTTGATATATTTATTATTATGATATTTTATTCTGACAGTTTTGTGGGAAAGAAATAAGCAAAAATAATACATAAAAAATACATATCATTGAAGATTTATCGGAAAATAATATCCGTATGTACCAGTAATATTTCCTTCAAATTTTGTATCGGAAACTGGAATAAATACAATTCAAAATTCGATTGCCATTTTTACAAAAAACATTCCCTATGGAAAGATTTACTGTGGAAATGTATTTGTACGCATTTCTTGATTTATATGATCGTATAAAAAGGTTGAGGCCACTAGCCCAGATAAAAGATAATATCCCGTTTGGGTTTTAATACCCGAAATGGAATAAAAATTTACAGGTCATCAAATAAAATAGAATGTATTTATTTAGCTTGAAATATTGTCAATCTACAAAAATATACATTGAATCCAAACGCTACTGGCAAGCAAATTTTTCTGTATCATTCTGTTAATTAAGCACATTTACTCCATTAAAAATCCAATATTCCTTGAATTTTTATTTGAAATTGGAGGATTGGAGATGAATACTCGTTTGCTAACAGTTGTTGCATTCAGTGTATATTTATACGGATTTACATTATTTCTGATTTACATTATAACTGGGAGACATATACAGGTGATAACGGTATATTGCTACAAGTGAAGGAAGTTGACAATAGAAAAGTTGAAATCATCACATTTATCATAAAGTTTTGTTGTTAGGTTACCATTAAGGTCTTTTTCTAGTAAAATATCCAAATATGAAACAGATGTGTCAGACTCTGTGGTGTCTTTTATTTCAAGTTCACTGGGATATATATAGTCATATCAATTGAAGTAAAAATTGCTGATTGATAATACATCATCCATATATCTAAATGTCGAGTTGAAAGCTACAGCAAGCGTTTTCTTCTTCTCATGTAGAAGTTTCTGAATAAATTCTGCACCATCTGAAAACAAAAATTGGTCTACAAAAAATGGGGCGCAATTGGTACACATGGGAATTACAACAGATTGTTGGAAGACCTATTTTCCGAACTCTGCAAAGATATTGTCGATCGGAAACTCAAGCATTTTTTTAATATCAATTTCAGAGTACTTGTGTGTACAATCAAAATATTTTTAGCAAAATAACTTTGCAAATGACAAATGACAAGGTTAGTATATTTACGAGGTTCATTTTTATTGAAAAAGCATCTGTCTATGATGTCAAAAAGCCTGTACATTGTACTTTAATTTACCGTGGGGAGTGGTTGTATAAAGTATAGAAAAGCCGTACGTTTGATGTTAATGATTTTGGTAAAATTTTGTGATCTAATGAAAAAAACAATTAATTATGATTCTTAATGTCTATTTTTCTTATGTCATAGTTATTTACAGGCATGGATGTGACGTCATTAGAATTCCTGGATCCCTCCGGACTCAGCGATATTGAGACAAACTTGAAGGAAAGAATACAGAAAAATGAAAATTTGTTGGAAAGAAAAAGCAAACATCCGAAGAGGTCAATTAATATATTTTCAGAACTTGAGGAATTCAGGCCCTCTGTGTTTGAGAGGGAAATGGAGAATTTGAAACCGTGTATTGAAGAAACATCGAAATATTTAGCTGACATTGACAGAAAACAAGCAGATTTACGACGAAAATTTAATTCAACACATCACCTTGTTAAGAAACAGGAAGTGAGAAAGAAAAAGAAACTTTCCCTAGATGAAGAAACATCTGTAAGCTATCCTATTGAACTTATTGAGAAAGAAGAAGCAGTACGAGTCTGTTTGGGTAAATGTCTTCGACAGATCCAAATTGAACGTGTTGATGATATCAATCCTGGTGATCATTTAGTGTATCAACGCCCAGGATATCAACATCATGCTATTGTTGTGAATATAAAGAAAGTTGACGACATAACTGCTGATATTACTGTGATTCACAAAAGTGGCGATGGTTTGGACGTGGTCCAAGGATTAATTAGATACGTATTGACGATTGGACAAAGTAGTCCTAAAGGACGACTAAAAGAAGAAACCTTTGAAAGTGTTAATGTCACAAAGTCTTGTCTGTTTATTGTTAAGTACAAAACCAATCCTTATTCCCCTGATCAAATCATTAAGAGAGCACGTGAGCAATTGGACAAATCGAAATCTTCGGAATACAATTTAGCCAATAACAATTGTGAACACATTGTTACTTGGTGTGTTACTGGGGAGTGGTATAGTGACCAGATAAACAGTTTATGGATCAATGTTATGAATAAGTTCAAGCCTTTCTGTGAAGACACCGCTTCCCTTGAAAAGGTAGAAGATATGAGGCGATGTGAGCTTATTTGTGACGAATGTTATCTCAAATGTAAAACAAAGAAAACAGATTAAACATTTCAATCGTCTCATTTGCTTTAATAAATATATTAGTGTAAAGTGTGTAAATTGTTCTCTATATCAAATCTAAGAATAAAAATAGAGTGAAATATTTAGGAATGAAAACCACTATTGCAGTGCACATACAGTATAAGCGCAGTTAGCCATTAAGTTCAGTTACGTTGATGACATGTGAGATGTGATTCGTTATAATAATTAGAATTCTACGCAGATATAAATATTGGCCATGAAATTTAAATCTAAGACACAAAGTTATTTTTTGTGAAGTATTCAAGAATTCATTTGAGATTTGATAAATTCTAAAACTTTTTATGTGATAAAACACTCCACAGCGCATTTAGGTTCGATTTTAAAATGTGAATTTCAAATAGTAAAAAAAAATCAATATTCAAACATCTGAAATATTGTATCACTTAAATAAATTTTAGATTATTCCCTATGTTTCCGGAGATGGGTTTAATTACAGAATATATAAGAAATGGTATCAGAATCATCAGTAGTTTGAGTACTTGTTGTAATACTGTTTTAGCCATACGTTTGCCTTCGGAAAATTCCTAAGAACATAAACCTGTATATATCAGTCTCAGTAACTTATATTACTATTTCTGATTCTTCAAAGTTTTCTTTAATATATGATTCAATTCAATAAAGTTTCTTTTTTTTTTTTGGTCTAGACAGTCATTAAAAATGCTAAAATTAAGATATATTATTTATGTCCCAAAGTTCATATTTATGTTGTTCAAAATAATCATTAAAAGTCTTTCAAAGATAACATACCCCCCTCCCCCGTATGTTTTGTGTTGAAATGGCCTCATAATTAAACTATGTTGGATGCTGTATTTTGCCCTGTTCATGTTTCTCGTTGTTTACAGTATTCATGAATTTGATAACAGTTCATAAGCTTCAACTTTTTCATACAAACCATGGTATTAGTAGCATACAACATTCTAACAAACTTTTTAAAGTTAAATCCAATTAAGTATTTTTGAGCATTTTATGCATACAACATTCTATCAAACTCTTCAAAGTTAAAGCCAATTAAGTATTTTCAAGCATTTTATGCATATAGTTACAGAAAGTCAAGTATTTACTTTAATTGTATCATTTTATTTAAAGGTACTCCTGAATCTGTGTTTTGAGTTACAATATGTATGCAGTATGTTCTCTGACGTCGAACAAAACGTAAAATGCAAGCGTAATGTTGGCCTGCTAATCTAAGACACCAGCAAATATGTCCATATGCTCTTTTAGATAAAGTAACTTGAAAGTTTTTATCATTTATTTTTCACCGGAATACCAACAAAAGTGTCCTTTGTACGTGTAAATATAAAGTAGACATATATGTACCGATAAAGTACATATAGAATATGAAATAAACAGTAATATTTAAAGCCTTACAGATAGCTCTTACAAGGACATTTTTTCAATAAAAATGCTTCATGTGATTGCTTAAGTTTCTCTACTAATTAGTGTAAATTGATGATAGATTTACCAATCCCAATAATCTCCATTTACTTATCTGATAACTGTTGATTATATTAACAAAATGATTTATGAATGAATACATTTTCTGTGTTTGAGTATCCACTTACTTGTGTTTGTCCGTTCTAAAGATTAGGCAGTGTCAGGAATTCCTGAAAACAGTGTTGTTACAATTTTTCTAGAGCTTTCCTTTCTAACAACAATAAAGATGATATGGTTTAAGTAGAAGAAACTTCTAATTCAAAGAAAAAAACTAACAGGTGTACTTTCAGAGAATGGGCAATTTGTGGACTTTCTCTTTCACAGAGATGCGTATTTCATGGTATTTTAGCAGTTAAACAAAACAGTGAAATATGTAAGCAAAGTCGAGTTGTCGATCTTTGCAAGGAGCTAGTATTTACTGTTTTGCAAATTTACAAAGAAAAATCTTGTATTCTTAGTTATGGGAAAATAAAACGTCTGTCTCACTTTTTTTTCATATATAATTATATTGAGAAAACGTTTTGAACATTTGAATTGGATGTTATTTCTTTAATCGTGTTTTCAAAGAAATGAAATATATGCATAAAAATATGAAATAATTTGAATACGTTAATTTACTTCAGGTACCTTATGTAGAAGATTAGCATGGTCTGTTCGTTGATGTATTATGGAAATAATTTTATCCTCTATCATTACTTTATCCATATTGACCATTTTGGTTCTTGCACAGACCTAATGAAAGTACATACGTTAAAAAACAAATTTGGACGTTAAGTTACAGTGCATGGTGGCCAGCTATAGAGCGAACGAATGACCTCCTCAGGTGCTGAAAGGTGGTGGTTTTTTAAAGTCAATATGTGCTTAAGATTTTTTATTTTGTATAAGTAACATATTGTGCATCTTATTTAAGAACATTTCTGGTGTATTTCCAATAACAGTTTTACTGTCGATGGACCATGAGAGAGTGTTAAGTGAGCAAAGATATAGGCATAATGATAACTACTTCTTGAGAATCAGTGATTTACTTAGGATATATTAACAAACCATTGAACGTATTTGATATTACTTGAAAAAGTACAATTGCTCAGAAAACAGATTATGTGTCTCATTCATCTTGTTTTTTATGTGTAGTTTAAAAAAACGATTTCGTCCAACCACACTTTGTAGAAATGAAATATGTCTTTAAAAGTGGTGTGACAGTTGAGAATAAATCTTTTCCAAATTATTTATACGTTTCTTAAGTCAAATGTCTTTTATCTTTAGTGTACCAACATAATCATTCTATTATTGTTGATATAAAGAAATTGGCGACATAACTGCTGATTTTACTGTGATCCACAAAGTGGCAATGAGTTGGACGTGTTGTATGGAGTAATGAGATTTGTATTAACGATTTGACAAAGTAATCCAAAAGGACGACTCAAAGAAGAAACATTTGAAAGTGCTAATGCTAAAAAGTCTTGTCTGTTTATTGTTAAGGTCAGACGACACGTTCCTAAAAAATATATAATTTTTTCCTAAGAATTTGCCATTTACGTTTAACTACTTAAACAAGTTTCCTCACCAAAAATTGAGGTACCTTGCATGTACTAGGCATCTGAGCAAGATACTTGAGGGTGATATTTCTTATATATAATCCTTATGGATAATCATTTGAATTGCCAATGTCACAATTTTTAGTGTACTTTTTTTAAACATATTGAAAACAATTAAAAAATCACAAGAGAATGACAAATATGAATAATTCTTTATATAATACCAAGGTATACAAAATACATATTTGAGGAACGTGTCGTCTGACCTTAAGTACAAAACTAATCCTTATTCCCCTGATCAAATCATTCGGAGAACACGTGATCAATGGACAAATTGAAATCTTTGGAATATAATTTAACTAATAACAAATGTGAACACATTGTTACTTGGTGTATTACTTGGTGTGTGACCAGATAAACAGTTTATGGATCAATCTTATGAATAAGTTCAAGCCTTTTGTGAATACACTGCCTTTCTTGAAAAGGTAGAAGATATGAAGCGATATGAATTGATGTGTAATGAATATTGTTCTAATTATAAAATAGGAAAAAGAAACTAACGTTTAACATTTGTTGTTTATTTGTATATAAAGTTAAAAAAAAAAAATAATGGTAGTAGATAATTGGAGTAAGAAAACATGACAGGACATTTCCAATTGAATCAACAAGCAGCAGTTAAATAAAGGCGGGTCTCAAGGCTTCTCAGGTAAATACTCTGTTCCTTTAGAAGTAACTGTTAAGATTCCTCCATTTTTCTGATCTGTTAAAAGCTTTATCACACCATCAACAACAGTTTTCACTCTACAAAAAAGAGAGTTATTTTTAAATGTGAGTGTAATAGTCAAATAAATGCATGCAAGTCGAAATTATATATATATAAGTATGATACATACTTTAACACGCCATATTGCTCCAACATTTTCTGGGCTAATGTAGCGTCTAAAACTTTATCTTCCAGATTCTGAATAATGGCTGTATCGGTAAATCCTGGACAAATACAGCATAAAACAATTCCTTGGCCCTCGGTCTTCGGCGATTTCTGTTTGGAAAAAAGTGTGCATATTAGATTTAGAGGTGATAACTTTGCTTTCTGATGTCTAAATAATATGACCTTTACAATGACATCTGAATTGACGGTGTCCTTGTTTGTAAGATTGTCATGAACATTCTAGTTCCTCTTCAGTTGTATTTGTGTTAGGAATGTATGAAATCAAAGGGGTTTTCTCTATCTGACTTGCTTGGAAATGGTCCAGGATCGAAATATAGTGAGCAGTACATGTATCACTTATACATGCAGTCGCCCGCGTGGCGCAGTGGTTAGAGCGTCTGCTCTAGAGTCGCGGAGTAAGGAGTTGATCCTTACGTCGCGGGTTCGAATCCCACTGTGGGACATGGAGACCGGTCCTTCGGATGAGACCGTATAAACCGAGGTCCCGTTTATACGAAAAAGATCCCTCACTACTCAGTGGCCGTAAGTGCCGAGTATAGGACAAAATTTTCAGCTCTCCACCGGCAAGTGGTGGCGTCTCCATATGAGTGAAAAATTCTCGAGAGGGACGTTAAACAACATACAAACAAACAAACTAATACATGCATATTGTTCGCTTATTGGGACTTTCTTTGTCATGATACGAGGTTGCTCTAAGAAGTTAAATCAAAAGAAATATTTTCTTTAATTCTTTATAATATTTCATAATTATATTTTTTCCCAAATAAACATTTCATACAATATGAGGCTAATATATTAATACTCACTGCTAATGTCTTTGTGTAGGCTATAATACCACTTTTTGTCGCGCAGTAAACTGGCATAAACGGTACTGATAAAAGTCCTATATATGTAACAAAAATAAGAAAATTACACATAGATTTTTACGTTCTTCTGATTTTCTTGTTTTTCTCGGCTTTTAAGACAACAAGTAACAGGGCTGTAAATTTTATGGATAAGTTCAGTAATAAATAGGTTTTTCAGATTTCTTCACAAGAGTCAATCAGTGGCCCATAAATGTGACTATATGTAGCAAGACTGCACAATATTCGATAGGGCTTAATTGATGTACAAATATAAAAAAAAAATTGAAACAGTTCAAGGGCCTTATAGAACAATTAAGAATTTTTTTTATACTTGTACAGTCTTCTCAAGACTTTCCATATTCATGGGTAAAGGAATTCATTACACGTGCCTTCAATTTAATAAATCCACATATTCCCTTCTTAAATTAATTTTCAGATTATAGAAAAAATAAAATACATTGTAATATATGAAGAGTTTGTGCCTACTCTTATTAAACTGTAGTGAATGTTTAAAATAAACTTGCAACTACCATTAAATGACACAAGGCGAAGGACTGTGAGTCATGTCACCTAGAACTCATCGAACGTCAAGTGACGTACATCAACATTTTACCTCTTACCAGATTTTACAGTATAAGTCATTCTTTACTTATATTTAAGTCACTTACTACTTATGATTTTACAGTATAAACCATTTCTTACTTAAGTTTAAATCACTTATTACTTATGATTTTACCATATAAGCCATTTCTTTCTTATGTTTGAGTCCACTTATTACTTAGGATTTTACAGTATAAGCCATTTCTTACTTATGTTTGAGTCCACTTATTACTTAGAATTTTACTGTGTAAAGTCATTTCTTACTTATGTTTAAGTCCACTTATTACTTATGATTTTACCGTATAAGTCATTTCTTACCTATGTTTAAGTCACTTATTACTTATGATTTTACCATATAAGCGATTTCTTATTTATGTTTAAGTCACTTATTACATGTACGTATAATTTTACAGTGTAAGTCATTTCTTACTTATGTTTGACTCACTTATTACTTATGATTTTACTACAGATTTTACTGTATACAGCTAAGTCTCTTATTTGTTATTTTACAGTGTACTGAGAACATTATTTAACACACCTGCCACTGAGCTGACGTTGACGATAATCCCACCATTACCACCATTATCCTTACGCATATACTCAACCACTATCCCACAAGAAATAATAACAGAAGTCTGAAAGACAATAGCAAGATATCAGTTCGTTTTTATGGTTTAGATATTAAGGCTCGTTTGATTTTTATAGTATATGGTTGTTGTTTGAATATAAAACAAAATAAAAACAAATACTGTTTTAATAAAATTAAGCGGTTTAAACAGGATATTTGTGTTATGAGTAAACTAATATTCCAGCAGGCATTTCAAGGTTGAATCAGCTTTGCTCTTCAACGTAGAATCAACGCTGAATTTTGGTTGGATGTGAAATTTGAGGCAATGCTGAGACCTCAACGTTGTTTCAACGTCAAATATAAACGTTCAATAAACGTTGAAAATGGGTTGAACTTAGATTGATTTATAGTTGAATTCTGGTTGCAAATGAAATTGGGGCAATGTTGAACTTTCAACGTTGTTTCAACTTTGAAACGATAGCAAACATTCAACGTTATAAATATGTTGAATTTTAAACGTTGATTCAACGTTAAAATATCAACGAACATTCAACGTTTACACATATGTTGCATCTTCAACGTTATTTCAACGTTGTAAAAACATTGATGTCTCAACTTGGAAACCACGACGCTAAAACAACGTTGAACTATAGTTGCTCACCGTTGCAACTTATATTCCACCTACTTTCAAACTTCGAAACAACGTTACGTGCCAGCTAGGATTTTTTTCCACTATATATTTTACTTTGTATGAGGGAAAATTGAAATCACAGTGGTCGCCTGTCTGTCTGTACGTCTTTAGAAAAATTATGTTGAGGGCTTCTGGTCACTTTTTGCTTTATCATGAGGGATATTTAACCTGCAAACTTGCACCTGTTGCTTATATCTGTAGATACTTGATAAGATGTACGGTTTGATTGTAACCCTGTGAGGGCTATCAGTCATGTTTGAACAAGATGTAGGAGGATATACATTTAGTCTGAATTATTTTCTTTCTGCTATATGCTCATGAAATACCTGAATTCTAAGGTTATTGACATTATTTCTTTGGCAGTTACACACCTTTGTTGGCAGTTACACACCTTCTTTAGAGTACACTTACCAGATTCACATTGACGGATAATTCAGGGTTGAACTCGTTGACAATCCCAGCATTGTTAATGAAAATATCTATACGGCCTAAGGACTCTACACACAGCTCGACTGCATCTACAGAAAAGAAGTACATAAGAGACCTGTATATTTGAATTAAAATTAAAGTTGCCGAAGGATATGAAAATATACGCACTTTGTCATTTATTGTGGATCACCGATTTTAACGGTCTGGTTATATTTTGTGATGAAAAAAAACCCCACTTACTCTTTATATCCTGTTTCCTCGTCACATCACAAACGAAAAAGAAAATCGTGTTCTCTCCATATTGCTGCAAAAGTTCATCTCGTGTCTTCTCTCCTGTTGTTTTATTTATATCCAAAATACACACCTTTATTAATGAAAAAAAAAACGTTTATATTAAAACCATGCCTTATCCTGCAGTGGCAGTCGGCTGAATCTATAATATCCGTGCACAAAATGAGTTTCAATTCAATAATATATTATTAAGAGATATTTAGTATTCAAAGATAAGAAATAAAATGTGAAGTTGTCTCCAAGTTTTAAGCACTGAAAGTGGCTATTACCTATGTGATTTACATTCAAAAGAGGATATATATATGCACTTTATTCTGTTCTTGAAATCAGATAGAAGTTTTACAGATAACATGCAGTTAACAGATAACACTTCACCATTTGTGCTTCTCTCTCTCTCTCTCTCTCTCTCTCTCTCTCTCTCTCTCAAATACCCCTTTGCAAAACAGTTATTTTAACTATACTTCCAATTTCCGTTTAATCTTAACTCATAATTAGAATACGGTAAATTTCATTTTAAGCATTGTGTATTTTCGACATACTTGTATAATAAAAAAATTCAAACTTATTCCGTAATTAGGTCCATTAAATATAGAGTCATTCGGTAGTTTCCGAGTATATCTAAACAATGTAACGGAATTTAACACTTTGTTATATGTGAATTACATGAATGAAGGAAATAACTTGCATTTAGCTTATGAATCAGTTTCTTGTTACAAAGGAAAATATTTTGACACATTTAGGTGCGTAACTTTACTGAAAAAGAACCATTATACAGGTGTGTATATGTACAGATTAGATGTAAGTATTTTATTGCAAATTTATGTTGGCATCACAAGTCAAGACATAATATTCTTAACCTGAAGTTGAGGAAATATTTATTTTTATCCAATCATGACATAAAATCTTCGAGTTTGAAGACTTGTTTAAGGATAAAACTGGAAAGACAGTACCTTATGATGTTGTTCCAGCAGTTCCTCGGCCAGTGCTCTCCCTATCCCCTGGGCCCCTCCCGTGATCACCGCGCACTTGCTGATTTCCATCTGCATGCGGAACACAACTGGGGGTATTTGACGTCACCTCGAGTGTTTTTTCTGGATTAAACGTCCGGTGTCCCCACTTATTTCCGCTGTTTGTTTAATCGTGGCTTTTTTTTTATTTGACTGTCTTCAAAATATTTATAGATAGATTTTTCTTAAAAAAAAAAATTAAAGCAAATCCCAATTCTAAGAATAGAAAATATTTCTTTTTAATCAAGTAACTAAATGAACCTACCTGTCACTCAAATACCCGGTACGTTATCACTCAGTTGTGAAAGTTGTATGAATTCTTATCGCTTCAAAAATTCCTTCAATTTTTTCCTGTTAAATACATGTATATAACTTTGAGTGATGTTTATGTAGATGCATGGTTTGCGTCACTTAGGACTTTAAATCATCACGTATTCTCTAATATATAGCTAGCGAGATATGCATGTAAGAGTGAAAACTCTCTTTTAAGAAAAATCCAGTTATTCCTTTTTATGTCTACGTAGTTCAAATGCATGACCATTTTTTAAATATGTGTGAGAGAGAGAGAGAGAGAGTATTAACAAGGTATGTGACACGTTAAGTATTGGTGTAAAATGTTTGCGCGATTTTCAAAATTGAATTAAAAATGGATTAAGAAAAAAAAACATAAAAATGTAAACTCTATTATAGTTTTATGAAATTTTGTATTCTTTGATGTTTTATCGTATTATTTCAACTCCAGTCGCTCGCTTACATAAGAATGTACTGATATTTGTAAAACACCACCGCACTTGTCCTATAAAGTTAATTTACTATGTTTATCTGCTGGATAACAATCAAGAACTGACATACGGTTCATTATAGATACAGGGGTGGTATTCAAGAATTTGTGGAGGGTCGTAATGCAATGCATCAAAGATGTGTTACATAAATCTTGTATGGGGAGTAAACATTTTAAGAAATGTGACACGTGCAAAAATGACAGTAGGAACAGTATATATATATATATTTATTACATTTTCAACAGTGAAATACTGTGATTTATTTATTCAGTGGCGGATTTAAGGGGGGGGGGGGCACCCGGCGCCCCCCCCCCCTAAAATTGTCAAAGTTAGCATAAATCATAGTTTCGTCGAGAAAATGTAAAAATGTCCACTCGGTAGACCTCATTTTTACCCTACAAAATCTCAAGAATCCAGGAGCTTCCGGGGGCTTCGCCCCCAGACCCCCTGCCTACTTTTGGCGCCCCCTCTAACTTCAATTCCTGGATCCGCTCCTGTTATTGAATAAAAGTGATATTCTCTCACAGTGTGAAAGGATACCAAAGTGATATTCTCTCACAGTGTGAAAGGATATCAAAGTAAATAAAAAATAATTTCTGGCCTGTAATAAGATAGTAAGAGATATAGTAACTAAACCATCTTGATAGAGCTAAAACTGCCAATTTCTTCCCAAATCACTAAAATACATGTTATAATGCTTTCAATGCTATGACGTCTCAACCGCTCAACTATGACGTCACAGCGTTTGACACTGTGTTAAGAAAAGACAGAGGCAAATGGAAAATCGAAGAAAACGTATATAAACAGAAAATTCAATGTTTGTAGTTGGATATGGAATTTAAATTCACTCGTGAGACAGGATTTTTTTTAGTATTTTCACTCGTGCTTCGCACTCGTGAAAATATTAAAAAAAAAAAAATCCTGTCCCACTCGTGAAATAAATTTCATATCCAACCACAAAACATTGAATATCCTCTATATATACGGCGTACACTACAGGCACGTAGATTCAAAAGGGGTAGGGAGACAGGGACTGTCCTCTACTATTTTATCGAGAATAATCATGCTTTTGCTATTAATTTAATTGAAAGACTGGTCCCCTCTTTTTTGATGTAGTATGGTCAAACCCCCTGAAGTGCATCCCAATTTTTTTTTCTCGGAAAGAGATCGTTGGAACCAAACTGAAAACTGACCCCCCCCCCACACACACACACACACACCACAGAATGGGTTTTCTTTCTGGTTAGTTTACCTTTCTCCTTTCTATATATCCAAATGATAACATGTTGAAGGAAAATTATTGTGAAGTATTTTGTAATCCTGTCAATGCAGTTCATTTTAGAAGGCTATGTGAATTTTTACATGAATGTTTTGAATTGCATGCGTTCTAAAATGTAATAACATAGGCGTAGTCACGGGGGGGGGGGGCAGCGGGGGCACTAGCTTTCAGATGGGGGGGGCAAGAGTATGTCTGTGCCCCCCCCCCCACTTAATGTAGAACAAAATCACATCTATGTTGAAATTATAGTAAACCTCATTTTAGGGCAAATTTATTTTATTTCCAGCAACAACTGAGTAAGCATTTCTCTTGATGTAATATATATATATATATATATATATATATATATATATATATATATATATATATATATATATATATATATATATATATATATATATATATATATATATATATAAAGAGAGAGAGAGAGAGAGAGAATACTATAGAAAACATAGCTACTATATATCATTGTGCCCCCTCAATAATAATGTCTGATGACCTTTTTTTTTTTTTTTTTTTTTTTTTGCTTTTCAAGGAATTTTGGTAATTGATAGTTCCCCCCAACTGGAAATATATGGTTGTGCCCCCACTCAAAGTGAAATTGCTTCTTACAGGCCTGTTAATTTCTTTATCAGCTGTTTATATTACACGTTTTAGATCTTTCTTGGATTTGAGCCCCCCACCCCCACTTTTAAGTTTGTGACTACGCCTCTGAATAATACATATATTTGATATATTGATCAATTCATCTCTTTTAATATTATACTGTTTGTCAAATGATTATGTATACACTTAAAGATTTAAACATAAATGACTTCACTAATATGTACTGATATAACTGCTTAAGTAATCTTATAACACATTGACACATTGTGTGTGTGTGTGTGTGTGTATATATATATATATATATATATATATATATATATATATATATATATATATATATATATATATATATATATATATATATATATATATATATATATATATATATATATATATATATATATATATATAGCATACGAGATATCATCTCTTTTTTGGCTCTTTTAATACTTTGTTGATTTTCTTGAAGTCACCTGCCATTTGATGTCACATTTATCAGTTTATGATTGTTTTTTAACAGTGATTCGAGATATAAATCAAATGGGTAGATCCATATCAATTTTGTTATCTATCTTTAGGTCAACGAAAGATTTTTTAAAGATCTTTCGGAGAAATTGGACTATTATCATACAGGTTTTGTTTTTAGTGTGCTATAACTTCGTTCCGGTGGTATTTAACCAACGAAAGAATGGACTTTGGATGCTCAAAACACTAAATGGTCGCACGTTTATGTAAAGCTTTGTGTGCTTTACATAAACATAGAAGCATCCTTCACAGGTATTTAATTCTCCTAAATTTAAGTTGAGAGAGTTTAGGGAATTCATAGCGTGGAACGGATGTGAACCATTCTTATTTACTAAATAAAAAATGTACTCTTCTCAAAAGGGTAACGGGATGTTTCGCACCTAAGCATGGTTCGCGCTGCGATGTTTCGCACCGATTCGGTTTCGCGCTAAGATGGTTCGCCCCACATTGTTGTACAAATATGTGCTAGCCTACTGAAGTTCGTTCAGCAAAATTTTAGATTTTAAACATGTTATATGGTGTAAATTTTGATATTTTTTGAAACATTTTTTTTAATTCAAGAAGATTATATTTGTAGCAGAGACATAATTATTTATGTCTGTGTTTGAAGTATACATAGCATATAATTATGTATTATTTTAACACCATGCTAATTATAATACCGCCATCTAATTAAGTAATTATTGCTGGTTTGACTACCAACACGTCAATTAATAAATTCTCACCTTTCGATCTACAACTAATTACAATTAAATCCTTATGGAATATTTGATGAACACGATCCGTAATCTTTGGCAGTGCATACATGTATTATTAAGTCATGCATTTGAACACACAACATCTATATATGTATATCTTATAACTGATAAACAATTTTTTAAAATGGATAAAAATGTCATGGAATATTTAAAATAAATCGTGAGATGTTTCGCACCTAAATCAGCGCGAATCATCAAGGCGCGAACCATCTCAGTGCGAAACAGAATTGGCGCGAAACATCCCGGATTCCTGAAAAGCTACCACGCACACAGATTTTTATTGCTAAATAATCAAAAGCTAGCTACCACGCACACAGATTTTTATTGCTAAATAATTATTATTTAGCAATAAAAATCTGTGTGCGTGGTAGCTTTTGAGAAGAGTACTTTTTTTAATTTTGTTATATCTTTACTTAAAGATAGGTATCATATAATACATATTTAGAAACCAGAAAGAAATGTATATGTTTAAAAGTAACTATTTTGTCTGGCCATAGGCTAATATTTTGTCAAATTAGTGTGCCCCTCCCTTTGGTTAGCGGGTTGGTTCGCCCAAATTTATTGATTGCTCTGGGTGGTTTTGCTGCGAGTGGTTTCGCCCCGATTATACCTGTGTGCATTTTGGCAGTTTGTTTTGACAAATCTTCAATGTTTTATGGTTTTTGCGTGTGTGCTATGGGAAACGTTTTCATTGTCTCTAAAGCGATCTACACAGTACACCTATTTGATTACGATTTTAATAAAGTAAATCTACTTATGTCAAACTTCAAGAAAAAGATGGAGATTGTTGGAATAAAATTGAAATGATTAAACAAACTTATATATTTTACATATTTTAACACAGATGAATTTAGTTGGGTTTTTTTCCCTTGTTTGTGATATTTTTTAAAGAAAAGTTCATATTATCTGATAAAATCGTAAATAATTATTTAGTATTGATTGACATCTCATAATTAAATTTAATTAAAGTGCTCAATAATTATGTTAATCTAAACACTTAGTGATCAAATGACTTTTGCTTAAATGAACATGAAGTACACTGTATGAATGCAGAAAACCACTCAGGGCAAACAGGGAAATGGTGCGAAACCACTCAGTGCGAACAGGTAATAGGGGCGAAACCACCTTGATTCTCCCTTTGACACACATACAATTTTTTGCACAGACTGTTAAGCACTGTTAAAAGAAGAATAATTGTTCATTCAGCGATTTTTTTCTGCCCACTGGGAAAGGGTCCGGTACCGGTTCAATCGGGAAAAAAAGCATCGAAGTAGAACATAGGAGAATTTTCTGTCATTTAAACAAATGATCAGAAACTTATTTAGCATTTATTCCAACCTCATTACCTATTACTCCCGTGTTTTAAAGAATAAACAATAAGTATTAATTTTGTTTTTCATATCAATTTCCCTTTTTTCACATTTTCCATGTTTTCCTGCTTTCAATTTGTCAAAACGTAAGACACTACGCTGTCTACACCACAGTTCCCGCCATATTACGACATCTCTACTTTCGATTTAAGCAGAAGTGAAACAATTATAGTCAACGTGTACAATGCTTCATTTAAAAAGAAATACGATGTCATCGTAGTCTGTTGCTTGACAGTTGAATTGGGAATTTTTAGTCTCAAAATTGGGAAAAATTAACATTTTTTGGCATTGGGAATGGTACCGTTTATCGGTACCAGTTATATAAGGAAAAACGCTGTCATTAAATTTGAGTTATGTATATGGGTCCCAGTTTTCATACACACAACTTTAATTTACAGAAGAGACTATTTATACCGTTAAATAAAAAGTGTGACAATAATTTTTTAAATTATAAATAAAAGATGTATTTTGTCAAAATAGTGGAAAGTGAATAAGTATTAATATTGTTTTGTATTTGATCATTCATAAATTAGTCTTGTAAATGTTTTTCACTTCATCGTTATTGTTGAATGTAATAAAATAAGAGAAAATAATTAGCAGATTGACCAGTATTGTTAGTATGAGCAGTAAAACTGGACCAGATGATACCAGAAAACCATTTGTAGACAAGTATTTTGAGTGTGCTGAAAATGGAAACACAGAAGAACTTTCTTTTCTCCTCAATGGTATGTACTAGTTGAAAATGTAAGACAAAAGAGGTTCATTCTACAAATGGTTTATTACTGTGTATCTTAATTTTTATGCTTTGTCAAGTTGTTTGTGATTTTTTGTGGAATTTTGTTAATACTTGTAGAATGTAGATATCTAAATTTACAAATACATGTACACTGACTGAGATTTATAAAATGCTGGATCTTTCAATGCTTTGATTCAGGTACAGTTAATGTTGATCAGAAGAATGATAAAGGTTGGACAGCATTAATGTTTGCAGCCAGACACGGACAGACAGATATTATTAAAAAACTGCTAGAAAAAGGGTAAGAGTTGTAGTGTATTATTTTCCTGAGACCATAGTTATTTACAAAGCTTAAGATTTGCTATGACTGTCAATCTAGAAATCATTGGATGCACCCCACTTCAATTTCTAAATTATAGCTATTTCATAAGAACATAACTGATTGGGGGGGGGGGGGGGGGAGGTATATTTAAAGAAACATCCATGCTTCAGAATTCAAAATGATGAAATTAATGGATTCTAGGTGTGATACAAATATTGTCAACAAAACTGGGCAGACGGCACAAGACATTGCACTCTTTTGGGACCAAGACATGGCAGCTAGATTAATAGAGTCTCACACAAAGGAGGAAAACCCAGACCAGCAACTCAGGAACTTCTTTTCCCTGAACCTTCTGGACAGAGCTTCAGAGAAAAGAAAAGACAAAGACTGGATACAGTCAAAGCTCAATGATGAGACTTCACAGTTTTTATTATTGTCAGATCTTAAACCCTTTGTTGTACCCATTAAAGATAAGTCTTCCAAATGGCGATACAGACTAAGCTGGGTTGACCACATCCAAATTTCTTCTCACTTAGCTTCAGATCCTGTGATAATTTTCTTGGGTGTAGATAGATCATCTTCTCAGGCTTTATTTGCTGTTGATGTCTCAGGAATGGATGAAAGTAAATTCACAGCCTTGCAGTCTGAGAGTTCATTCTTGGTGCCATTTCCCGGAAGTCTTCAGATGGAGCCTTCTGATGCCGGTATCTTTGCTGAGGCTCGGTCCATGATGGACTGGTTGGATCGTTACAAGTTCTGTGCCACGTGTGGATCCCAGACAGATATTACAGAGGGAGGTCACAAGAGAGTTTGTAGGAACAAAGACTGCAAGTCTAACAAAGGTACGTGTAGGTTAACTGAATGTTACACACACTTATAGGAATATTATATTTTATACATTATAATTGTAGGAATAAATTTTATATTAAAATTTATACATTATCATTGTATTAAATTCAATTGTACTCTTATTATGAAACTTACATGCTTTGAAGGTTTGATTTTGACAACCTTTAGTTTCATTGCATGTTTTATATTAATAAATATGCAGGGTACTCATATATGCAATTGAACTTCAGTATCTTGAACACTGATATCTTGAATACCATGGATATGTTAAAGTAAATTGGAAGCCCCAATCTCATTTTTAATTCACTTGAGCTGAAGGCTCAAGTGAGCTTTTCTGATCTAAATTCGTCAGTTGTCTGTCATCATCATCGGTGTCCATATTGTCGTTGTTAACTTTTCACATTTTCATCTTCTTCTCCAGAACCACTGGGCTAATTTCAACCAAACTTGGCACAGAGTATCCTTGGGTTAAGGGGATTTAAATTTCTCCAACCCTCTTCCAAGGGGAGATAATTAAGAAATAGTGAAAATTAGGTGGGATCATTTAAAAATCTTCTCAAGAACCACTGATCCAGAAAAGATGAAACTTATTTGAAAACTTTCTGAGGTAGTGTAAATTCAAGTTTGTTCAAATGATGACCCCTAAGGGTAAGGTTGGGCCACTCTGGGTGATCTAAGTTTTACAAGAATACATAGGGAAAGTCATTAAAATTCTTCTTCTCAAGATTAGCAAAGCCATGATTAGTCATACTTACATGAAAGCATCCTCAGGTAGTGTAGATTCAAGTTTGTTCAAATCATGACCCCAGGGGGAAGTGTGGGCCATGATGGGCGATCAAAGTTTTACATAGGAAAACATAGTAAAAATCTTTTAAAGGCTTCTTCTTAAGAACAGCAAAGCTATGATTAGTCATATTTATATGGAAGAATACTCAGGTAGTGTAGATATTGGGATTCAAATCATGACAAAGGGGTAGGGTGGAAGGTATGGTAGGACCACAATATATTATCATAATTTTACATTGGAATATATAGGGGAAAAATTTGCTGATAAAGAACAGAAGAGCCATTAGTAACTCAGGTGATCAATGTGGCCCATGGGCCTCTTGTCTTTATGTAATCTTGAATCATTATATGTCTCCAAGTTTTTTCTTTGCCCCATAGACTTTGAGATATTGAAGTTTGACTATAGTTCATTTATTTTAATATGATTTTGTGTCTTTCAAATAATTTTAGGGGTCCACAATACTGCTTACCCTAGAACAGATCCATCAGTCATCATGCTTGTGATATCAGCTGATGGAAAGAGGTGCCTTCTGGGAAGAAAGAAACAGTTTCCTCCCAAAATGTGGTCCTGTCTGGCAGGCTTCATGGAGCCAGGTGTTGTATAATTCACTTTACTGTCACTTCAACAATCATTTGACTGCCGTCATGAGAAAAGGGCCCTTATCTTTTGACGTCACAATGCGCAGAAAACGACGTCAAAGTCGCGATATTGAAAACACGGAAATGATTTTTTTGTCGACTGCGTTTTGTGTACACGTGTAGAGAGAATATGATAAAATTAGATTTCCAGGTGTAACAAAATATCAAATTATAAGAAATTTAAAGTGGAAATTTTTAATAAATAACATTTTGCTATTAAGTACAAGTATTTATTCATGTTTCTGTGTATATATTTGATATTACATAACCCCACAATTATTGAAGAATTGAACACATTGTCGGGTGAAGTGCTTAATTAATTGCGATGTCCATATGGCATGCAATGCTACACATATATTTGGGGTTTTTTTTTTGTTTTTTGTTTTGTTTTGTTTTTTTTTTTTTGAGCATTTAATAAATGCTGTTATTTAACCTATACATGAATGTATTAATTAGTCCTAATGCTTAAATGTAGTTTACGCACATTTATATTTTTCAGAGAGAGAAAGAGAGAGTTCAATGCACATATACACCTTGTGTTAAAAAGTGCTTCTTTATTAAAAAAAAAATATCTTGTTAAAATACGTTATTACATATTTTAATTTTATTCAATAGTTCATCATATCGATAAGCACATGTATAGACAAGTTCAGGCGTGGGGCGTCGTTTCCAAAGTGGGTGGGTTAGGGGAGGGATATAAATGACAGGAATAAAAAGTCTCCAAATAAGGACACACATTCAAAGTTCAAACTAAAAAATTAAAAGAGAATCCCACTTTGTGTAAAGGTATAGATACTTTTATATAGGAGATCATCGTCGGACACCCACGGGTGATCTCGTCTTTTGAGTAAAAGACGAGATCACGCGTGGGTATCCGACCATGATGGGAGATATGAACCTATTACAACAATTGAAGGGAGAATTGTGTGTGTGTAAGTCATTTGATAAAAAAAATTTTCCGTATCTTAAATGAAAAGCGAGAAAATATTCTCAGGTAAAAAAAAAAAAGTTGGGAGAAGAGGGGAGGGGGGGGGGGGGGCAGTTCTTCTTTCCTCTTCGATTCTACTGCTTAATGGTTTAAGAAAAGTGTTGTGCGCCCATGCATGTCTCCGGGAAAAAAATTAAATTTCTATATTGCGCATAATGTAAAACTATTACATGTGCATATAGTATGAAAACTTAAACTTTAAGTTTTCATACTATATGAGTTAAACTAAAATGTTTTTAAGCACTTTTTTGTTTCTTTTTTCACAGTATTTTCGTATCCATTGTACTTGTAAGAAAGTCCAAATTGAAGACTAGTGAACGGTGCAATTTCATGATCCTGGAAAGTAATTAAGCAATTTGCAAAAATGCTGATGAATTTCAGAATTGTCTCTATTTTGTACAATTCGGTCCGATGAAAGTCAGCATGAAATTGAGCTTGAATTTTGTTAAAAATTAAATACAGTTAATGTGGACCCCCCCCCCCCCCCCCCCCGAACTCCAAGAGCATAACTCAAAGTTGAAGAAAATAACAATTAAACATTTACATTGATGACAGTATTAATATTCTTGAAAATATGTTTGAAACAAAAGAAACAATAGATCTAGGCTGTCAAGAAATTATTTACTTCCAATAAATGGCGATATGACGACATCTTTTGATAGAAAAAAAGTACTAGTAGCAAATATAAAAAAAGTCAAAATCATCAAACAACTTAACATCAATCGTCAGCCCAACAAAGACAATCAAGAAATCTGCATTATGGAAAAGATAAAAAATGAGAGCACCAGTGATGATTTAACAGAAAATAGAAAGAAAATTCAAATACAACTTTGTAGCTGCTAATCTGTAGTTCGATGATCTGCATGAGGAAATCGGAATGGACAACCAGAGATTTACAGTGCCGCCCACTGAAAAAAAGTATATTTATTGCGTACAAAACAGTGCACTGTTTCAAGATTGATTTATTTCTCTGTATATATTTAAGCTGCCAGCTCAAAACTTTACAAACCCTGAATTCCTAACCTGCATTATACATGCTTTTAGTGCATGGTCATCTGGGAAACATGAGGACTTATTCAGCCAGGAAAATCATATTCCCCGAAGGCTCTGCCCGAGGGGGATATGAATTTTATTGGTTAGATACATGTTAACTTTATATTTCCCTCATGTTCATGAAATGAATTGTTTGCGATATTATAGCGAAAAAGCCAAGTCTTTAAAAGTAAATACAAACTTTCAAATTTGGCACCGCTTTCAAATTCACTTTCAGTTTTAAAAAAGTCAATTGTCTTCCACGCCCCCTTTTTTTCTAAGCATCCTTAGTTAAAAGAAGATCGCTAATTTCGTCACTGTTTTGTTGATGAACCTTTTAAACTATTATCAATTTCGTAGCTCTCGGGATTTTTTTTTTTTTTTTTTTTTTTTTTTTTTTTTGATTTGTTTTGCTCAACGAACATTTGCGAAAAAAAAAACGCACGAGGTTTTCAAATTCAGTGATTGCATATGACGAAAAGCAAAACGACGACAGAGAAATATGAAGTTTTATGACCCTGTCAAGTGACTGTCTATAGGACCAATCAGATAACACTTTGTATGTAGAACTTTATCTATACACTTCTTCTAACAACTTTGATAATCTTGAAATATGTAAGGAAGAGTTTTTATTAATAAATGACTTAAAATAAAAAGATTAAAAACACACGCAAACCTTTCAGCTGTAAGTGGTTAAAACATGACACGTGACTGTCGGCTAGATTTCTCTGTCCGGCAATAATATCTAGTAATATGATAACACAATAACACATTGCCAAATCAATTCGACATTATTTAGAATCATTTATTACAGAAACCAGTTCCTTAATGGGTTTTTTTTTTGTTTTTAATTTGTTTTCTGTGTTTGTTTGTTTGGTTTTTTAATTACGTCAAGGAGGGGGAAACGTGTGAATTTAAACTGTAACAAATTAAGACAGAAAAAATGAAAAAAAGGAAGTAATTTGACAAAAACTATCAATTTTATACACGAGAAAACTTTCATAAGACAATCCTTAGAATCATTATGCCCCTCTTTTTCCTGTTTATACTCCATAACTAAGGCAGGCGCTGAAGCAGGATTGTTTGAACACTGAAAACATACTTATTTTTCTCAGCGTAAGAAAATGCGCTTGGGAATAGAAAACAATATTTATAATATATGGTTTTTACGTACTATGGAATATACTATTTTGGAACAATTTTATACATTATAGCGTGAGAATATTTGTTCCCTTCGGATTTATCGGTGACACAGAGAATACATGAGGTTTTATTTTGCTGGGAGCACCCCCCCCCCCTTTCTCCGGGACATCTGTGTGTGTGTGTGTGTGTGTTTTTTTTTTAATAACGTATTCTTTTAATTGAGCTAGAATATCAAATATTAAAAAAAAAAATTTCTAGTGTGGAATTGTACAGTACATGTATTTTATTTTCTAATGAATATGATCCGTTTCTAGATCCTGTCTAGACACTCCCCTTTTTTCGAAATTACTGGATCTGCCTCTAGAATTGCACACATGTAAGAACAGAAGCAACTTCAGGGTATACAATGTATATTGACAATCTAGGAGCTTGAAAACAGACATCAAAATTTGTCTAGAATTTATATGTTTTATTAAGGTTATGTAAATAATGGAAGCTGAATTTGACGCACGCGACGTCATTACGTCCTCAATGAATAACGTCAACATTCTTTTGAAGCGCCTTACTAAAATGACCATAAAATAGTGAAAAAATGAGCTATTTAAAAAAGAAGTATATATTTGCATTCAGGAAGAGTTGCTCTATCAAAATTTACAAAAAAGTCATTTTGTGAAATTTTGACCTTAAGGGCCCCTTTCTCATGACGGCAGTCATTTATGTATATTTACATTCCACATGTATTTTGCTTATAAAGTAGAGATGGCAACGAATATTCGAACATTTGAATAATCATTCGATCAGTTGATATTCGAATATGAATTTAAGATTTGAATATTCGGTGTTTTTCAGATTTCATAAAATGAAGTAATGCGATTAATAAATTTTGATTAGAACAGTGCTGGAATTATCCCTGTATAATTTACTAGCGATCAATTTCGATCGCCTGATTTCTTTCACTACTTTCTTATCTTATAGATTTACTAAATTACATGTATTTTGTTTTGAGTAAGGTGTTAAAGAATTCTACATTAATGCTTTATGTATAATACAAAACGTACTTTCATAGTTTTTATAATTAAATACGATCGGATCTAGAATCGAGAACAACAAAATGAAAACCTTCTTAGAATATCTAAAAGACGTGAAGATTATCCTTTTCAAAACAAAATTGATCATTCAAATGAATGTCCAGTAGAATTAGACTGTAATTAATATTGTAAAGTGCTCAATTTCAGAATAAATGATTATATGTTGGGTTGTACATAATCCTGAATTTTATATTCATTATCAGGAAATTAGTTACTAGTAATTACCTAGGAAAATTGTCTATGGAAGTACACTGTATTTGTTTACATTGTATCAAAGATTATAATCATATCTCTTATTAGGCAGATAATTGTAATTTATTACACGTATTGAAATCTGGGCAGTATACCGTTACGAATATCTTGACTTTGGTAAGACGACTGGTTGGAGCTACTATAAATACACATATTTCATTTGTTAAAATTATACTTTTCTACATTTAAATGAATTATTTATTTCAAACATTGACAAATATCAAATGGAATTTCTTATTATACAACTACAAAAGTCTTCATACAATTTTACTTCCAATATAAGTATACCTACGCTAAACCTTTCATGAAAGTAGGATGATGCATATTTAAAATAAAATAGATTTTATTTATTTTATCGAATATTCGAATATATTCGAATACTTTCATTGAATATTGGAATATGAATTATTGACAAAATTGACATCCCTATTATAAAGTGTATGGAAAGTTACAGCATTCAAAACACCACAACACAGACAGGAAGGTCAAAAGTTTAAGTATGATTTTTATTTTGATGTCACAAACATTGAACCCCATGCAAGCGAAATTAAAAATTTCACACGAACATTGAACGTAGCTGTTGCAATGGCTTTTCCATTAATTATAACTTACCTGAAGGATAATACAGGGATTTTGGAATATAAATCACATCTACAGACAAGACACGGAGTTATAAAATGTTAAATATAAGCATTGAATTATTATTTTTTCAAAGATGTAGTTTCAAAATTCCAATGATGTGTGCAAACAAATTTTCATAATGTGCTAACGCTTGATACTCAATTTGTTTTCACACACCATGGCAGTTATGAGACTACATCTTTCAAAAAATAATAATTCAATGCTTAAATGTTTTGTTGTGATACATGTATGTGTGTCGTATTATATTGTTGATGAGATGTGAAAACCAGTAATGTAGCTCAACAAAAATGAATATGTCAGAAGCATAATGCAATAATGTTAGAATCTAGCATAATTATGATTTGGAGAAAAAAAGGAAAAAACTAAATTATTCTACCCTTTCAACACCAATTGTTCATATTCCATAATAGTTTGGAATTTATATATATAACTGTATATGGCAATCTTTATATGCCTCTAAGTTTCTTTTCATGAGATTCCCTTTTCTATGTTCTAAGATTAGGTAATTGAGGATGCCTTAAATTTTGTTTTTTAATCAGGTGAGACCATAGAAGACACAGTTAGACGTGAAGTTGAGGAAGAGAGTGGTGTAAAAGTAGGTCGTGTCGACTACCACTCCAGTCAACCATGGCCTTTCCCTGCTTCATTGATGTTAGGAACCATAGCATATGCTAAAACGGAGGATATAAAAGTTGGTATCATCATGTGAGAATGCAAAAAAAAAAATACGGCGGTTGAATTGTGAGATTTCTGGTGTACAAATTGTAGTTGAAACTTTTTATTTCTATTGTATCAATACTATAGTCACTGGTATAAACTTTTCAAGACGTCCACCAATACTGTAAGTTTTTTACTTTTGGGATGTGATGTCAAGATGTTTTATTTACAGTCTCAAATATTGATATCTTGAATACCATGGATATGTCAAAATGAAATGGAAGTTCCAACCATGTGTTTTTTATTGGGAGGGGGGGGGGGGGGGCATTTAATTCTCTGTGTCTCCAGGTTTTTTTCTCAGTCCAGTCAAGTTTGAGATAAGAATTTTTGACTGTACTACTTGTGAGATGGTTTGAAAAAAATCTGACCTTCATACTTTAGGTAGATGAAGATGAAATGGAGGATGCTCAATGGTTTAGGAGACCAGAAGTTGTTCAGATGTTGACACATCAGCACCCTCACGGATTGTATGTCCCCCCAGAGCAGGCAATAGCCCACCAAATTATTAAATCCTGGGTCAGAAACACTGCCAGCTCTAATCTTTAGTGGACCCTTTAGGATTTTTTTCACATTTATAATCCTAATCCATAAACAGAATCATATTCAGATGGACATACATGTACCTCATATTTATACATGTATATAATTGAATGATGTTTTTTATTTTAAAAAAAATTATTTTAATTTTTTTCATGATTTTTAATATGAACCAAACTCATTAAAAAAGTTTATAAATGATAAACTTTGTTTTGATATAAAGATAAAGGAATAATAAGTATTGATTTTTACTGTAATGCAATTCACATGCTTACACTGTGCAAGTCAAAAAGACTCTCAGGATGGTGCATTTAAAGTCATTTTGTGGAAAATATTAATAATTGTATTCAAATGAATTGTAAATACATGGCTAGTAGTAACAGACATGCTAATTTCAGGTATAGCTATGCATTATTTAGCATTAGGGGGTTCCTTGTCAACCTCCTGGCTCTGTAGTACTGTCTACACACCATCAGATGGAGAGCCAGCCTGCTTACATGTTACTGTTGCGTTTTGTGTCCTTAGACAAAGTTCTCACTGCTGAATGGTGTAATTTTACTACAGTCTGGTCCAGTGGAAGTATATAACTTTTACAGATGACCAAGGGGAATTGTGAATTATAATTTGTTATTAATGTTTGGCTTGAGAAAATTTAAGCACATGGTCTGATTCAACATTGAACATAGCTTTTAAAATGAAGTACAGTACTGTAAGAAATGAAATACATACTATATATATAATAGCATTACTTAGTATATGATATGAAATGATATGTGAGAATTGCAGATACAATCTAAATTAGATATATATACAGCATAAAGATTGGTTTGATTATGAAAATAAAGCAAGACAGAGATTAGCCGTTTTTAACTGAGTTGAATAATGCACAACCATTTCCTTGTTATATGATTAATTTTAATTACTAACAAAATATTTACCAAGTCTTAATATCAAGTTTTTAAAAATTTTATTCTGTTTGAAATCTCTATATTTTGTGTAATATTTTTACACTATCAAGGCTCCACCCTGACTCTCAAATGCAAGACTTGCATAATTTAAATCTACATGTACAATGTATACTACATCAAAATACTTGCAAATTACATGTAATATGTAATATTAACAAATCTTCCTAGAAACAGATTTGATAAATTTTTACTCATATTGTGGCTCAACATGGCCTTTAAAATATACAACTTTGAATTTGACTAATTGTTGCCTAGCTGCTCTAAAGAGGAAGATTTGAAGAAATAAAATGCCCATTAACTTGGATATCTTCTTCTGTCCCAACCCTAGCCTTGGGAGCCCTAATTTGAACAAAACTGAATTATTATTTTACATTACAGGGAGATGTCCTTAATGACTTTTTTGCATAGTAATTAAAATGATGTGCTTTCTTTTTAATTTGACCTATCATGAGACTACTATTTTGAATATCTGTCCTCATTTTTCAAATAGAATCGTTTGCATCTTCTATGTGACCATATCTTGTATTTTTTTTTAACACAAAAATGCTTACTTAAATTTACCTTATATAATTCTTTAAAACCTTTCATTTAACATTTTAGCGGATTTGTATTCAAAATTTCAATCAAATATGGAGGTTATATTTACAGTACTTTCTTTCGTTTGTAAGGGATTTATTGTACAGAGAGGCGTGGCAGTCTCGTCGCGCAAGCGACATTACGTCACAGGCCTTGTAAGTGTACATGGTGTTCAAACAAAGCAGAAAGTACGACGGAGATGGTTGCATTCATAGGCACTCCCCAGCTTAATTGTTAAAAAAAAAAATAAATCTACTATACTATAAACATAGTACAGTAGATATATACATGTATATTTTTAACAATTAAGCTGGGGGGTGCCTATGGTTGCATTGAAAAATCAAGCGATGTTAAACGAGTGAGCAATTGTATTTGATAGATTAATTTAAGCAGTATGAGTATTTCAAAAACCATAATATACACAGGCACAATACTGGAAACTTTGATCCGCCCGCACTTTGATCCGCCAGGCCCGTAGGAAGCAATTTCAGTTTCAAGGGAGGGGGGGGGGGCACAGCCATACATTTTCAGTTGAGGGGGCACTATCAACTACCAAAAATTCCTTGACAAGCCAAAAAAAAAAAAAAAAAAAGGTCATTAGGCATTTTCATTGAGGGGGCACAAGCATATAGTATCTATTTTCTATAGTACTCTATATGTAGGCAAAATTATTTGGGGGGGGGGGGGGCACCCCCCACCCCGGTTCCTACGGCCATGCCCGCTACATTACTGTTACTAGGAATACGCTTGCTTGTCCTGACAAAATCAGTCAAGTACGAATGTAGTGTGAAATAGTCCAAATACATGTATAAACGAACATGTGTCCGTTTGCATGTAACTCAAGGAACCCGGAAAACAGGTGCTATTAATCATGGCCGTAGGAACCGGGGGGGGGGGGGGGGGGCACGGGGGGCCGTGCCCCCCCCCCCAAGAATTTTGCCGATATATAGAATACTATAGAACACATAGCTACTATATGCTTGTGCCCCCTCAATAAAAACGTCTGATGACCCCTTTTTTTTTTTTTTTTTTTTTTTTTTGCTTGTCAAGGAATTTTGGTAGTTGATAGTGCCCCCTCAACTGAAAATGTATGGTTGTGCCCCCTCAAAGTGAAATTGCTTCTTACGGGCCTGAATTAAGGGAATCATCGAACTGCGCGTGTTTTCAATATAGTCAGATTTCAATTATCTGTTTTAATTTGAATATATGTATTTCATGAAATTCTATGTATTTTTCAAATTTTCGTTTAAAACAGTCAACTAATGAGTTTACATTATTCCTCTTGAAAATGGTTTTTTACGTAATAACTATGCATTTACAGATTGAAGGGTTGTTGTTGACTTTTGTGAGGTTTCTTCTGTTACCTCTGAATAGGTTGTATATTCTTACTGAAATTGAAGAAAAAATGTTCAGAAAGTGTATTGAGTACTTTTGGAAGTTATTGTATAGTACATTGGAAGTTATTGTAAGGCTAAGCTCCGCCCCCTATAAGTTATAGTACGTTGGAATTCAGCCAAAGGTTTTCTATTTGATTAAAAGTGTGGATAACATCAAAATAACAAGAGGCCCAAGGGCCACATCGCTCACCTGAGCACTGTGGCTAGGAAAAAAGGAAAAATCAGTTTAGTATTGAAAAGCTTAAATGCATAAGTGGTCCCAACCTACCCTAAAAATGGAGTGGGGGGTGGGGGGGGGGGGTGGGGGGGGGTGGTCGTCATGATTTGAACAAACTTGAATCTACACTATCTGAGGATGCTTCCGTATAAATATGACAAACCGTGGCTTTGCTGTTCTTGAGATTTTTAAAGATTTTTCCTATATATTCCTATGTAAAACTTTGATCGTCCATTGTGGCCCCACCCTACCCCCAGGGGTCATAATTTTAACAAACTTGAATCTACACCACCTGAGGATGCTTCCACATAAATATGACCAATCATAGCTTTGCTGTTCTTGAGAAGAAGATTTTTGAAGATTTTTCCTATGTACACCTATGTTAAACATTGATCGTCCAATGTGGCCCCACCCTACCCCTGGGGGTCATGATTTGAACAAACTTGAATCTACACCACCTAAGGATGCTTCCACATAAATATGACTAATCATAGCTTTTCTGTTCTTGAGAAGAAGACTTTTGAAGATTTTTCCTATATATTCCTATGTAAAACTTTGATCGTCCAATGTGGCCCCACCCTACCCCCGGGGGTCATGATTTGTACAAACTTGAATCTACACCACCTGAGGATGCTTCCACATAAATATGACCAATCATAGCTTTTCTGTTCTTGAGAAGAAGATTTTTGAAGATTTTTCCTATATATTCCTATGTAAAACTTTGATCGTCCAATGTGGCCCCACCCTACCCCCGGGGGTCATGATTTGTACAAACTTGAATCTACACCACCTGAGGATGCTTTCAAATAAATATGACCAATCATAGCTTTGCTGTTCTTGAGAAGAAGATTTTTAAAGATTTTTCCTATATATTCCTATGTAAAACTTTGATCGTCCATTGTGGCCCCACCCTATCCCCGGGGGTCATGATTTGAACAAACTTGAATCTACACTACCTGACAATAATTCCACATGAGTTTCATCTTTCCTGACCCACTGGTTCTTGAGAAGAAGATTTTTCAATAATGCCATTAATTTTTTGCTATTTCGTAATTATCTCCCCTTGGAGGAGGGCGTGGCCCTTCATTTGAACAAACTTGAAACCCCTTCACCCAAGGATACTTTGTGCCAAGTTTGATTGAAATTGGCCCAGTAGTTCTGGAGAAGAAGATGAAAATGTGAAAAGTTTACGACAACAACGACGCCGACGACGCCAACGCCGACGACAGACAACGGACAAATTTTGATCAGAAAAGCTCACTTGAGCCTTCAGCTCAGGTGAGCTAAAAAGTACCGCACCATGACACAAGATATCTTTTTTAATGCAAAATTAGTTTTTCATCTTTCAGTGAAATTTGCAGTGAATTATAAAAGAATATTTCTTTCCGAAATACTTCACAAGTACATGCAGTGAAATATTTATTGAAATTTAAAGACAATTGGTAATTTTCATTTATTAGTGATATTTTATTGTTTTTAATACTAGTAAAATTATATCAAAATCACCTGAACTGAAAAGAAAATTGTGTTAAAATAATGTGCTATTTTAAAAGTGAGGATATTACATGTGATTTGGTTAAAAATGTTCGGTTTTCCTTTCGCTAGAATATCGTTATTTCATTTTAATTATCCCAAGTGAACTTTGAACTGCATAGATTCAAATGGAAACACGCCTGTTCTTTAATTGTATTGACCAAAGAACTACCCATCACTTAAAACATGGACCTTGTTTTCCTATTACAGTACAAATCAGTAGGTATTTGAAAATTATTGATACATGTACTTGAAATGCCATGCCATAATGACGTCATAAATACTGCCTCTAAAATTAACGATCAAACAAGACAGAAAAATTCATGAACATGATGCCACAGTTAAATGTGGGTGCTTTCAGTACCCCAAATGTTAACAGGGCAAGTAGGTAGGCATGGTGTCATATTCCACTGAATATTATCTCCTTTATTTCTTGTGAAAAGCAGGGTCGTTTATCAATACTTTAATGCCGTTGAGCAAGCCACCTGTATAGATTTCTTGAGCAGTGGTCACCCACTGGCAGATATTGGGGGGAGGGGGGGGGGGGGCTTTTGTGACCAAAAATATACACAGATCAAAAAATCATATTTGTGTGTTGGATATTGCGTTAAAGCAATATGAGCTGCAACTTTAATGTCGGAAATTTTTGTGGCAAAATTGTAATTAACTATTTCAATGATAGAAGAAACGAAAGCAAACTTCTATTGTTCTTATTTGCGATGGAAGAACTATTAATAAGGTTTGATTGAAGCAAAATTACATTATTGTCATCCTGTACAACCTTGATTTCTTATATAATACTATACATTCCATTCTACAGAAATCTTTCTTCTGAAAAAAATTGCATACTTTATTTTAGCGTAATTGATCATAAAGGTTTGAATTACATACAGATTTATTATAACATCACATTTTAACGGCAAAATAAAATTGTCAAAAGTGCAACTCGTATTTCTTTAATTTTACATAAATTATAGCTAAAGTTAATCGAAAAACTGTTCCATAAAACACCCCAAACCTAAGAGCTTCCGGGAGTTTCGCCCCCCCCCCCCGGGCCCCCACCCAAGAGCCCGAACTGGTTGCCCTTCCTTTTTCAGGAATCCTGGAACCGCCACTGGTGGGTGATTTTTTATAACATAAATATAAACAATAAAATGAAAGAAAATAAAATGAAGAAAAAATGACATAATCCGCTTATGCGCGGGGTTTTGTACTTTTCTGCAACAGCTGCATGCAACATGAATTCCCATACTAACAACCAAAGAAAATATATTATTGTTTTAATAACACATTCTGAGAGGATATGGGGAATCATTCCTTCATCTGATGAAACTGAAAGTATATACTCTCTGCCCATTTAGATGTAATTTACATTAAAATAGGTCATATAAAAACACAAATTTTTTCATGAAAATAACTCAGAGTTCATTTAAAGTCATTTTAAGAAATCATTTCATTTTCTTTCTCCGTAGTTTTTGTTTCGTGGCCAATTGATTTTGATACTTCATCATCCTAACTCTCACTCTCACTCTAGGTTTTCTGTCAAAACTCACAAGGTCCATACATGGATTATCAATAACTGTGGAAGAATTGGCATTACTTCTGGTAAAATATATATCCCCAAACTTTGAACAATTATTAATCGTCATGATATCACTGTTGATTGAGGACGTTAAACCTATCCATTCTAGATTTTCAGTGGCATTTGCTGTCTTAAAAGTACCGTATTTGTTTTGAATATTTTGGAATTCTCTAATCTTCATAACGTTGTCTTCACTGTCCAATACACCATCAATGGTTTTCGTGCAATGGTTAAGAAATTTAATACTGTTGTTTAATGACTCCGTTTTCCTTTGCAATTCTTCTTTATATGTTTTAGTCTTGGTGGACAAATGGTCAAGAAAATCCTCTTTTAGCTTCCGTAAATGACTTTCCATATTTTTATGTAATGTTTCCACTTTTCCAGTAATTTCCTCTGCATTATCATTTATTTCTGAAATATTTCTCTCATAGGTATTTTTAGTCTCAGATAACTGAAGTTTTAAATCCTTGATACCTGTTAACAGACTTTCGAAGTGACCATTGCTTTGAAGTCTGTCAGCGGTTTGTTTGATTGTGTCAATCTCTTCACAAGATCTATGTTTCATAAAAATACAGTGAGTACAACACAAAACGTCATGGTCTCTACAATACATTTTTACTTTTTTACCTGAATGCATTTGACATTTATCTGATTCTGATGACAATAAATGAAAAAGTTTTAGTTCACCTAGTGGTACAAGCTTATGCTTTTTTGTAAGTAAAATCCGATGATGATATTTAGAACAAATTCTGCAAAGATTTTCCCGGCATTCTAAGCAAAACTCGACTGCATCTTCTTCTTCGTTTTCTCTCTTACAGGCATCGCACAACCTTGGATATACTGTATTTTCACAACTCTTTAACATGTTTAATGGAAATCTAATGGCCCACTTACTTAAATCTTCTGATGGCTCAACAGCAGGTATAAAATCGCGACATAACGGACAATGAAATCCCAGAGGTTTCACTTCTTTCCTTTCACACAAGGACAAAATGTGCTTCGATAGGCAGTCATGACAGAATGAGTGGTAACAGGGAAGGTACCGCGGTGTTTTAAAATTTTCAAAACAAATAGGACACTTGAAAGAATCTAAAAATTCATATTCTACTGACGATGCCATAGCCTTCACAAATACTCAGCAGATGTAAACTGAATGGTTATGGTACTTTGATTTGGCGTCGTTTCCGGTAACAAAGTTCAATAAACTTTTTTAATAAAAGCGAAAAGCGCATGCGCAAGCGCTTCTATTCAGCAGTTTTCATATACAGTCAATCAACGACCCCTATCGGCATGATGAATTTCTAAACATAGCATCTCAAATATTCCGGATTTTCTAAAAATAGCACCGCTGAAGTAGCGCAGTGCTATCAGGGACCTATGATCATGATAGGTCCCTGGTGCTATCATCCGTTTAACTTTACGAAGGATATAGCGGTGAAGACCAGTGAAGTTGCTCGCACATCTTTTAACAATGTTAAACATTGTCGCAATATCGGGAATGCTGTTGTAAACGAAATATTTTTAAAATAAACGACAACACAGGTTTAAAGGTTCAGCAGGTTACATTATCCAATAAATGAATAAACATTTCTATTTTTCCAACTATCTGCAGCTGCAAAATCAATGTACAAAACCTCAGTAATGTATACAATACTCTCGTGTTCATATAAAAATACAAAACACTAAAACATAAAATAGTCTCTCACAAATTAAGTATGGCTCCGTGTAAAAATCATGCAGAGGGTGATACATGGGTGGTTTCAGAATTTTTTCAAACTGTGCATGTTGGTAGAGTATGCTAAGATACTACAAAAAATAAAATGATTTTTTATCAATTCTGTGTCTGGTTGCCATGACAACAGTTAAACTGTTTTCGGTAAAACGTGACTGAAATTTCCTCTAAAAATAGGCAAAAATATCAATTATATTTCAGATGAAATTAAAAGAAAATCAGACAATAAATGAGTGGTAACAGGGAAGATACCGCGGTGTTTTAAAATTTTCAAAACAAATAGGACACTTGAAAGAATCTAAAAATTCATATTCTACTGACGATGCCATAGCCTTCACAAATACTCAGCACATGTAAACTGAATGGTTATGGTACTTTGATTTGGCGTCGTTTCCGGTAACAAAGTTCAATAAACTTTTTTAATAAAAGCGAAAAGCGCATGCGCAAGCGCTTCTATTCAGCAGTTTTCATATACAGTCAATCAACGACCCCTATCGGCATGATGAATTTCTAAACATAACATCTCAAATATTCCGGATTTTCTAAAAATAGCACCGCTGAAGTAGCGCAGTGCTATCAGGGACCTATGATCATGATAGGTCCCTGGTGCTATCATCCGTTTAACTTTACGAAGGATATAGCGGTGAAGACCAGTGAAGTTGCTCGCACATCTTTTAACAATGTTAAACATTGTCGCAATATCGGGAATGCTGTTGTAAACGAAATATTTTTAAAATAAACGACAACACAGGTTTAAAGGTTCAGCAGGTTACATTATCCAATAAATGAATAAACATTTCTATTTTTCCAACTATCTGCAGCTGCAAAATCAATGTACAAAACCTCAGTAATGTATACAATACTCTCGTGTTCATATAAAAATACAAAACACTAAAACATAAAATAGTCTCTCACAAATTAAGTATGGCTCCGTGTAAAAATCATGCAGAGGGTGATACATGAGTGGTTTCAGAATTTTTTCAAACTGTGCATGTTGGTAGAGTATGCTAAGATACTACAAAAAATAAAATGATTTTTTATCAATTCTGTGTCTGGTTGCCATGACAACAGTTAAACTGTTTTCGGTAAAACGTGACTGAAATTTCCTCTAAAAATAGGCAAAAATATCAATTATATTTCAGATGAAATTAAAAGAAAATCAGACAATAAATCACATTAATGTTTATTTCTCAATATTTACATTTCCAAATATTTTTTTTTAAGATTCTTTCCAAATTAGAATGCTGTTCATTTTCTCATGAACTACCATGGATCAGCATGAATATAGATCTCCATTGTTACGTCATAATACCGTGCTTGACGTCAAAACGTGCAAACTGTTTTGCTTCAAAAATGACAGTTGAATGGTGAAATTTGTGGTAACTCATCAGAAAAATAATGTAAATATAAGAAATGAATTCAATTTTTGAAGATTCATGAGGACATGAACTACGACGCTTCACGCCGGCATATTTCATGAAGCGCGTTTTTCTCATTAAAATACAGTCGCCCGCGTGGCGCAGTGGTTAGAGCGTCTGCTCTAGAGTCGCGGAGTAAGGAGTTGATCCTTACGTCGCGGGTTCGAATCCCACTGTGGGGCGGGGAAACCTGTTCTTCGGATGAGACCGTATAAACCGAGGTCCCGTGTCGCAGTAGGTGCTGGCACGAAAAAGATCCCTCACTGCTCAATGGCCGTAAGTGCCGAGTATAGGACAAAATTTGCAGCTCTCCACCGGCAAGTGGTGGCGTCTCCATATGAGTGAAAAATTCTCGAGAGGGACGTTAAACAACATACAAACAAACAAACAAACATTAAAATAAAGCCCAGATAGTAACTTTTCATAATTAATCAAAATATTTCCATGTCCAGTAAAATGTTCTAATTTTTAGCTGAAAAAGGGAGATTATCCATATTGACAAAAACAGCAAAATATCAATTTTATTAAGGATTTTCAGCTATCAAAAAATTAAAAAAAAAACCAACAGCCAAACCAAAAGGCCATGCTAGTTTCATAGACACCATACCCTATATCAAATAAATAATAAAAACATTTTTGTGCAAATGATTATTATTTTCCCAAAATGATTGATGAGTGCATCAAAAAATGACAATTTCACTTTTTTGTCACAGTCCAATGTATGCCATATATGTATGCATGTAAAAGGAAATTGACATTTCAACATAATTTCTTTACATTTCCAAACTCAAATACAACACAATTATTTACTTATCTTAATTAATCTAAATGTTTTCATGACCAGTAAGATGTTCCAATTTTAAGCTGGAAAGGGAGATAATCCATATTAACAAAAACAGTAAAATATCAATTTTTTGAGGATTTTTAGCTATCAAAAAATTATAAAAAAAAAAAAAAAAAAAAAAATCAAAAGCCAAACCAAAAGGTCATGCTTATTTCATAGACACCATACCCTATAGCAAATAAAATTATAATAAAAACATTTTTGTGCAAATGATTATTAATTTCATAAAACGATTGACGAGTTTCATACAAAAAATGGCAAATTTCCTTTTTTTTTTTTTTTTGTTACAGTACAATATATATGCCCTATACACATACCATGCATATATTTAAGGAATGTTTTTAAGTTTTGTGTGAGTTATTGGTGTGTATATCACACAGACTTGTCACGTAGGCATATTTCATGAAGAGCGCTAGCGCTTCATGAAAAATATGCCTATGTGCAAGTCTGTGTGATTTACACACCAATAATTCACACTAAACTTTAAAACATTCCTTATATTTACATTTTACAAATTTAAAAGCACCAATAATATACTCAATATTTGAATTTCTGGCTGCCCTATATCGGCATATTTTTATTAACGTCTCTGTAGCCTCATTGTGACGTCATTTTAGCGCGAGTTTCACCGTGTATATTTCTACGCGTGAGTATACACAAAAATGACTTTCAAATTAATTTCACAGTTGGCATAGCATTTAAACACAGCAAATGTAAATATATGCATGTAAAAATAGATTGACATTTCAAAACAATTTCTCAATTTTCCAATTTGAAATACAACACAATTTTACTTTTCATTAAATTAATCAAAATATTTTCATGACCAGTAAATTTAATTTCTTTTCGTTAGCATAAGTGAATTATTTTATATGTAGAGTGTTCGATATGTTTTCTCTTAAGCGTATGAATTAGATATGCGCTTTAATATGTGAGTAAAGTGTCTTGGGTATTTAAACAGTTGTTTGCCGATTCTATTCATTCGAGTTCATATTCAGCTATGAAATACAATGTTCGAAGAAAATCAGCACGAGCAAATAACAACAGAGAGAAATAACGACAGTAGAACGGATAAAGAAAATGACATTTCTATTTCTATAGAAGAGGCCTTATCCTTGTTCACAGGCAGACTCAAAAATGCATTAAACGACGAACAGGCTCACATGAGACAGGAGCTTGAGGACAGAGTTTCAGAAATTCGCAGGAGCTTTATTCTTAACAAAACGGAAGACAAAAATACTTTCAAATATACTGGTTGCAAGACTCAGTTTGATTTCAATCAAAACAGAATTGCTGAATTGGATTTGGTAGACGAATACTTGAAGTTTTGGAGAATTGAAGACGCAAAAGAAGTTATCAAGTCAGCCAGAGACAAATTGACAGAGAGGAATACGCACGTGCGTATTGCGGACAAGTATGGTTGGGATACATTGGACGAGTATTTGGGCGATAATTTGGTGGATGGTCCTGACGAGGCAAATAAACTTAGGAAAGCAGAGTCCAGGGCAGTCAAGCGTAGAAAGGAGAAAGCTGACAAAAAGCCATACGATAGAAACGGGGGCGCAATTATGCGGAACGATCTTTTTCGTCTCAACAATCCAGAAACTAAGCAGACAGCATTTCTCTCAGTACACAACAAGAAACTTTATTCGCCCGTGGTCAGCACCGACACAAGTTACCACATCTAGATTCCCCTTCGCTAAACCCACAGTCTGTTTCTATTGCTTCGAGGAGGGACACGTGTCAACCCAGTGCCCTCTTAAGATTCCAGGAAGAGTGTCAGTTCCAACGGCCACAATTACCAGTGACAGAAAAGAAAAGAAATCAAAGTAAAGAAATAAATGAAATGGTGAGCATTTTTTTCTGACATATGTAAATGTAAAGCTGAAGTTAAGGGCAGTGTTCGAAATGTTAAAGGTAGATTAAGAGAACATGTATATTTTTGGAAAAATGTTCTTAGAGCTAGCGATACAGTGTGCAATATTGTTTTTTTTCTGGATATATTGTACCTTTTTATCAGTATCCTGAAGCTAAATTGTGCAGCAACAACAACTCAACTCAGCAAAGCAGCATTCTGGTTTTGTAAGTAACAGTAATGATGAATAATTGTTGAACAAGAGCATGGTTATAAAGGTTAATGAAGTTCC